AATTATTTAGCTTTATTTTTTATATTTTTTATAATTTAAGTAAAAATAGCTAAATAAATTAATAGTTATAAAAGTTTTTTTTATATTTTAATAAAAAGGAGGTATAATATGCTTTTTAGCTTAAAAAGGGTAATTAAGGGTTAAAAAGTAAAGTAAAAATAAAGAAATCTTTAAAAATTTAAGGAATTTTTAGTAAACCTTTTTTATTTAAATTTTTAATAAAATAATAACTTTTATAACTACTTTTTAATAAATTTAAAAGCTATATAAAATAATTATAGGTTTTTTATTTACTATTTTAATAAAAGGCTTTTAAAACCTTATTATTACTAATATTTTTATTATAATAGCTTAAAAAAGAATTATTAATATTAAAAATAATAAAATTAATATAATTATTATTAAAATCTTTAAAAGTTAAACTTAATTTAGTAGAACTTCTATAAAGGGATCTATTTTATTACCTAATAAAAAGTAATAAAAATAGTATATAAAGTTATTAAAAAGGAAGACTGCTTATAAATATTATAATTACTATTTAAAAAAGGAGTTATATAATAAGGAAATTTATTAATTAAAAGTAGAATTATTAATTAAGAACTTTTAACTAGTAAAAGACTATTATAAAACCCTTAAAAATTATTTAATTTAAATTATTTAAATATATTAATAATATTTTATAATAATTATAAAGTAATTAAAAAGAATACTAAAAGGCTAAAAAAAAAAGTCTATTAAAAATTTAATAAGGTTAATTATTAAAAAGAAGAAAAAAGAAAATAGAAATAAAAAAAGAAAAATAGCTACTTAAAAAAAAGCTAGCTAGTTTATACCTATATAAAGGTATAGTAAAAATTATTAAAAAATTTAGTAAATTATTAAAATTAATTAATAATAGTAAATAAAGGAGGTTTTTAAAAAATGTAAATAAAAATAATTAGTATTAATTAATAATAATAATTAAAAATAGCTTTTTAGGGAGAGGTATAATTATAATAATTAGGTGGAAGCTATAGGGAAGCGCCTTAAAAGCGCCTTGGCGCCTAGCTATACCCCTTTTTAGGGCCTATTAAAAGGTAAGCAAAGCCTACTTACCTTTTTTTAAAAAGAGGTAAGAATTAGTTTTATATTAGACTTAAATTTAATAAACCTTTAAGCCTTCTTTAATTTATGCTATTATACTTAGTATTATAGTCTACTATAATATAAAAATATAAAATTTAATTTTTATATAATTAAAAATATAAAAAAGTTTTTATTTATAATTTTTATAAATAAAATTATATAAACTATTTATATTTTTTTAATTTTATTATTAAGTTAAAAATAAATAGTTAAAGTTTTAAAAAATAAAATATAATATATCTTTTAAAAATTAGTTTAATTAAATTTATTATATAAAACTTTTATAATAACTTTATAATTATTTATAATACTATCTATTATTATATAATACCTTTCTATATTAATATATTAAGCTATACTTAATTTATTTAAGTTAATATTATTAATTTATTAAAAGTTAAAGCTATTATAAATTATAAGTTATTTAATTTTAATACTATTAAATATTATATATAAAATCGCTATATAACTTAGGTAGGTTAGTTAAAATAAATAAAAATAAAAGTTACTATTCCTTTAATTAAGGATATATATAAGTTCTAGCTTTATTTAAGTAAACACCTATCTATTAACTCTATAAGTAAAACTATTTAAAAGTAGTTACTTAGACTATTATATTATTAAATTAAAAGATAATTAGATAAAGTAACTATACTTTATTATTTAAATTTATAATTCTAATAACTCTATTATAAATAAAAAAGAAATAACTATTAATAATTAAATTTTTAATTATATAAAATAAACCTTTATTTTAAAAGAAGTTATTATTATTTAAAATAGTTAATATATTTTTAAAAAGTAAAAGATTATAAACCTAATTTAAAGTATATTAAATTTATAAAAATCTTAAACTTAAACTTAAAAATATAAAGCTTTAATTTACTTAAAAATAAAAGATTAAAGAAACTTAAAAGGTTTAAATTAAATTAAAAATTAAATTAAGTTATAATATAATAAAATAATTAAATAAAAATTAATTAAAATTATATAATACTTTAAACTTAAAGAAAACTATATTATTATATAGTTTTACTTTTATTTTATATATATTTAAAAATATATATAATACTTTTATATAATAATAAATACTTAAACTTTAATATTTAAAATAAATATAATATTAATAATAATAATAATAATATAATAAATATTTATAACTTTAATTTTATAATATATAAATAAAATTAAAAGGTATTATTTTAATAATAATATTAATTGAAATTATAAATAAAAGTAGTTTATAGTTTAATTATTATAAAAGTTATATAATAAATTTAAATTTAAAGATAATTATTATATAAATAAATAATATTAAAAGTTTAATTAAAAATTATCCTTTTAATTATATATATATACTTTATAATAAAACTTTTATTAAATAATTATTATAACTTTTATTTAAATATATAACTATTAACTTTAAAAACTTTAAAATAAAGAAATAATTTATAATATACTACCTTTAAAACTTTTATAATAAAGTATTAAAACTTTTAAAGAAAGTTTTAAAAATAATTTATAAAAAAATAAAAAAAAAGTATAATAAATTTATTCTTCTTTAAGTTTCTACTTTTATTATTAATAACTATTAACTTTTTAATAATATAGAAAAGTATAATAGAAATAAAAGAAAAAAAGATTTAAAGTTTCTTTATAAAAGAACTATAAAAATATATATGAGAACAGATATTCGCACAGGAAAAAACGGCTGGTATATAGGTATAAGTGCTCTCCTAGGCTGCAGCTAATTAGAGAACTTCATTTTACCTCCCCTAACTATATATACCACCTACACGAAGTACTTTTTACACCCCTACCCAGACCTACTCTCCTCCCTTACCAGCCTTACTAGTAATAATGGCGTTAACACCTAGTCTAGTAGCTAAAAAGCCCTATATGAGGGCTTATAGGGCTATTAAATAGCTACTATAGGTTAACTTAACTATAAAGGACCTTATTAACAATAAGAAGACCTAGAAGGAGATTTAGGTATATATACAAATTAGAGAATTAGGAATTAAGGGCTAATAAAAATATATATAGTTAATAAGTATAAATTTCTGTTTTATATAGTAAGTAGGTGGTGTAAATTAAGGTTGGTGCACTAGGGGGTATTTGTACCTATATACTAGCCGTTTTTTCCTATACGAATATCCGTTCTTATATATATAAAGTTATTAAAAACTTTATATATAAACTTTAAACTATTAAAGAAGAAATAAGTAGTTATATAGTATAATAGAAAAATATAATATAATTAAAGCTTTATATTATTATTTAAAACTTTAAAGGTTTTATTTAATAATATTACTTTTAATAGAATATATAAATATCTTAATATAGTAATTCTTATTTTAAAAAGTATATTCTATATATTTTAAAATTATATTTTATTATTATAACTCTACTTAAAAGTCTACTTAAAAAGATATAATATTAGTAATTAGAATTTTATCCTACTTCCTTTATAAACAACTAAACCACTAGTATCAATCATATTAATAATAATAGTAATACCCTAATTATCTCCGCTCAGAGGAGGTATGGTCATGCCTATCTAGTTAATCTTAAACTAGCCCTTGCCCTTGCTGTCGCAGGTGGTGAAGGCGCCAGAGCACTCCCCAAATGCCACTCGAAGCTTGTCAACAACTCCGATTCTGCTGAATTGACAGGAATACATGAACCCTGATTCCCTAGATTGCAGAATCCAATCATGGAGTGAGTGAGCCGCGGGTGATGATTTATGGGTCAATACAGTTAATGCACCATCCACGGCTTCCCAGTAGACCTCAAGTGCTGTTTTCAAATACTGAGCCTGATCGAATCGTCCATGCCAGTGTAGTTGCGTCATTCTCATAATTCCAACACCAACAAGCGCACATTGGTGACTTACCAAGTCTTGATGCGTGTGCTCTCCACTGGGGGCCAGTCAAATTTCCCTGTACTTGAGGATGATCGGGTTCAGCTAAGAATTGCAATCAAAAAAAGGAAAGGCTATTACCCTAGGGTGAACGCATGGGAACATTTTTGGTCATTGTTTCAGGAGTCTGAAAAGGGCCAGATAGAGACAGTTGAAAATGAGAAGACTAATAAACGGCCGAACATAAGAGTTCACGATGATACCACCTAAGCAGTGACAGTGTGCAGAATGACGTGCTAGGAATCCTGGCTCAGTTGATTCAGTGCGGTCATTGGAACCATGCGATCTCTAGTATGTGCCGGCTTATATAACACAGATGCAGGCTCGACTGTCAGAACCACAAAAAAAAGAGCAAAATCAGTTTTGAACTATCTAAGGAGTATTCGATCCCAACAGCACGGTAACGCTACTGCGCGATGGTTACATTATCAGCAGCCGGCATTCTTGGTCCTGCGTTAGAGGGCGAGTCGGACTTTGGTCGGAGGGGCTCGTTATCTTGAACGCCCGGGCGACCGGCTATTGTCATCAACAGAGGTCATAGCTCGCCCTGTAGACCCTTTGGGCGGCACTGATATCCAAACTACACTTTCATCAAAGCAGCCACTGTAACCTTAAAAGGTGCCAAGAGATAAGAAATCCTTGCCGAGAACGCCCCGGGAGCCGGGTTATGGGATGTAAGGCCCAAACTGCTACCGACCCGTCGGCTTGGTTTGGTCGCCAGCCGCAAGCCCCAGACTACTTTAGCTTCGCAATGATAAGAGATCCTACGCTGTTCTTGCAAGGGTTTCTTGGCTAGGGTCTGAGTGCGACTTGATATGAGGTCCGATTCAAAAATGGAATAACCGATGGCCTTTATACATATATGACCATGGCCCCTGGCCTCTCCGGACTTGTAGTGGAGTATGATCCAGTGTGACCTCGAGTTTTCTACAATCCAAAACGTTACGAAACCATGAGTGAAGCAGTAAGTGTCTTTTCCGCTGCTCAAAAGACCAATTCAGTGACTGGGTCTGATATGCTAACATTGTCTGCCTCCTCAAAGCCGAGCTATAACGAGTCAATGCCCTCGGGCGGCAACCCTCTAGAGATGGACGTTAATGCCCAGTACGCAGGGTTCGAGTACAACTACACATACCTGATCTTCTGCGCCTTCATAGTATGGCTCATTATACCCGGAATCGGTCTCCTGTACGGTGGTCTCGCTCGCAGGAAGTCTGCCCTCGCCCTCCTCTTCCAGTCTCTCATGGTTGGCGCGGTCACCACATTCCAATGGATGTTCTGGGGCTTCTCACTGGCGTACAGCCGCACCGCAGGCCCATTCATCGGCGATCTGGCCAACTTTGGTCTGCGCGATGTCGTTGCTGCACCGTCCATCGGCAACCCTACAATCCCGGATATCGCGTTCTGTCTGTACCAGCTCCTTTTCTGCGCCTGCACCGTGCAGATCGTGGTCGGCGGCGCGTTTGAGCGTGGACGGATCATCCCGTCTCTTGTATTTGGGTTCTTCTGGGCCACCATCGTGTACTGCCCCATTGCGTGCTGGACATGGAACCCCAATGGTTGGCTGTACAACTTGCCATCTCTGGATTTTGCTGGTGGCGGCCCAGTGCACATTGCCTCCGGATGGGCGGCGCTGGCTTACGCCCTGGCACTCGGAAAGAGAAAGACACATGCAGACGACAAGTCACACGGCAAGCCGCATAACACCACCCTCGTCTTCCTTGGGACCGTCTTCATTTGGTTCGGCTGGTTTGGTTTCAACGGCGGCTCAGCACTCAATGCAAGTGTTCGTGCCATGTATGCTGCCTTCAATACCAACACTGCCGCATCCACTGGCGCCATTGGATGGGTCATGGTAGACTACATCAGGCACAAGAGACGCTTCAGCGTTGTCGGAGCTTGCGAAGGTGCGATTGCTGGCCTTGTTGGTATCACTCCAGCAGCAGGATATGTTAGCGTGTGGCTTGCCGCTGTCATCGGATTCCTCACAGCTGTCATCTGCTCGCTCATGTCAGATGTCAATGTGTGGCTTCATATTGACGAGGGCATGGATGTCTTCAAGCTTCACGGAATCGGCGGAATGTGCGGTTCTTTTTTCACTGGCATCTTTGCCACGTCTTCAGGTTCGTGCTCTTCCGAATTTACCTAGGCATCATACAATACTTCGAGAGCAGCATTACTAACTTTGGGACTTGTAGTCTCTGCTCTTGATGGCGTCACACTTGCGTCTGGGGGCATCGATGGAAACGGCATTCAAGTCGGCAAGCAGTTTGCAGAGATCTGCGCTATCTCGGCTTACTCTTTCGTGGTATCTTTTGCACTACTCATGATCATGAAGTACATTCCCGGCTTACACCTCCGTGTCTCTGATGAAGCCGAGGAGCGAGGGTTGGACTTGGACCAGTTCTTTGATGAGCAGATTGGTGACTGGAGTTACCTGGACATGGTGCAGAAGCAGCAAAGTACCACAATTGTTGGTGAGGCCGCACGTGGTAGTGATTCGTCCTCCACAAGGGAGGGAACGGCCGAAGAGAGAAAGGGAATCACAGGAGATGCAGTCAAGGCGGCGTAATAATCGGGTGTGTTCATATTTCTTGAAAGAAGTTGTCTCTGCCAGTTCGCTCTTTTCTTGCAATATCGGCGAAATACCCCGACGCTCCATATGCTACATAGTACATACATGCCACTGGACCCATGTCTGTCATCATGTTAATCCACTCGCCGCAATGTTTACCATACCAGAATAGGCTTCACGACATCTCCGTTTCCCATGACCTTGACAGCTTCCCTGAAATCTTCGATCTTGTAGAACTTCACCAATTTTTCCACTGGGAAGATTCCGTCCTTCCACCACTTGATCATCTGAGGTATATACTCCTTGGTCTTGCTGTGGCCCTGGACCGCTCCAAAGTACTGCTTTCCACTCACCATGAAGCTCTGCATATGCAGGGTCAGGTTTGCGTTTGGCATACCGGTTCCAACCTGAATGATCTTGGCCATGTAACGTGTGTACTCCACCTGAGCAGCGACAAGCGGAGGGTAGGCGCTCGTGTCGATCGAGATTGTGGCGCCCAGCCCATCTGCCGCCTCTTTGACGGCGGCCACGAGCTCCTCAGTGGACATCTTGGATGTGTCGAAGACGTGTGTAGCACCGAGCGACTTTGCAAGCTCCAACCGCGCCTCCACCCTGTCGATCCCGATGATGGTCTTGCACTTCTGATTCTTGGCGGCCATCACAGCAGCCAGTCCGACACCTCCCATCCCAACAATAGCGATCGCATCCTCGGGGCCGGCCTTCGCCACGGAGATGACTGTGCCACTGCCTGTCTGCAGGCCACAGCCGAAAGGTGCCAAGAGCTTGAGGTCCTCTCGCTCGAGGCCCAAGCCGCCAACGTTCACGACAGACTTATCGCTGACGATGGCGTGTTTCGCGAAGCTTGACTGTCCGAAGAAGCGGCCGCCAATGGAGCCTCCCTTCGCATCATGGAAGGCTGGCTCGCCCATAAAGTTGATTTCGAAGAAGTCCACGCAATGTGACGGAGGGCCGGTCTTGCAGACGTGGCATTTGCCGCAGTACGAGAAAGAAAGCAGAACCGGGTCTCCTGGCTTGACCTGTACAAAGTTCGTAACATATCAGATGAGGGCCCTGCGCATTGGGAAGAATAATAACCACATACACTGCTCACTCCCTTGCCCACTTGCTTCACATAACCAGATCCTGATCCAGCTATCAGCACGACGTTTCTTACGTTGACTGGTGGCATCCAGGCACATATGCACCTACCCTCGTGGCCGAGAACTCTCGGATAGAAGACAGCCGGCACTCCTTTGTCATCCGGCGTGTCGCCACAATGCAAGTCTGTGTGGCAGATGCCGGATGCCACTATCTCGACAACGATCTCATCGTCCTTCAAGTCTCGCAGCTTCACGTTCTCGATCGCCCAGCCCCCCGAGGAAAATGGTCCACGGGACACAAGCGCCTGAGACTCCATGGGTGAAGTAGAGTGAATGTACTGTGAGCAGACCAACAGCTTCGACTTTCAAGAGACCGGATTGTGCAAATGATTGGAGGTTGTGCGTGCCAAAGCGTCTCACCACCGAGATCGCTATCGCCCGGCCACCAGTCCGGCATTATGCGTGTGGGGAATGGACCAGTCAAGCGTGGGTGGTTAGCAGCTTGGCGGGCACCTGGGATTCAACTGCTTGATCAGGCCTAGCACCACGCACAGGCTGTCACCTACCACCAGCCCGTAAGTGTTCAAACTCAATTATGAAAATACTGATTATAATAAGGGGAGGCTTTGAGTTGAAACGTCCACAGGGTCCTGGTTTCTTGTTCTCTGCCAGGAATTATCACGTAGTAATGTTTCCGCAGACTCGTGGCTACGTTCCGAAATCGTTGGGTCTCAAATCTCTTGTGCCTGCAATTGTACAATTGAATGCTGCATGTGTACTGTGGACCACCAACACTATGGAGCCTGGACACCCCATCCATACATCACCACCACAACAACATTGACATATTGATACTGCCCAGAGCGACCACCGAGCTTTTGTCATCGTATCAGCCTCTCTCAAAGCCACAAACTTGCATATTCTCCGAGGTATCTACGGGGTAGAATACGAAAGGCTCCGTAATGTACTCAATGTACTCTTGGTAGAGCGCCCGCACGTGTGCGGAATTCTGGTGCACACGATAATCGGCTTCGCTCGCGAATCTGTCAAATTCAGCATCATGTTTATCCTTTGTGACCACTCGGGAAGATGTCACATACTTTTCAATGAACACAAACTGGTCCTTGCCCTCGACCTTGTACCACCGACAGATCTGGGCAGCGGGCTCCAGCTGTTCTGTTGCTTTCGCCACGCGAGTGAAGAATTCGACTACCTAAAGTGCGTGAAAGCAAGGTCAGCAACCGCCGCCCCAGATACAATAAAATCATACATGGGATGGCATGGAGGCTTTCGATCACATGGCCTGGTCCGTGGTTTGATGCGAACCTTTGCTTGTTTCTCTGGTTTGACATCAACGGTGGAGACGGAGTAGTAATAGGAGGTCTCATTAGTCGCCATGGCTGTGAAGAGCCCCGGCGCGGACTACAAGAAGCGCGGTAATACGATGGTATGAGCTGATTGCGGAGGAAGGAAACTTGAGGGCTAATAAACTTGTAGCATGTTCGAACTTGATTTGGTGTCCAGGCGGTCTCTTTTTCATGCGCCTGTGCCGCGCAAAATGGGGCCCCGATCTGGCTTGGTCCTTGCTAGGAATCCAATGACGCAGATCGATGCTATTCGAAAGGATTTGTACAACATCTCGGCCAAGCCAACGTTGTTGTTGGCTGCAGAGAGAGCCGCTTTATCCGAGATCTTCGGATTGCATGTAGACTGTGCCACTCTCGAGAGGTTTGCAGCATTCCACGAAGACCGTTCTGCGAAGAATTACTTCATTGAATCGAATCAGGATTGGAAGCTCTTTCTGTCAAGATATATAATATCTGATATGTCTAGTTCAGGCATCTCAGCATACAGTCAAGAACAGCAGTTTGTACATTACAATTGCGTGAGGCATTGATGGTCTGCCAAGTCTGCATCGCTCCGACCAGAGCAAAGCTTGCAGTAGCTCCGCTTTAATCAGTGCTATGTCATCAATTTAGTTGTCTATCTGCAAACATCATTGATACCTAGGTACCATTCATGTGGAGGGATTCAAGTGAGATGCGGGACTCAACAGCCTATTTCTCGGAAAAGAGGCAGCTGGCTCGCAAGCCAGTGATCCTTCCATGATCGACCGGAGCATCCCAGGCTGAAGTGGGCGAAACTCCACAGCTCATAGCAAGAGAAGCATTTCTGACGCCAAGTGGCACTGCTTCATCGGCCTCTGACGTCTCTACACGCTGCTTGCTACTGCTGACGCCAAGAATTGCGGATTCCACTTCCTCTGCGCGCAGTGGTGTGCAGTCCGACGAATCACCACCTTGGTGCTCGCCTTGAGACCTGAATTCAACCCCCGACTTATTCACAGCTTGATTTATTGTATCGTTTATGAATATTCAGCGAGTAGACCTATCTAGCACATGATTCTTGGATGTTTGAGCGCAGTGCGTAGCCACATACTCTGGGTCTGGAAAGATGTTATGGGCTGCCACATGCAGTTCTCCACCGTAGTACGAAGACTCCAGATGTCATTGCTGCCTTGTCTTACAGCATTATGAATACCTGCTCGGAGTATCATGTATGGGTACATGTTATAAACCTTGACATCACATTTGCCAGCATTTCTTTGTCCTGGGACCGAATTAAAGCCTGCCGCCTACATAGGTACCAGGTTCGCCGCAGTCTCCTTTTCGGTCCCATTAGAAGAGATCGGATATTCGCACCCGCAAAAATGGAGGGTACACCCAAGCCCTAAGGGATAAACTCCTATAGGACAACCTTCTATAGGACAACCTCCTAGGACAACCTCCTATGGAATAACATCCTCTAGGATAACTTTCTTTAGGATAACATCCTATGGGATAAGCCTATGAGATAACTGGTTTAATACTAACCTGAGTACCTAGGTACTTTGATCTTTAAGTTGCCTAGTATGGGTGTACCCTCCGTTTTTTGCGGGTGTGAATATCCGGTCTCCATTAGAAAGTCAAAATCCGCATAAAGCTTCAGTATCGTCAGGTAACTGCTAAGTCGTAGTGCTGCGCATTGGTTGAAATCTTGGTTCTCGAACAGAGTCCCTCCCTATATTGCTCAATCAACAAGGCAGAGAAAACAGAATTGCTAATCCCAAGCCTAATGGATGCTCACCATATACCTATGTATCTACGAATTATACGCACAGTTATGTCCAGGCGCCTCAAAATGTCAGTGAAAAGGTTGATATTAGAACAGGCAAGGTAATTAAAACCATGAGATACCAAAGCAGGACTGGTGAGGCGGCCGTGGCTCTCTTGATGAGAGCTGAGAACAAGCTGTACCGAAGAACACATCTCAATTTCTTCTAGATACCTAGGTAAGTAGTTTCAAGCAAATCGAGCGAGCTCAAAATCAGCCAGCGCCGGATCACTGACCCCCGTGAGAATCTGCTGGCTCAGTAGCTGGCCCACGATGGCCGCATTCGTGACCCCGGAGTGCATCACGGCAACAGTGACACCATCCAACCCCGTCGCCCCGAGGATTGGCAGGCCGTCCTCCGGCTTCGGTCTGTATCCCACGGTGTAATGATCGAACTCCAGCTCATCGCCCCCCACAAAAGCACTCTGGACCTTGCTGAACAGCTCCTCGGCAGTCTTCTGTGGGTCGTCGCCGGGGTTGCCGCCCGAGAACTCGGAGCCAGCCCGGATGCGGCCGTCCAGTGTCTGTCGCAGGTGCAGCTGCTCCGCGTTGACGACCCCGTTCAGTAGCCTCGCCTCCGTCGGCTTTGAGTTGACAAGTAGACCCGCCACGGCCGTCACGGGCAGAGTGATGTTCTCCGCGGCCAAGAGCGGCACGCTCCCGACGCCCGCCGCGAGGACGACATGGTCGGCCTTTGCCTCCACGCCTGATGCCGTGACGACGCCTGAAATGCGGCCGTCCTGCTTGAGGAATCCAGTGACTTTGTCGTTCAGCAGCGTAGCACCTCTGGCCTCCGCGCCGGCGAGGAGCTGGCGTGCGGCAACATGGGCCTCGACGGCGCCTTCCTCGGCGACGTAGAGCCCCCACTCGGGCAGCACGCCGTCCTTCAGGGTCGGTTCGCGATCATGGATCTCCGTCTTGTTCACACGCACAATGTCGTAGCCCCAGGCCGAGTGCTCGTCGAGGTACGCCTCCAGCTCGTCGGGCGACATGTTCCAGTTGAGCGACCCGCCCCAGTGGACAGGGAGGTCCGGCAGCTCGGCGGCCATCTCCCTCCACCTCTCCATCGAGCGGTGCCGGAAATCATAGTAAAACCTGGGGTTGCCGGCGGCCGCGTTGAGCCAGGCGAACGAGTTGGGGGTGGCCGTGCCGCCCATGTCTTCGGCCACGATGATGACGTTGGCCTCATGGCTTAGGTGCCAGGCGATGGAGGCGCCGACAATGCCGCCGCCGACTACGGCGATGTTTGGGCTGCTCTGGACGCTCATTCCCGGTCCTCCAGGGACAGGAGGGGTTTGGGCACTCATTTCTTGGGCGGCGGCGAGGGGCGGATCGGGGTCTCGGCTGGTACAAGATTGGCGCAGGAGTAGATCTTGTCCTGAGCAAGCCGGCTCGTGGTGTCGATGTCACGCCGATTTCGGGTGCATATTAGCAAATACGCTGTTGCCATAATGTGATGGCAAGAGTTCCCCGCAGATAAGATTGTGGGTGATCGACTATGGCTGGTGGATTTCGACTTTACATGAGAGGGGTATCATGGCATCCCGGGCTTTTTACAGTCTTTTCCCGCCCTGTTTCCTTTCAACATCGTCACTTTTAACTATGTCACTACAGTACTCATCTAAAGTTTCACTGGCTTGTCCTGCACCCTGAACAGAGCACCCAATCTTCACACTTCTATCACACAATTACCCTTATAAAAAAAGAGAATTAAGTTTAAATTAATATTAACTCCATATTTAATAAATTACTGAACTAATTAATATTGTAAATTGTTTATTATGAGCTAAGAAGCATGTATGTATAGCTTGTGGGAGATAGATATATCACGGAAATTCAAGCATTGGACCGGGCAACTAAAAGAGTTCAAGAGCCTTTGGTTCTGCCAAGTGGGTGTCGCTATTTGAGATTTCCCTAGAACCATGACCTGATCCTCGCACAACTTTCTGGCCATTTCAGACAATGGGCCACAAAACAATACATTAAAGTACCTAGGTATCCATTAGGCAATTCGTTCATTGCTCATAAACCATGAATTCATGCACGCGTCGTTGTCAGGCACACACCCCGCCCGTCCATAGCATAGCCATCGCCTCAACTCGACGTGCCGTAACGACCTCGTAAAAGTCAAAAAGCGCCGTCACCTAAGCAGGGCGCTCTACAAACTCAACGCTCTCGACAAATTGGCTGTCATCATCGCTCTGCCCATCCTGGTCTTCAGGCTGCTGCTCATCTTCGTCACTCAGGTCCTCCTCGCTCTCCACGGACCAGTCCCTGAACCCCTGCCCCCGCATCCAGCTTATCCCCTTCCTCCACGAGTCCTCCCTGACGGCCCTGGCGTCCTGCTCGTACACGGCGCCCGTGATCATGACAGCCAGGACGAACACCCAGACGTCGCCCGCCCGCATGGCCTTCCACCAGCGCCTCTTGACGCCGACCTTCCACAGGCTGTCGACGGACGCGCGCGCCGAGTAGAGGAACACGCCACGCCCCTGCCTGCGCTCGACCCACGCCCAGAACCCGGCCAGGAACCCGCCGAGGAAGAAGCGCTGCGTCGCGAGGAAGGACCGGGGCAGCCAGGCCTGGAAGAAGCAGATCGACGCCCATGCGGACGCGATGGAGCCCGTCACGAACGTGCTCATGCGCAGCGCGTTCATGACGAGCTTGTTGAGTGTCGTGAACGGGAAGTTGTACAGCGCCTTGTACTTGGGGATCAGGAAAGCGGAGTATACCAGCAGGAAGAAGCGCGTCAGGGGCGGGAACGAGCGCAGCCAGAAGGTCAAGAACGTCCGACTGCATGATGGGTCCTGCGGGTGCAGGGTTGCGCAGCTGAGTGCTGTGATTAGAGGATGAGCCGGAGCTGTGAGCGGGGAGATGTTCGTGAGCGTCGGCGGGAGGGTCTCCTCCTTGTTTGGAAACAGGGTTGGTGAGATATAGGGCCTGGCCACACAGTTAGTTCTGCCCGCGCTTCAGCAGAAAAGGAGATCTACTTACGGCCAATTAAGCCGAGCCATCTGGCCGAGACTATCTACCACCTCCCGCGTGCCGGGCCACTTCAAGCCCGGAGGGTAGTCCTTGGGGCGCTTGTGCAGGTATGCTGATGAGTTCTTCAAGATGAAATCGCCATATGCTGTAGGAAAGCAGTCGAGGTCAAACACGAACGAGTGTAGGAGCTGTCCAAATGCGAAGGGCTGAAGTAACCAGCTGCCGAACCACCACGGCCTCTTCTTCATGCGGCCGTTCTTCTCCCTTCCCCACACCAACCCTCCGTCCTCGGCAAAATTCCAGCCAAACTCCAGTGCCCTGAACATGGTATATATGGCGACAGTGACGCGAAGCTGCTCCGCCGGGTAGATGCCCAGGGCCAGGCCGGCCAGGGATGCGCCGACAGCAGGCGCATACGGCGATGTGAGGGTGTCTGCGGTCCTGGGGTTCCTCTTCCTGAACGGCTCGGCAGAGGCGTCGAGGATATGCAGCCTCAGCCTGGTGAAGAAGCGGAACAGCAGCCTGTACAGGAGCAAGATGCTGCTCAGCGACAGGGACAGCCGGAAGACGGGCGACTTGTAGGCCGGCTGCTTCTTGAGCTTGGGGTCCTGCTTCTGGCCCATGAACCTCGCCGCGACCACGCCCCATGCCTTGAGCGCAACAGCGGTGGTGGCAAAGACACGGATGGAGTGCCGCACCGCGCGCGCGTTGTAGTCGTCGGCACCCAGGATAGCGCCAGCGCCAGCGTTCACACCGGCGCTCGTGCTGCCCACGTCGGCGACGGTCATGTCCACCGGGGCGCCGGCGTCCTTGGACTTTGCCTTGGCCTTCCTGTCGGCGCTGGTTCCCGCATCGCCGTTCATGATGCGGTTGACCGTCTCGACGGTAGGCACGCGCTTCTTCAGCTGGCGTGACTTGGACAGGACATATCGGTGGAGGAGGGCGTACTCGCGGGCCGAGATGGTGTACCGAAGCGTGTTGCGGAGGACGGGGTCGTTGGTGGCCTTGGCCGAGAGGGGGGCCGGTGATGCGGCGGGGCCTCCCTGGCCTCGGCCGCCGGATGAGGAGGCCATGGACCTGTCGGATCTGGGAGACGTTGGGGAGCGGGAGGTCCTTGAGGCGTATATGGAGGTTCGGAAGTCCTTGAAGCTGGACGAGACGGTCAGCTTGGGGCTTCCAGGCTTGATGGTGGTGGTCGGCACGCAGTATTGCTGAATGATGGCTGTGTTGGAGGCGATGCCTGTGCTGTCGTGCTTTTATCTGTCGTGCTTCGATCTGTCGTGCTCCCTGGTTGCTTCATTCCCCAAACGACCGAGCCGGGCCTTGCCACAGAACACTAGAGTAAAAAAGAGAGAGAGAGAGAGAGAAAGAGAAATGCTTACGGCTCGATGCTGTCTCGGAATGCGCTGGTCGCCGCCAGAGAAGACTTGCACGACAAGAAATAGACTCGAGGAAAGAGACGCGTTTATCTACGACAGGTGGGGTCGAGGCAGGACGGCGTCTTGTCGCGAGGAAGGGGACACCCCGACAGTCCGGTCAGGCCGTGGCTAAGAAGGGGTTGTGTGGTGTGATGATCTGTATATAGACTCGGTAGGGTCCTGGGCGACTGGGCAGAGAGGGTGGGCTGCTGGGTTGGACTAGCACGAAGGTCGTCCGTCTGGTTGTCTACAAAGGCTCGAGCTGGACGGGATTGGGATTTACACGTGCCTCGGCTCTGCATGTGGGCAACCAGCCGAACGCTACCTTGGTACATCTGTACCTTGGCTTGGCTGCCAGGCTGCTTATTACTAGTCGCGGGTTCCCAGGCGCGTTCGTCCCACGGGTCGCTCGTTGTACAGTCAGGGGACAAAAGTTCCGCCACACCAGCTGTTAAGCCAGCAAAAATCCACTAATATAGGCCTTATTAAAACTTTAATAATTAATTCTATAAAATAGTTATAATTCTATACTAAATTAGTATTTATAAATAGAAACTATTAGTATATTATATAAAAATCTATAAGGCTTAATATTAAAGGTTAAAAAGTTATATTTAATTAAAGTTAATTAAATATTTCTTTAAAATATTCTATAGGGGCTTTAGCTCTAAAATCCACTATAAATAAGCGTTAAAAAAACCCTTACTCCACTAATACTCGTTATAGCTATAGGGGCTTAACTAAAATACACTAATAATTTTTATTTTTAAAAAAACACCTCTTAGGTAACCCCCTTAAATAAAATCTTTTAAAAATTTAAAAAAAGATATATAATTAGGTTTATTATATTATTTCTATAGAATTTCAATTGAAATTTTTTGAGGTTATTTTGATAGAGTTATATGAGTTTAAAAAGTGGGTATTTGTATGGGGGCTTGGTGGTGTGGCGGAACTTTTGTCCAGCCACTGTACCCCCAGTCCTGGCCCAGGGAGCCAGGGAGCTAGCTGCCCCCCTTGCAAACTGCCAAAGCCGCCCCGCAGAGCCGTGGCCGTCGCCCCAATGAGAGCAGCTCGTCTCAAAGTGGTCGCAGGGGGCAGCCCCCATGCCCATCCCCACACTCCCTTCGCGACGCATAATTCTTAAATCTTGGAGCCCGGACGCGATTCCCGACATCATTTCGGTCCAAGAGATCAATACGGCCACTCGAGCGTGGCCACCCATGGCCCAAGACCATCACGAGCATTGGCAGGATTTTGTGCTAGACCCGGAAGAGAACAAGACAAGCAATGTGCTGTTCTTGTTCTGTAATTATTCGTCCCCCAACGCTTGGAGCGCAGAGATATTCGAGATGCTTTGCTTTTCAGAACCCTAGCACTCAAACTATCTGGTATCTCCTATTAACAACAATTGCGAAGTGCCAAAAGCCAAAAGTAGAGGGCCATTCGATCGCGCCCTGGAACTGATCTCGCCGTAACCTCGCAGCGGCACCAAGATCCGCTGCTATCAAAAATGCTGCTGCTATGTCTGCATCCGCATGTATGCATGAGTATATGTCTTCCTGCCTTTTGAGGACAGCCATGGCTCCCTGGATGCCTCGCCCCCGGGTGGTAGGAGACTGTGAATTAGAACCCCCGAGCGAAGCCCATCATGCTCGTGCGTCTCACTGACTCCTCCCCCGCCTTCGTTTCTGCGCATCAAGACCGAATTCAATACAACACTTTACTCCAACACCCGTCGCAATGCTTTTGTTTTTGTGCCGTGCCCATTTTTCTTTTCCGCCAACCCTGAAAGCGAGCGGCCTGGCCCGCCCGAATCTGCCAAGAAACGCTTTTCTTTTTAATACGCCGTGCAAAAGCAAGCCCGTGTCCCTCCTCGTCATACCTGCCGTGCGGTGTCGCCCACCCGGCCATTCATATCGTCAAGTTCGTTCGCAAATTCTTCAGTACGGGCGACGTAGGCTCAACGTCGGGCCATAATCGTCGCGACAGATGGTACTACCTGCTGTCCCCAAAGGGCTCCCACACCCGCTCGATGACGACGGCATCTCCGTTCGGCACGCACTGCTCCCTCCAACACACGCTGTTCCAGACCCCTTCTAGGAGCTGTGGTTCCTGGCTCCGCAGGGCCGGTCCGGGGTCCCGGCCTTCGTAACGGCCGGCCATGAATTCCGAGACAAAGCGCAGGCGCCGGCTCTCACGCGCTGCAACCACCTGAGGGAGAACTCGCCGTCTGTCTTGCGCTGTCTGCCAGCCCGAAACACCTCCGATGCCGTTGCTCTCGAGCAGGAACTTCACCATCTCGAAAGGAAGGTTGAGCAGGATCCGTGAGAGCGCAGCCGTATGCTCGAAAGGCTCGCGACGCGACATAGCTTGGCCGTCACCAACATTCTCATCGAGGTCGAGGTCTCCAAATCTCGGCATCGATTTTCTTGAAGACATTTGCGGCGGAGCCCGGATGCCGTTCATGATGTCCGGCCCTGCTGCGTCTCGAGCGGACACGGTCGGCGGCAGACGAGCGTACCGTGTATCATCAACAGTGGTGTCCAAGGTGAAGTTGTTGGGAAAGCTGGTGATGATGAACATCATGATCTTCTCCACGAGCTCGTTCACGTAGACGCCGTGTCTGTACTGAAACGGGAAGAGGCGGCCGTGAGGGCCATCCATCCTGTTCAGGGCCAAGGCCGAATCACGCAACGCAAACTCCACTCCCTTTTCAACCGTCTCCCAGCTCAACAGCTTCGATGCCTCGCCCATGGCGTTGATCGAGATGTGAGGTATCTCCAAGAGCGCACCAGCGGCGGCGTAGCCCAGCACATAGTGGAACTTTTCAATGTCTGAATTGTCATGTGCGATCTTTCCCATGGGGACGTAACGGAAACCATACACATGTTTGATTGCCCTCCACATGGAGTCAGCCCGCAGGTAGGGATCATCCGAGGCGATGCGGAGCTCATGAAGACCATGACGAAGGGCATCCTGCTGTTCCGCCTGCTTCTGCATGAGACTCGCAAGTATCGGGTTCATTGACAGAATAAGCTTGTGGGCCGGCATGCGCAAAGGCGCATCAAGCTGCCCAGGGTGTTGTGAGTTGACGGGCGTCAGGCGGTCAGGCAGAACTAGGAAGATATCGCAGTCGGCAAAAGCGGGCTTCGCAAACATGTCGTTGATGCGGTCCGTGAATATCATGGCATCGGCAATCTCAAGGCCTTCGGCATTAAACTGCGGCTGGTTGCTTGGTGGTGGGGGTGCCCTGGCGATGCCAGGAGGCGGCCTGGGACCCCTGAACTCCATCCCGTTATGGCCATTCATGAAAGGGAGTGTAGCACCGAGTTCGTCTGCCGTTCGCGAGGACTGAGACTCGTGGAAGCTGTGTGGGGTCATCGGACCATGATTCATGGGAACCTGCACAATACTGTCATTGGGCGCAGCTGAAAGAATTGGCCGACCGAACGCGTCGACGCCAGGCACCGGCATTTGATCGCGGGCCATGGTCACTGGAGGAGGAAAGGCACCTCCAGAATTAGGAGCGGGCGACGGTGTGTTCGACCCGGGGAAACCGCCAAAGATCAGACTGCCGTTGCTGGGGTGGTGCTGGTGCACAGCCCGGTGTGTAAGGTTCAGCGGCAGGTGAATGGGCTCGGGAACGGGACCCCGAAAGTGGGCATGGTGGGCTTCGGCTGGCGGGAAAGGCGGAGGCACGCCGTTGTATGGAGCGGGTGACATGGTCGGAGGAGGATAAGAGACGGACGAGGGAGCGCTCGGGGCGGTTTCTGGAAGAAGATGTCAGAACAAGAACAAGCCTGGTTCATATCCCACCCACGTATTCTTACCTGGCGGTGTCAATTCTCCAGCTGCCGGCGGAGACACGACAACTTCTTGTGGAGGAGAACCTGCGGGTGCTGGCTTGGGCTCCTGGGGGCGAGGGGCGACTTCGTGGTTTGTCCCGTCGATTCCTGGTTGGTCGACCGTTTGCGCAGGCAGGCCGTTGGCAGCCTGCTTGTGGTCGTCTGCGTCGGCTTTCACTTCTACTGCTGCGGGCTGGGGCTGTTCTTTGGTTGGGCTCGGAGCTGCGTCCTCACTGTTTGTTCGCAGTGGGGAGGACTGCTGAGAGGAAATGGTTGATTTCTTGGGTCGACGTTGGAGATAGGGAAGAGGGAGGACGGGCTCGACGCGTTTGCGAAGGACGGGCTGGGAAGCAGCGACCTTCCTCGCGGCGGCGGGTTTGGCGAGGGTAGTTGACCGCGCGGGCAATGGGGCGTTTGGAGAGGCCATTTCCAAACGGATTGACCGATGGACTGGTGAAGGAGTGTCTGAGACAAGGCGGCCTACTGACGTAGAGGGGGCTGCAGGGCCTGATTAGAAACCCGTCGGCAGAGGGTTGCGACGACGACGGGGTTCAGAGACAGGGAATCAGGCCCTGACGAGAGCAGGCGGAGGTGGGGGGAGGGAATGACAGCGCCAGGACTGGTTCGAGCGCATGAGCAACCAGATGGGTCAGTCAGGGCGACGTGGGCAGAAACGGTCGTCGTAGCTGGGGTTGTCCGTCACCGGAGGGCGAAAATACGGTCGGTCGTTCGGAGGGGGAGGGGCAGCCTTTTGGAAGTCCTCACTCAGGTCGTCGGGGATCGAAGCGGCAGCCGAAGGGTCTCGAAGGGGATAAAACCAACACGAGGGTGATAATGGTGATGGCTAATCAGCTCCAGCTCCTCGCGCCGTGTGCTTTTGTGCCTCGATATTTCTGAACTGCTCCTCAACAAGAGAAGTGGTCGGGGAGGTGACAGCATCAGCCTTGCCTTGCCTTGCCTCTGGGCTTGTGGGTGGGCCTTGTCATGCAGTGGGAGCTGCCCGAGCTGGATTTTTTTGCCCTCCCCGCAACCAGCAAGAAAAATTGTCGAACTCACCAAGTTCGACACGCCACCAGGACCGGGGAGCTGCAACCTACAGGGGGGTTCGAGCTGACTGCGGCCGCTTTGGCGGGCTGGGCTGATTATATAAGCCGAGGACTAGGTACCGGCCTAGGTACTCCGTACAGCATACTACCCGAGCGACCACTACTTTCACACCTCATCCTCTCCTTTCGGCCACCGCAGCTGTTGCAAGAGATGGGAGCGTCAATTTTATGGCACATGCAGGCGCCTTTCGACATAATCGGCACATAATACGTCGAAAAGTCTCCCCCAAAGTCTAGGATCAGAAAGCTCGCTGGCCGCGTCAAAAAATACCCGTTTGCAGACACGACAACCCTGTCCGCATCCAAACTGAAGCGACGGCAGGGCATCTGTTCTCTGTTCTCCCTGGCCGTGCTTCGCTCATTGTCCTTCACGGACGCATTGGTGAATTTATCTCTATCCAATGTTGTCGAGCAAGCTTTGCATTACCCATTGAGCCTTGTGATTCCTGACACTTTACGTCAGGATCATCCCGTCTCCCGAGCCCAGCTCGACAAACTCATAATCCAGGATCTTGTCCTCCTCGGTTTCCATCTCCTTCGCCTTCTCGGTCTCGACAGCGTCTCTCAGAGAATACGTTGTCCGCTGCAGTAGCCAGGAGATGAGCCCGCCTCCTTTCTTTGTCTCGTCGTGCGTCGCTATCCAGTACTTTGCGCCGCTGGCCCGCACTGCCTGGATGCCGTTAAGTGCGCCGAGGTTCAACTGTGCCGTCATCCAAATGCGGACGTCATCCAAACCATGCAGCAAGGCGAGGGTCTTGATGCCCGCAGCTCGGATGCAATCCAGGTCAGGTCCTTTGATCCCGTGGGGCGAGTATATCACCGCTTCCGACCGTTGCTGGGTCGCCGTGTCCTTGGATCGTGTTGCTCGCTGGTTGGGACTGTGCCCTAAGTCGAAGGCTATTATCACCGCTGAGTGATAGTACAGTGCGTTGCCCTCGGTGATCACGCGACCGATTCCAAGCCACGGCGGTAGCGTGCCTGTCTGGTCCACCAACTCCTCACGCCAGTCTGTCGTCGCAGATGAGAAGCCAGGTGTGACTTTCACAGTGTCGAAATGCCCCCAGGACCGTATCAGGTCTGCGGCCTTTTCTGTAGCGACTATAGGCACGCCCCTGGGCAGCTCCGTCAGTGTCGCCTGATGGCAGTGGTCCGTGAACTCATGTGATATAGCCACACAATCGATCTGGGTGGTGCCAGAACTTGCACCCCCATCTCCTAGATCGGCCAGCACTTCTTCAAGCTCCTGTATAGTCTGCACGGCCGGCTCAACCACGTGCCATTGTGTAGAGAACCACGAGGCGACGTCGCTCTGTGGCCCTTGAAGCCATGGGTCGATCAGGATGTTGAACCGTGAACGACGGGCTGCCTTCTTTTTCTTAGACCTGACCCCTGTAGGCGCCCCTCCCGCAGAAGCTGGAATCGGAAGTTGAAGCAGCCATGTTGTGTCGCCGTTGAGATGAGCTAGGACTGGTCGTGGAGATTCAAGCGCGCTTCTCCAGGCGGCTCGGTCCTTCAGATTAATAGCCCTGGACGGTTCTACGCCAACGGCCATTCTGTCATCGGTAATTATGTTATCGGTAAAAGAAAAAGCCTAGGGTGGCCGCACTACAGTATTGTTTCACTTGATAAAGAGGCAGCATGCAGTACACAGGGAATGATGACAATTATCCTTCCCAGTTCCCAATGTACTTAAGTAGGTAGGATGGGAGTGAAGCCGCACCAGTCGTTGGACGACGTCACCGAGTACTGCCCCATGCAGGCAAGCCCAGGGATGTTAGTGCAGCAGGGTAGCCCCGCATGCACCGCCTACTAATCCAGTGGCCAGTGGCATTGATGTCGACACCGGTTCCCGCCGGTAGCTTCCCACAAGAACTTGACAATTATCAAGGACTGGTAGATGGGACTCATATTTACTCGGCGCAGGCTCGCGTCTAAGGTCTTTCTTTATATTATCAATCAAATCAGGGAGAGGGAAAAAAATCAAATGCAAAAATCAGATGTAAAAACATACAACACCGGGTATTCGCTGGTCGTCACCGACCCAACTACTAATCCAGCGATTAGTGGCTTGACTATGGGAGAGCGGACGGGATCCCGTATTTTCCACTATCTATGGCCGTATGTGCTTAACTGGAGCTTTACCGTAATTATATAGTAAGGTTTAAAGAAAAGTAAAATAAAGAAATAATTTATAATATATTATTCTTAAAACTTTTATAATAAAATATTAAAATTCTTAAAAGTTTTAAAAGTAGTTTATAAAAAGATAAAAAAAATATAATAAACTTATTTTTTAAAAAAATTTATACTTTTATTATTAATAACTATTAATTTTTAATAATATAAAAAAGTAGAGCTAGTATCCACCTACCTAACTTTAACGTCCACCTACCTAGTGATTTCCATAGACCTACCTAGTACTTATTTTTCTTAGCAACTCCCCCACATTTATAAGTACTTTCTGAGTCAGCACTAAAAGCACCCTAGGGTATTCCACTTCTCCAAATTTTCGGTACTTTCGGTACACCCCTTCTGGCACCCCTTCTGGCACCCCTTCTGGCCTGCACGCATTCAGGTACCAACTGAGCATTCAGATGCCAACTGAACACTAGAGGGCCAGAAGTCTAGAGGGCCAGAGGGCCAGAAGGGGTGCCAGAGGGCCAGAAGGGGTGCCAGAAGGCTAGAAAGAGTGTGGTCTTCGCCTTCGCCTTCTCACCTTCTAGCCTTCTAGCGGTCAGTTAGCATCTGAACGCTCAGGTGGTACCTGAATGCGTGCAGGCCAAAAGGGTGCCAGAAGGGGTGCCAGAAGGGGTGCCAGAAGGGGTGCAGAAGGGGCTTATACCTTAAATATCGAAAATTTAGGGAATCCTAGTCAGGTACATAATTTTATATAGGCTCTACACGTTAAAAGTTAGTACTAGGTAGGTCTATAGGAATCACTAGGTAGGTGGATGTTAGAGCTAGGTAGGTGGATACTAACTTAAAAAAAAGTATAAAAAAAAGAAATTTAAAATTCTTTTATAAATAAAATTATAAGAATATATATAAAACTATTAAAGGTTTTATATATAAATTTTAAATTAAAGAAAAAATAAATAATTATATAATATAAAAGAAAATATAATATAATTAAAATTTAATTTTAAGTATAAATTTATATATATATTAAAATATATAAAACGCCTTTATATAATATTAAATATTTAAAGTATTTAAACTTAATCTTTTTTAAAATTTTCTTTCCTTAAAAAAAATAGAAAAAAATAAGAAGTTAAAAAATTAATGCCAATAACAGTGATGAAATTCGACAGGTGCGATTCGTCCATGGAATAGGAAGAATAAGCTAGTTGCGGGTCACTATATGAAATGTGAAGTGTACAATGCCTGCAGGCAGAACTGGATGGGCACAGCAGAGTTGATAAGCAGAAACCGGGTCAAAGTCATGCAAATCTTTGCATCCGTCAAAGTCCCAGTCCATTCCGGATGTGGTCTGATTACAATCGCCATGACATTACCAGAGTGGATGGTATCCGTCCAGGGGGGACACTTAAAGCCTGCTCAAAATATGATTGGCTGAGATTTAAACAAGAGGATGACCACCAGCGGGATGCTAGATCCTTTACCACCTACGGCTTCAGACTTTTCTTTACGACCAACATTGCCGGCCGAATACACCTTCACGGAATGATCCTAACTCTGGCACCTTTTCAATCCTTGCTCTTACTGTGATTTTCAGCAGTTGAACAACAAATTCCTTGTTCTCGACTCTCGAAGTCTTGGACTTGACATCGGACAAAACAGCCTTGGTGCAGCCTGTGGGGGTTGTGCCGGGAAGGATTCAATAAGGAATATACGGCTCAGGCACCAGCTTACCAACATCCTCGGCTTGCAACGCCAGTTCCTCCCTCTGTGTCGATCTCGAACATAGCCAAGTTCTACACCCAATTATATGTATGGGGATTAAAAAACGAAACCACCTCGTACCTTGATACACCAAAACTCAGCCGGGTGCCCAGCCGTATCGCGAAGTATTACCAGTCTGTCTCCGGGACAAGTTGAAATGTCTCTGAACGCGTCTGGGAGTTTGTTGAGCTCCTTGGCGGGCTTCTTCTGCGCCGAGGCGGCTTTTGTCGCCCTGTTCAGCCGAGTGATCCTCAGCACGGCCCCACGATCAACCGGAAAACGGGCTGCTGGGCTTATCGCCTTGTGCGCGACAACAGCGTGGATGGAGAAACTGATTGTTCCCATTTTCCTGGAAAACGAGAGGCCGCACTGGGCCGCAACAGTAGCTTCGCTGCTATGGGTCCAGTTCCTGAGCGCCTCGGACCTGGTCCTGGTCATCCGCGTACACGCTGCCCAGCTTGCAAACCTTTCGAAATCGAGCTCGAGCATGCTTCGCGGTCTCAAAACGGCAGCGGGCATCTTATTGAATGTTCGACGAATTGGAACACACTGGCAGGTGAAGAATATCCCATCCTCGGCCGGTCTGAAGACGCAGTCACGGTCTGGCTTTGTTGCCAGGCGCGTTGCTGTTACACTCGTGGCCTATCTGTTCGTGGATGCCGTGGTCTCGATGCCACCTCCAGAGCAACACTTGGTGCGAGCAGACAAGGCCGCTCTCTTCTCGTTGCGAAAGTTGGGTGTCGATGATATCGCCTTCCGTTCCGGTACCGTTGTCGGATACTGGCTCTGCACTTGCATACTGAACCTCTTCATGAATAATGTCGGGGCAGTTGTGGCTGTGTTGCTCGGGCTGAGCAGTCCCACAGACTGGCCTCCACTATATGGGCCATTTTCGGAAGCATACACGATTCGTCGGTTTTGGGGGTACGTTCCACTTGACATGTAGGCAATTTGGCCTGGATTGTGTGTCGCTGACATGGCTACCAACAGGATTTCCTGGCACCAGATGTTCCGCAGTTTTTTGACAGGTCACGCGAACCTGATCGCTGACAACGTCCTCCCTTTCGTCTCACGGCACTCGGTGGTCTCTCGATACACGCGTCTGATGATTGCTTTCCTCATTTCTGGCCTGATCCACTATTATGGAGACAGGCTGATGGGGGTGCCGGACGCCGAGAATGGGGCCGTGGTGTTCTTCCTTCTGCACGCTGCATTCATCATGGTGGAGGATGCTCTTGGGCCTGTGGCCAAGACCCTATTTCCTGGTCGTCTCCGCTTTGTTCTTGGATATCTCTGGGTGTTTACCTTCTTCGTCTGGTCAAGTCCAATCTGGATTTATCCTAGCATGAGACTGGGGATCAATCCGGCGGCTTTGCTGCCAGTTCGTGTGGTCGGTCCATGGATAGAACGTTATTTGGTCACAGCTTGACCGGCAGAACCACTGGCTTCAGCAGCAGAGATTGATGAGTAATTCATGAGGGAAGAGAGAGATGGCGAGATCGTTGATAGAGCAGTGGTGCGGGGATAGAAATTGTAGCTCCGTCTTCTTCTGACTGGATTGGTGGAAGACCGAAGAGCATCTCATGTTGCTTGAAACGGCGGGCATTCCTTGCTTGGACACAAAGTCTGTGGCCAGATCCGTTGAGTCCGGTATGCGCCATTCAAGCAGCACTCCCAGGGGATGAGCACGCTAATCTGAGGGTTCATGCCCGGCTTTTGCAACAGTGAGTATCTCGTGCTCCAATCCCTCGACATGGACAAATTGAATGCCGGCCTTCTCCAAGGCCTCCCGGCCCGTATTGTCTGCGACAAATTTCGCTGGCTCCATGACACCAACATACACGGTCTTGATAACCGCAGCCAGGCGGAGAATCCTCTCAGCACACGGCAAGTTGCCGCTGAGACGTTTCGAGCATGGCTCCACGGTGGTGTAAAGCGCCAGATTTTGGGGGAGCACTTGAGCAAGGCTCTCCTCAGAGACACCGTGGGCCTCAGACAGTTTGATCAGACAGCACTGTTCTGCGTGTGTGTTGCCCTGTAGCTCCAAAGTGTATCCGTGTGCCAGGATTTTGTTCTTGTCGGTGTCAACCAATACAGCTCCCACCCTGTAATTTGTGGGCTTGGGAGGGGATTTCCTTGCCAGGCTCAGGGCAAGTTCCATGTAGGCACGGTGGTCATTCGGTTGGATGTCAGACATGGTGGCAGTCTTGTCAGAATGCCGTGCACTTGTAGAAACCACAAGCCTTGGGCTGAAGTTGGACCAGTAATTGAGGCTCTGCAGGTGGCCTGCCCCAGTTCGCTGCCGAGCTCGGCCAAAAAGCAGGCCCCACCTTTGACGTATGTAAGGAGACCACAGTGGCTCCACTCCCATTTGGACCCTGGACCACAGCGCGTCGAGTCGCGTCTCCCGAACGGCCTGAAGCACAGGCTTTCTGCAACTTGACTTTCACGCTTGAAACATTCACCACTCGAAATGTCTGACAGTGAGGACAACATGGCCCCCGAGCCACCAGTAATTGATCCTTATGAGGTGCTCGGCCTTGAGCGCACCGCGACACCCGACCAGATCAAGAAAGCCTACCGCAAGGCTTCCCTCAAGACCCACCCAGGTACGTCAGAGATGCCGGTATAAACAGGCCATGTTCTTCCACCTTTCACTTCATACTCACCACCTGATTCCACAACGCAGACAAAGTCCCCGAGGATCAAAAAGAAGAGGCCACGTCCGCTTTCCAAGCCATCGCCTTCGCCTACGCCATCCTCTCCGACCCTGCCCGGCGCAAGCGCTTCGACGCCACCGGCTCCACCTCCGAATCCATAGTCGACTCTGAGGGCTTCAACTGGTCTGACTTCTACCGGGAGCAATTCCAAGAAGCCATCAGCGAAGATGCCATCAACAAGTTCGCCGCAAAGTACAAGGGGAGCGACGAGGAGAAGGACGACATCCTGGTGGCGTACGACAAGTACAAGGGCGACATGGACAGCATCTACGAGACGGTCATGCTGAGCGACGTCCTGGTGGATGACGAGCGCTTCCGGCGCATCATTGACGAGGCCATAGAGAGCGGCGACGTCAAGGCTTACAAGGCTTACACCAAGGAGAGCGCCAAGTCGAAGCAGGCGCGGGTCAAGGCCGCGCAGGGTGAGTCGCGCGAGGCGGAGGACTACGCCAAGGAGTTGGGCGTTCATGACAAGCTGTTCGGCGACAAGAAGGGTGGCGCCAAGGGCAAGGGCAAGGGCAAGCAGGCCAAGGGCAAGGAGAATCCGGAGGACGCCCTGGCCGCCCTGATCAGCAGCAGGCAGAAGGACCGCGGCGAGGACTTCTTCGACCATCTGGCGGAGAAGTATGGCGCCAAGAAGTCGGCCAAGGGAAAGAAGAAGAAGGCCGTGGAGGAGGAGCCTGATGAGGCTGCTTTCCAGGCTGCTGCTGCCAGGCTTGGTAAGAAGAAGGCATCAGAGGATCCTGCACCGAGAGCAGTGAAGAAGTCGAGGCGCTGAGAGTGCGCGCAAAGGCGGTCGTACATGTTCGGTTTGGCGTTCACGGAAGGGCGGTACGGAATTACGGTCATGTCTTTCTGGGTAGGAAGGAAACGGTCTGGGCTTAAAAGACTAGATACTCTGGGAGTGAAGCTGGTCATATCCAACAGGACCATGCATACGCAATTTCAGCACAGTTGTAATGCCGACATGCAAGTCACACAATCCAAGTACTTGCCCGAAGGCCCCACCCCCGTCTCCCTATCGATCCGTCCAAGCACGCCCGTGATGACCGTACTATTGTGTCAGGGCCCTGATTGACACCATATTCAAATCTCTTAATTTTCGAATTTGAGACCATGTAGCTGTGGTACTACATGCATGTGAACGGCACTCTTCGCTTCCCTCAAAGCTCAACCTCTTTGCGCTTGGCCCTCACGGTTGGCAGTAAGATGTTTCAATCCGGCAAAGTTTCACATTATTAAATAATAAGACTAGTTAAATCCCAGCACCTTAAAATGAGTTCAATACTGCAGTAATGCTGTCAGGGAGTTAGGTTTCCAATGAGTTTCAATAGATCTATGTAGGTCACAAGCCTGCCTGCTCCAGCCTAACATCTCACATCCTTCCCAAACCAGCCCTATGATCTTAAACTCATGTTCTCCAGTCGGGCTGTAGTAAAAGGCTCAGTCAGGATCCGCCCGTAGCACAAGTCATTCTCTCACTCTTCGGACTTACATGTAAGTCTCTTTAGCCCCAGTGGTATCAGTGCACACAACCAGGTCTTGGGTTCTGCTCTGGATGTAGGAGGTTTCCCCATCGTCTTTGAGGAGACTCTCGCTGTTAGGGTCGCTCAAACTATAGCAAAAGTGGTTTCATTTCTAATCCCCACACATATAAAACGTATGTGGTGCCTATATACAGTAGCAAACGCTTGAGACCCAGTGTTTTAAAAAGGGTATAGTGCTAATAATAAGGTAGAAAGAATGTGGTACGTGGGTATGTGGCCTCGTGCTGTATAGACAAGGCTGGAAGGTATTGCTCCTGATGATGCTGGTGATTATTGACATAAGTAGCCCAAGGGTTAAATGTAGGTGAAGCAGTTATGCGGCGAGACTAAGTAGATACCTAGGTATAGTAGTCTATAAATGGTCCTTATACGAGCTTAAGAGAGTGTGATGTATTCTTGCTCTGCCACGCAAGTCTTGCATTTTGAAGTGAATTGCCCCGCGCACTATGACAGCCACTACTAATTATTTTCAAAATACACAGAATCGCCCTGCTGCCCGCGCCATCACCACCCTAACTTGACTTCTGGACCTGAGCCTCCCACGTATACTTCGGATCGTACCCAAGCTCACTCCTCGCCTTCTCAATACTCAACAGCGTGTCCCTCTCCCCCTTCGTAGGCGTATACTTGATGTTCGGGAAACAAGCCCTGACCAGATCCTCATTCTTGGTCCGCATGCAGGTGTCTGAAGCAGCAATGAGATACTGGTGGTGTCCCGCGCCTTTCTTCTCAAGGCTCTTCGCAACAGCCTGGGCCCCGTCGCGCGCGTCAATGTACCCCCAGGCATTCCAGCTCCTCCTGGCCGGCTCGTCCTGCCAGTCCTCAAAGTCGAGGTAGTCGGAGGGGCTCATGACGTTGGAGAACCGCAGGGAGACGACCCTGAGCTCCGGGTCCCACCGCACGTACTGCTCCGCCAGGACCTCGCCGACGAGCTTGCTGAGCGAGTACGCGCTCTCGGGCCGGCGCTCGTGGTCCTCGGTGATGGGCAGGCTGGCGGGCTCGTGGCCGCCGCCGTCCTCGGCGAGCGGGATGCCGATGAGCGTCTCGGAGCTCGCCAGCACGACGTTGCGGACCCCGAGCTTGCGCGCCGCCTCGAGGACGTTGTACGTGCTCATGGTGTTGGTGCGGAACTGCCGGCTCGAGTTGGTCTGCCCCGGGGACGGCAGCGCGGCCAGGTGCACCACGGCGTCGACCCCGGGCCCGCCCACGCTGCCGTACGCCATGTCCGTCGAGATGAACGTCTCCAGCACCGCGCCCATGTCCTCCAGGTCGACCTCGACCAGCCGGTAGGCCCCGCCCAGCCCCGACTTGCCGTCCTCGGACGCCGTGGGCGGCCGCCTGATGTCCAGCGAGATCACCTCCCACGACTCTGCCAGCAGGTTCACCACGGCGCGCCCGAGCTTTCCCGAGCCGCCTGTGACGATCACACGGGGCCGGCGGGGGCGTGCGATCTCGCCCAGGGCGCGGGTCTTGTCGAAGAGGGGGGCGCGGGAGGACGACATCGTGAGATGTTCGTTGCTGGCTGGAAGATAATGCGGGTTGAAGTTGCTGTTGCCGAGAAAAGACAGACACTTGTAAGTTGTAAGTCCCAAGCTGGATCAATCACGCACTGAGTTTAACAACTTGGCTTCAAGAAATTGGAGTAACGCGGGCGGGAATGCGTTATTACTCTGCTTAAATATATAGCAGACATATTAGTACCGCGGGGGTGATGCGGCGACCCGAGACGTCACATCCAAAACTAGGCAACTAGCCTCGAGTACCAGGCAAAAGACACTGCCGGTTTGCCCTCCCGACAGATCTCCGATGATTCCTGACCAGGGTGCTCATCTGCTTTACAAGTTGTGAAGTCTGGGGCCAATTGTTGCCGGATCTGTTGGTTCTCGAGAGCAGCGTCGTCATAGACTAGGTCAAGATCGCCGGTAACAACATGGGGCGGGAGCTCCCGAGGGATGGGTGTTCTCCGGCTCTGGGGGGCGTGGCGCCAGGATCGGTTGTGGGGGCGAACGTCGTTAACGAGAGATTCCCATGCATGCGACTGTCAACGGGATGGTGGAAAGAAGGCAGCTTGTTGTGTTTGTGCTCGGGGGTTTGTTATCCCAAGGACCCAAGCACAAGACACTAGTAGGCATGCCAGATCCCTCGAGACCTCACTTAGATCAGTGTGCTTGTAACGACCGCCTTTGCCTAGCCCACAACATCATACCTAGGTACGCAAGGAACATGTAAGAATGATTGATGGGAGAGTATACAGTGGGTGGAATCATCAAAATTCAACCATCAGATATCATACTAACTGAACAGCTCAAACCTATCGCGACCTGAAGATGGCAGTTCTCGAGAACATATCCCAGCACATCTTTTCTCAGTGAGCGTTACACCTCGTGACCCAAATGGCCCTTCGCCAGGCTGATATCCATCAATGCTAGGTGGGCCGGAGCCTCAATCCCTGTAATTGAACAACGCCGATCCGATAGTGCTAAACAATAACCAACCCCGTTTTGAAACCCTCCTTGGGTATTGCAAATTACCGTTGCGCCAATCTGGCAAGAGCCGTCCAGCCGATGCCCACTCCATGCCGTGCCTATCTGCCGGTGTAATGCGAGTGCTTCCATGTGTTGAGGTTATACTTGAGATGCCGACGAGGCCCATCAAGCCGAAAGCTGCTCGGCCATTTGCTCCATCTTGAGCTTCTCAGTTGGGCAGTTTTCCATTTCCTTGTCGGTCTTGCCCAGATACTTCTGCATCACCTTCTTGAAAGTCGACTCGTCGACCACTGCCCCGGACCCGGAACACTTGGCCTTCTTCTGAAGATCAGAACACAGACCGTCGAGGTCGAAATCGCCGTTCTGAACCTTCGGGCAGCTCTGGAGTTTCTCCCTGTGGCTGATGTTAGAGAAGTTGGAGTGAGAGTGCGGGAAAACTCGTTGGTCAACGCACCAGATCTTATTGCAGGTCAGAAGCTGACCGTCAGTGGTCTGTACAAGCTCGGTCGCATCGTCATTCTTGGCGGCATCAATTCTTGACATGAGATCGTCCTTCTTTTGTGCGGGGCTAGGGGCGAAGTAAGGCGTTGTGAAGTCAACGTCGAAGGCATCATTGAAGAAGGTGTCATCAAAGGTGTTGCCCAGTATGTTCTCTTGGGGCTCACGGTAGCCACCGAACAGCTGTGGGTCAAACTGGAAGTTGTTGGTCGATGACATGAAATTGTTCATACCATTCATGTCGAAGTTGGCGAACTGGCTGAAGTCTGCTGTTTGTTAGCCTTTAGCCTCGGTGTCAAAGGTATGCGGTGTATCGAGTCTCTAGAAGGGCATAGTTTGGATCTCACCTTGGTTCATGTTGCCGAAGGGATGCTTCTCCTCACCAATGGTGGTCAGGGTATCAACCGGCTTGAAGCCCATCGGGGACTGATTGAATGGCTCGGGGGAGGTACCGCAAGACGAGCTTGGACCGCCGTGGGAGTTTGACGAGGCTGAGGGCGATGAAGTGGTAGTCGCCGCACCGCTATTGCTGGACTCTGCCCGACTGCGGCCTGCAGACGCAACGTTATTGTTGGTCAAGGGGGGACTAAAGATGCCGGAGAAGTTGGCCAAGTCCTCCTTGGACTGGTTGTCCAGGCCATTTGCTGATTTGGAACCCGTCGAGCCGTGACGAGCAGATTGTTCCAAGGGGCTGGCCAGTTCGCTAGGGCTGCGGGTGTTGCTAGGCGACTGAGAGTTGGATGTGCGACCGTTGGCAGAGGCGGAGTTGGGGGCAGCTGGCGAGGGGCCTGGAAGCTGACCAAACTTTGGGAACTCGAACTGGAAGTTGACATCGTTCAAGTTGTTGATAACGGCTTGGCCAAATGTGGGCCGTTGGCCGTTGGACATGCTAGGGGCCCGGTTGTTCACCATCAGAGAGACCCTCTTCTTGTACTCGGCTAACTCGGCGGTCATCTTCTCGACCTGGGCTCGCAGCACGCTGTTCTCGTGGTTGGACTGTGCTGAAGCCTTCTCCAGCTCCTCGACCTTGGTCTCGAGGTTCTTGAGGTGCTGTTCCTTGCGCTCTCGGAATGCGCGCTGCGCAGCCCTGTTCTGGGCCTTACGCTTCTATACGATTGAGCATTGTCAGTACATGGCAAGCGGGGACAAGGTTTATATTTGCATTGCGCGTGGCCGAACTCACCGAGGTAGGCTCAGTGGTAAGAGGCTTGCGGCCTGGCTTCTTGGAAACCTTCTCCCCAGTCTCCTGCCTCTTGGCATCGCCTCCGTCATCTTCGTTCTCATCGTCGGGGTGGCTCCTCTTCTCGGTGTCGTTGTTCTCGGAGCCGGATTTGTCACTGCCGGCCGCTCCGGGCAGGTCGCCAATCATCTTAGCGTTGGACCCATCGGCAAAGCTGAAGTCAAAACTGGAGTCGCCATTGATGTCATAATCGTAGTCGAGGAAAGGACTCGTTTCGAAGGCACTACCGTCAGTCCCCTGGGTCGGGGAGCCGCCAAAGGATACCGGGGACATGTTCATGTTGCCAGGGGCAGGCTGCCTGTTGGAGTTGAGGGCAGCGAAGAGCAGACTCTGCTGCTGGGGGGTGAGGACAAAGTCGTGGGGATTGCCGTTGGAGGCCATCGCGAACGTGAGCTGTGGACGAGGGCGGCGAGGAGAGCCAGCTCAGGGTGAGGTTAGACTTGGTCGGGCTGGGTGGAGCAAGGAGTCGAGACGACTACTGTTGTTGAAGTGGTGGTCTTTCCCCGTCCTCTGGTTTGGGGTGTGGGAATTCGCCACTGGCGTGCCACAGTAGTCTGGACCTTAGTCTTGGCTCCGGCGCAGGGCGCAAACGATCTTGGGGGCTTGACACGGCAGGACGGCCAGCTGCAAGGAGAGGTTGTACAGGAGGCTCCAGTCCAAGCAGGCGACGTGGGAACCTGCCGGGGGCGTAGCTTTCTTTGTCCGGTCGAGAGAATTCCCTGGCTTGGAGATGGGGGTCGTCTCTGTGAGAATGACGTGGAAGTGATAGTCAAGGAAGAGAACACGAAAGGGTGGGCACGGTTGAACCGGTGAACAAAGTCTCCGTGAGCCTGGGAGGGTAAACGGAGGAAGAGATTGAACGGTCAGCGCCAACGGAGGGGCTTCCCGCGCGGTCGAGGGCGTGGAAGACAGGGCTCAGAAACGGAGACAGGACAGGACACAACCTTGGAAGGCCAGATACAGTGTTGGTTGTCGTGATTCACAGTCGAGTCGATCTAAACCGGGTCAAGTTGTTGTCCGAGCAGGGTCCCATCTGCGGAATGCAGGTAGTAGGGCGCAGCGCAGGTGCAGGTAGGTGGATGCGGAATGAGAGTGGGAACGGGGGATGGGAACGGGGAGAGGCGAGGGACTGTCCGAGGCTCTCTCACGCACCGTCCTGTCCCTTGGCTAGCCGTAGGGGACGGAGACGGGGGCAATGTCAGGACGTTGTCCGTCTGCCTGTTGTGGCTGCTGACGCTGAGCTGTGGGCAACTAGAAGTTTCCTTGACGCTGGTAGCGGTGGGCGTGGTCACAGTACTTCGTACACACAGGACATAAGAACTAATAAGGGCAGGATTCAGAAGGATTCTGGATTTGACGGGTCGCTTTGGGATTGAATTTGGGGGGTGGCAGACGGCGGGGGGGAGGGAGAGAGGGAGACGGAGGCTGGCTCGCCTCCCCTCCTTCTGGATGCTGGATGGAGGGGCGTGGAAGCCGATGTTGAATTTGTCAGCACCGTATGGTCTGCGATGGGGAGACATGTACAAGGCCACATGCGACTCGTCGCCTGACACGGCCCAGGTCCCAGGGCCGCTCTGCCTCTTCGGGGCTGCGTCTTGCGGCTTATTATTAGGGGCTCGGGACCTGGGGGCCTGGGCCTGGTTTGATGGCTTGGGGCTGCTTGGGAGCATCACCCTTGCCGCGCAGGCCATGGGCGGGGCTTTCTGCACGGTAACGGTGCCGAGTACGTACGCTAGACTATGTGACACCCAGACTGCCAGACAGCCAGACAGAGGCCCCAGCCAACCGGGGCTTGAGGAAGAATCTGTGCAGGTTCAGCACGGGGCAACCTTGATTCCATACTGTCCAGCCAGGCCTATAATAGTGTAGTATAGCCTGTATAGCAGGACTTGGGACTCTATTTGCTCCGGTATGACTCCCAACCATCCAGCCCATCCCGGTTGTTCCCCAGTTTTTGCTGCAGTAGAGCCAGAGCCGGCTGAGAGAGGCAGAGGCCAGAGCATCGTTACGGAGTACTCGGTACGGAGTACACACAACACAGCATTGTCCACCACTGCCAGCCAGCCTGCCAGCCTGCCTGCCTGCATTGGCTGTCCACGCTTGGCAGATCTGGATATGCGCATTGCGCCAGGAGACGGTCTCTGTCCTAGGCTAAAAGAGTCCCAGCTAAACCTCTTCTGGCTGTCCCGCTCGTCTTTAGGAGTTAAGTCTTCAACTCCGAGCGGCCAGTCCATGCTACCAGGCTACCGGCGCTGTTACCCCTCAGCCCCCTCGGATGCATCTGTCTGTCTGGACGGAGTGGTCCGTACTGCTGAGTCAGGGCCCGTCGCATTGTAGTGCCGTCCCAATCCGTCATGTACTGCTTCACCCGCGCCACGCTTGTCTTGCGTGACTCCGACCGTGCTCGCTGACGCTGTGCGTGGGGCGCCAGGTACTTGACCGTTGAGGCTCTCTGATAACAAACGCCCAGCCCAAAACTGTCAGGCCCCGTCTACACCAGAAATAGCGCCGTCCCGACGGCCGGGTGCCCCGGACGGTAAATCTCGGGCTCGGACCTGCATCTCTCCGCCGCCGATTGAGACTGGAGTGGGGAGTCATGATCACCCAACGCCCGCAGTCGTGTGCCTGGCAGGATGCGCACCACACCAACCCCCCCCCCCCAAAAAAAAAGACGGAAAATTGCCCATCCTGAATCTCCCATAGCCTCTTGGGTGCCATTGTCCAAAGCCTATTCCAGCACACACGACACATCTTGAAACCGAGGCCGAGCCCGTAAACGGTGCCATTGACCTGCGTGGCCGCTGGCTGCTTATGGCGAGATAGCCTGGCTGATATGATATGCCCTGCAGTGTCTACACTGCTACAGTATTAGTGCCACGACTGTCGTCCACGAGGCGTGATAATCGGCCATGAGGTCATCTCTTCCATGCGCCATGGTCCCTGGAAACTAAACCCCGACTTCCGGCCTGGGAGTAGCGTGGGCTTTTGGCTGTGACCCGATAAGAAAAGACAGGGCCTTATCGCAGAGGGGTACGGATCCCAGGCCTGGGGGGGTGTGAGCAGGGACAAGCTTGTGAAATTTTTATAGTGCTAGATTCGACTATTGCTGGGCCAACATCGCCAACTGCCCCCAAGCTCGACTGGAGTCTGGTACCAAATGCACCGGCAGCTCTGATATCCGAGAAAGCTCTGCAGACCTCATCTTCGAGTGCCCTCAAGCTCCTCACAGCTCATCGCCCACAATGGCATCCAGCGCATCAGCCGAGGCGTCTCCAGGTCGGTCGCATTTCCACGCCGCCTACCACCCAGGAAAATAAAAAAAAAGACAACCAGCGAGCTAACCAGGCCTTGCAATCCAAACAGACACCCGCCAGGCCCGCTTCGAGCAGGGCGTGGCCCTCTCCCTGAACCTATGGCCCGCCCTCACCCTCGCCGTCCAGAACAACTGGGGCGGCCCAGACTCGTCCGACAAGCGCGACTGGTTCGCCGGCGAGGTGGCCGACCAGTTCCCCCCGCTCACCAGCACGGGCGCCGCGACAAACACAAACGGCAGCGGTGCGACGGCGTCACAGGCACAGGCACAGGGCGGCGACAAGGAGGAGCCCGACGCCGAGTACCTGGAGGAGCTGATCCTGCAGGTGATGCTGGACGAGTTCGAGGTCAACGTCGACGACGACACCGCCTTTGACGTCGCCACCGAGATCGTGCGGCTGCGCGGCCAGTGCGCCCGCGGCCAGTTCGACGAGGTCGACCGCCTGCTGGAGCGCTGGCAGGCCCGCAAGGGCGAGAAGGTCCTCTTCAAGCACGGCGAGGATCAGGACGGCGAGACGGACTGGGAGGACGACGACGAGGAGGACGGTGACTCGGACGACGACATGGACGACGCCCCCGCCCTGGTCGAGAGCGCTGCGCCCAAGAAGGAGAAGGCGCCGCCCGAGGTCGACGACGACGGCTTCACCAAGGTTACGAGGAAGAGGTGAGGGGACTCGCGGCACCAAAAGCTTACTGGGTATGGGGCTTCCCCCTGCTACTGCTACGGCCATGAGAGGGAAGGAAAACCCTCCAAACTATTCGAAAAATGTGAATTTCATCTTGATACCCTGCTATTAGATCGTCACTCCGGACTAGAGCAAGAGGAAGAGGAGGACAAAGAGAGACATAACCCAAGAACTCGGGAAGACCGCCGAGTACGTGCCTCACTGGCGTCGTCTCCTTCAATAACGCCAAGACGCCTCCAACCCAGAGGATGAGACGAGTACAACCCTGCGCAAAAAAGCAATACGGAAACACCCAACCCCTCCAAATAGAGACTGGTCAGACAAACAACGGCACCCGCCATTTATTCCCAGTCCTCATCGCTGTCATCGTCAGCCTTGCGGCCCTCCCTAGGGCTGTTGGGCGCGTTGCTCGGGTTCCCGGACGCCGCCCCGACCATGTCGTAACTCGTCTCGCTGTCGGGCTGCGACCTCTCGTCGTTGGACTTGCGGGACTCGTTCGGCTTCAGGAGGGCGGACGGCTTCTCGGCGGGCTTGGTGGTGGGAGGGTGGATGGTGGTGGAGGAACCGGTCGAGCCGGGCCTCTTGGGCTCGTCCGACTTGCTCGGGCCAGCGGCCTCGTCGTCAGAGTCCTCGTCCCAGCCGACTTCCTCCTCGGCAGACGCGGCTGGACGCAGGTTTTGTTAGCATAGGTGGTGATTGTTGTAGTAGAGAAGACGAGAAGAAAATCAAAGAGATCCGTCAAACACATACCCTTCAGGAGCTCCTTCCTCCTCTCCTCCGCGAGGTCGATTCCGTGCCTCAGGAAGTAGTACCTCTTCCAGAAGTCCTCATACGGTATCGTCTCGGGCACGAGCTTCTCCATCGTCGCCCGCAGCTCGGGGTACTTCTCCAGGTCCTTGCTGATGTCCTCGGTCTTGCCCTTGATGTCGAACTCGGCGCCCCACGTGTCCCAGTCGCCCGTGGCCGGGTCCTTGGTGAAGCTCTCGGTCGAGGTGTGGATGACGTGCAGCTGCGCGTCGAACCGGCTCGTGTGGATCACCCTCTTGCCGGCCGCGTCCTTGCTCTCGAACAGCACCGTGCTGTCGCCGTTGTTGTTGGTGTTGCTGCCGCCGTCGGCGCCCGACGGGGGCGCGATGCTCACGGCGTCCCGCAGGAACGCGCTGATGTTGGTCCCGAACCGCAGCAGCGCCTCATCCGCTGCGTCCTCGGCCCGCTGGATGTCCTTGAGCCGCTTGGCCGCCTCGGTCCGCAGCCGCGAGAGCACGTTCTCCGACTCCTTGATGGCCTCGTCCGTGCTCAGCTCCTTGCTCTTGTCGCCGCTGGCCGACCCCGAGGCCTCGCCCTGCTGCTCCTGCGGCCCTGCGGCCCCGGACTCGGCCCCGCCGGCCAGCGACAGGCCCCGAGTCCGGTTGATGACGGCGTTGGTCAGCCCCGTGAACCCGCGCTGAGCCTCGCTCCCGGCGGCGGCGAGTTCCTTCTGGGCTCCCTGGTATACGGTCTCGCCCTGTGGGTTTTGGAATATCTGTCAGAGCGTCATGGTCTCCCACACTCGGGCCTCCTAGGGCCTTCCCTCTCTCCTCCCTGTGAGACGTACCTGCTTGACCACGTTCCCAAAGAACCCGCCGAGCCTCGCGCCCCAAGGGCTCGCAGAAAAGGCCTTGTACGCATCCTGGAACTCGGCGTTCAGGCTATTCTGCGTCTGCTCCGCACTTCCGGCCGTCTTGTTGCGCTTGCCATCCTCCTCCTTGGGCAGCGACTCCTCGACGATGTGGTCGTAGGCTAGATCCATCTCGATCGGCTTGCTTGATCGGCGGTCGTCCGAAGGGGCCGGATCGTTCTTCTCTGCTGTTTCTCACTCCCCTGTGGTTACCCGGGGCCAGTGGCTCTTTTGATTAGGATGCTGCCGAAGTAAGATGCAATGAGTGACAGAATGATGCGATAGGCAGGTGTCCAGCGAGAGCAATCGAGCTGCCGAGATTGTTTTGAGACTTGTCTGCTGTTAGCTGCCAGGGCCGCGCCGGCAGACAGCGTCACAGGTCCTCAACGAGCCTAACGCGGCAAGCGGCAGGGGTGAATCAACCCCAACCCCACTCACCCCTAATGGGAAACACACAGAGGGGTTCCCTGGTGGGACGGCTTGGGGGACACCAGGGTCAGTTTCGCATGCGGTCTACAGTAACAAGTCAACTAACTATTTGCAGGCCGACCAAGACGATTTTGGTTTGTGGAATTCCTGACACGTTCATGTTGGCGAATGACAGCAGGCTTTTTTGAGACTCTTCCGATAGGGACACGCAGTAAAAGACGTCTTTTTTCCAAATCTACTGATCGAACTATTTGGGTATTTCCGCTACTTATGGTCTCTCTGTGTCCCTCTCTACCATGCCCAGCCACCAACAGGTCATTCCTCACTGACAAGTCCCAAGGGACCTGCTTCGTCTGCTGTGTGAGCCTCCCACTATCCATGCTTTGTAAAGGCTAATGTCGATAAAAAGTGTTATGCGGGAGAGTGATGAAAATAAAAGGGAATGGAGATGATAGGCGGCGCACCATTATCTCGACTCGCTCATGCACCAAACGACTCCACGATTCCCAATCCGGAACCTCATGCAAGCTTGTACCGCGACCAATACATCCATCCCAGCAACCCACTCTATCAAAAGACGCCAATGGACCCATGAACAATACACTCGCACACGGACGGGGTGCCAAGGCGCGAATCGAAAATCGGGCACTTCCGCCCCATGCAAGCCGGTAAAGGCACCTCGCCATCCGCAACCTCTGCGCTGCCCTTTTAGATCCCGGTGCGCAACCCCGCCGTTCTTTGTTCGAGAATTTCCGCCCTGCAAAGAGTTCATCTGAGTGGGCCGTCAGTCCTCCTAGTAGCCACCAACCGGCCTGTGGAGCTTTCGGCTGCTCATTCCCCTTCTGGCGCATCGGATTCTCGCGCGGGCCTGTAGAAATAGACACCACAACGTTGCTGTTACGATGGGATCATCATCGGTAATCCGCTCGAGCAGGGCCAGCCCTCGACGATTTCGATATTCTGGCTGAACCGTCCTCCTCGAGGGTGTGAATCGAATCGGACTAGAGGCTTCTGGTCGTCCGGCAGCTTTCCTGTTCCTGGTCCTTCGCAACCGTGGCCCGGCCGGTCATGCTCGATGACCCCAATCGTGCCTAACCAATGACAACGCGAGCGCCCTCTTTCCCGAGTACTCCCCTCTCCTTCGGCTTTGGGCTGTTGCCTCTTCCCTTCTTCCTACTCAGGAAACCAAAGACACCACCTGAACTAGCCTCGACCTTGCCACCCTCCTGTCCTGCACCGGCAGCATCGGCAGGAAGTGTTGCATCTTGTCGTGCCAGGTCAGACCAGCTGCCACCCCCATCGAGCGTGACTTGGACCCCGCCAGTCGGGCTCTCGACAAAGATGCCTTTGGGCCCCGCTGCCTTTCCATGTTTCGAGTTCGTGTACGAGCTGGGGTATGGTGGCAAGGGCGGCGGGCGGCCAGGGCCACCCTTACGCTCCCTGCTGTTGTGAAGGCCCTTTCCGTGTTGCTGTGGTGTCGAGTTGGCCTCCGTAGACCGCGAGGGTGCTAGTGGTTGTCCTGGCCCGGCCTGGTAAGTATTAGATGAGGCTGTCGCCTGTGACAGCGGCCGTGCATCATTAGTGGTTAGCGCTTGTGGCTGCTGTGCATCGGGCAAGCCATTCACGCCTGCCGCGGCGGGATCACACTCCGCGCTTCCCTCCGTGATCCTGTGTTGACCGAGTCAGTACATGCTGCACGAGACGGTGCATGAGCAGGACTTACTTTTTGTAAGCGGCCACAGTGTAGTCAAATGGCCTGAAGTCGCTCTCAATCATCCTGTACAGCTCATCCTCCCTGATTTCTTTGTCCGTGGCGTCATCCTTGAGCCGTTCTCGCGGCTTTTGCCTCCGCGCCCGGGCCTCCAGGGGAGCTTCCTCCAATAACAGCTCTTCGAGGTCATATGTTGCGTCGAAGTTGGTCTTCTCGGATGATGGCACAAACACCGGCTCCACCTCCTTCCTCTCGAGCGCTTCGAAGTTGATCACCCGGAAGAAGTCATGTTGTGTGAATGATTCCCATGTGCGACCCATTCTTTTGTTTGGGTCTGCGGTCAGTGCATCCTTGATGGCGTACAGGCAGAGCAAGGAGACGGGTGGCTGCGTGATTGGATACTTGGGGTTGGCCGCCTGTATGACGGTGCTCAAAGCGTTCTCAGAATTCCCCTCAAACGGTCTCTGTGCGACACATTAGCTTTCGACCCCACCGCAAGCAAACTTTATCGTGAATCTAGTGCTTCGCTCGAGCTCCCAAGTGGCCCTTATGCTGGATTGGACGGGTGCAGATGGGGATGGCCAACCTTGTTGTAGATGCATTCATAGAAGAGCACTCCGAGTGACCACCAGTCAGCCCGTCTGTCGTAGCCATGTCCAGCATAGACCTCGGGGGCTAGGTATGCGAGTGTGCCGGATTTGCTCGTCAGAACTTTTCCGGGAATGATGTCGGATGCCACGTTCTGTAAAACTCCGTCAGCATACAAGGGTAAATGCGACGTTGGCCGGAGCCGGGGCGTCCTTACGAAATCTGTAAGATGTACGTGGCCATCTGCGTCTAGGAGAACATTGTCGGGTTTAACATCGCGATGGATGATGCCCTGGCCATGTATGTATCTCAGAGCGCAGCCCAGCTCGGCAATCCAGAATCTGACGGCATCCTCTGTGAAGGTCTTCCTGGAGATGTGGAATCGAAGATCGCCGCCACTCATAAGATCAACGACAAGGTACCTGGCGGGGGTAATAAGCATCACATGGTAGCGCGGGGGGTGGGGGCGAGCACTTCTGACGGGGAGACGCACATGTACTCTATGTCCTGAAAACTATACCGCAAGTTGCAAATAAAAGGGTGATTGACATGCTCGAGCATGCGGCGCTCTCGTATAATATTTCGCACGCTTTCGGACCGGACGACTGTATGTTGTCTACGATGTCAGCAACCACGCCGGTGGCAGGATTTGCCGGTTCTCGCCTTGGGTATGCGCACCTTCATCTTTGCGGATATACTTCAGAGCAAACGACAGGTTGGTATCTTTTCGTTCGACAATGCGTACTTTGCCAAAGGCTCCTCGGCCGACGACTCGCAGAAGTCGAAAATGGTTGAGGTTTACTGTTGCAGGAAGATGTCGTTAGTCAATACATGTGGACAATGCGAGGGCGCGCAGGCCAGGGGCCTGAAAGGGTGGAAGAGTAGGGGGCAGATGGAGTGATAAGCACCTTCTCCGTCGAACTCGACGGGTTTGCCCTGGCTGTTACCCATTGGAGCGACCGCCCTGGCTCTCGAACTCGAAAGGCAATGATTGAGTTATGGTTCAACCGTCGACATTTCAGTCGGTCCCTTGATCCAGACGAATGACCCAGGTCGAGCGGCTTTGATTCGACTTGGCTTTGTTCGGGAGGCGGGGGGGAGCAGCGAGGACAGAAGCAGGGGTAGCCGGTGGTATGTGGAGATGGTTTTGGTTAAGAATAGCTGTCCTTCTTTGTGGGGGCGAGGACTGTCTTGATTGTGGAGGGCCTGCTGGTGAAGTTGACAGTTGACGGTTGACAGGCGACGGGAGTTGGTCTCTATCGTGTCGTGGAGGGCGCGGCAGGAGTAGGCTCGTGTGTCTGCGCGATGCAGCTCAGTCGGTGAGGTTGCCTTGCTAGGTGGATACCGGCCGGTGTTGTACCTTGTGCCTTGTGAAAGCCGGTTGACTCGCCGTGTCCTGACGTATCACAAGACAAGGCCGGGGCCACTGGACAGGGACGTTGTAAGCTCGACGAGAGGAGCAGACAGACCGTGGATTGTCTGTCGGGCGGGCAGTCTGTCTGTATGCCTGTCTGTCTGCCTGTGGCAGAGGAGATCTGGGCTGAACTGGAGGGTGGCAGCCCGGTGTGTTGTTGGTGAAGGGAAAGGAGCAGAGCAGCCGCAGCCTCCTAGTTGAAGGGCTGGAGGGAGATTGGTGGCAGAGGCGGGAGATGGCAGGATGATAATGGACCAGGCAGGCAGGGCTGCAGGTCTGGAAATGGCAATAAGGAAGACAGTAGTCTACAGATAGGATATGCTGACAGAAGCGGCAGGGCGGTGGGAAGAGGGATGGAGGATGCGATAGACAGCTGCAGAGTCTGATGAGGTAAAGGCTCCCGGGTTCCCAGGTCCGCAGGGCGGGCGGGCGGCGACCAAGAGGCGAGGCAAAGCAGCTAGGAAGCGCAGAGGGGGGTGGTCCTGCTTGCTGCCAGTGTGGTCCTGTCTGTCTGTCCTTGCAGCCCTTGGACCTTGACTGTTGGTCGGTGGACTTTGACTGGGCCGGGTTGGACTGTGACTGGACGAGACCGGGCTGGTTGGACGGGATTGGATTGGATTGGATTGGACTCGAATGAGAGTGGGTTGGACCGAGTGCGTGCGTCGAAGCGTGCCTCACCCAGTTGGTGGGGTGGATAGGATGAGGAACGGGGACGGGGATGGCGATGGCAATTGGGAAACCCCCTGGATCTGATCTGCCTGGCTCACGAGGGCGGGCAGGATGGCAAGTTTGAGAGACAATGCAGATGGATGGATGTGGGATGCTGCTGAGTGCTGAGCAGAGATGAGGGGAGGGGAGAAGGCTGGCCCTGCTGATGACTGGCTGGCTGGCTGGCTGTTGTTTGTGGTGATGCGGCGACAGAGGCAGAGTAGGCGTAGGCCAGAGAACAAACAGACGGGACTGACTACTGGCTGGGCTGGCTACATTGGTCGAGCGGGCGAGGTTGCACAGGTGAGGCAGGTGGGCAAAGCCGGTCTGGAAGATGGACTTTCTTTCCCCTTCGAACTCTGCCGACCGCAACCTTGTCTTTGGTCTGCCCGTGCTTCTGTGCTTGTGTCTGCCCGTCCCAGGAGGCTAGGCCTAGGTGGTGGCGGCTTGAGCTTGCTTTGCAGCCCAGAGCCAGGTGGGTGGGTGGTGATGCTTTTGCTGCGGGAACAGGGACCGGGATGCGGGGTCGGATTGGACAGTTAGGGCAGTTAGGGCAGGGTGCTTTGTACCATTGTCCCCCTGGTGTAGGTGCCGTTTGGCATAGTATCTGCTATCTATACTTTACCCTCAACTCTCTCCTACGCCACAGTAGCTTGCCCAGATATCCAACCTCCCAGGACTCCTTGCCCCGGCCCCGCTGGCCTGCCGCGACCATGACTGGCCCAGGACTGGCTCAAGACTGGCGTGCATTCGCTTGCTTCTGGAACGCTTCTTTCCTCAGCCTGATGATGTCCGCCCGAGGGCTCGTTGTTGGTGGCTTGCCAAGTGCCAGGTGCCAGGCAATGGAATGCATCCTGCCTGCCTGCCTGCCCGCATGCATGTGTGCCCCCTCCACCCCCCCCCCCCCAATCTGCATCTCCAGGGGGAGGGATAAGTGACGTGTGGGCCTGGGGCAGCTGACGGTGAAGCCAAGCCAACAGATTGCCCTTTGGGGCCAGAGAGGAGTGAGGAGCCAGCAGCTAGGGAACCCAAACCCGCTCCAGCCTGTCAGGGCGCAAATCCCAGGCGACAACGTGAGACTCTGAATCCGCCGTCCGTGGCCCTATTCATCCTTCGTCCTGATGCCCATCTGCCGCTATATGATGACAGGATGAGTAGGACCCACCCCGCCAATCGACCTTATTATTCTTGGGAAGTGAGCAAGATGGGAACTTCCCGATGGGAACGAACAGACCCGTCTGCTTGGTCCAGCCTGTCACCTGCCTGTGCCTCGGGTATCACCCAGCACCTGCCTGCGCACTTGTGATTACTGTTGCACTGCACTCATCTCATCCGGTTGCAGCAAATCCCATGTCTCCTTTTTTTCTCCCGTCATGGACCTGGTACTGACCGACCGGCCGTGCAGTCAGTCAGATGAATGATGATAGATATCATCTCACTTTTGCGTGGCGCGCGCCCTGAGCAACGCCCTCGGCCGGGAATTGGCCCCTCCAAGTTCCTCCTCGTACGCCCTCCTCGTATCTTTGGCCGCATTATTATTCTCATCTGGACCCTTGCGGAGTAGGACGTGCATACCTAGGTGCCTAGGTAGACAGATTTGACATGTCGACAACAAACACTATGGCACCGAGCACCGAGCACCGAGCACCGCAATACGAAACTGACTGCGACCCATCATCGCACCCGCCCCCACCCCCACCGTTGGCCTGCCTCAATGCCCTCGTTCGTAATAGGACTTCTAGAACGGCTCTTCCGCACTTCTAGCCTCGCCCAGATGCCAGTTTTTCCCTTAGTGCTCGCGCCGCCTCAATGCGCCCTGGCCTGGCCTCGGGAGTTGAGTAGTGCCTGGCGCCGCCGCCATGCTTGCCTACCACCTACCGGCCTTTGGAGATCAACTTTTGGCCCCCACCATCCGTTCCTTTCTTTGCTGCGCTCGGTTGCCGTCCTTGAACCTAACAGCCCTTCCCGAGCCTCGTAACGGCTGTTTCGAGCCAAACTATTCTGGCTCATGTCGTGTTACGCCTCGGGGACAATCCCCCACGGCGCTCGCTGGCAGGATCTGGGCCCATCAGAGCACAACTGCCGCGTTGCCTTTCAGAACAGGTCAACCTTGCGCAACAAGAAACCACCCGGGATCAGTAGCGGACTAGCGGACTAGCAGTCTAGCGCAAGGGGTGGTGAGTGAGCATTGTGCTGAAGGGCCGGCCGGCCGGGCAGCCGGGCTAGGCCACTACGGAGTATCAACCTCAGAAGCCTTCATCCACGCTCCTAATGTCTCTCTGATCGCAAATACCCACTCCAGGGTGGTAGCGAGGCGCGCCGTGCTAGTTCCGGCATCAGGAATGCCGTCCCCGGGTGCAGGCACGAGTATTCCACGTGGTTGGGGTTGCAGGAAATATCATGTACTGTGGTACACCTGCTGGCCAGATGCAGTGCCTGGCAGCCCTGGCAGCCCTGAGCGGGCCCGAGGGTCTCCTCTCATGCACTGATGCCGCACCTGTGTTCGGTCCGGGAAGCAGGCCCGCAGTTGTCGGAAGCTGCCAAGGCGACCTGGCGAGTTCTAGACAGGCATGATGCCATTCCGTCGACTTTGGCAGCCCACGTATCCCATTCTTGGTCTCCTGACCGCGTGCAAAAGTTTGCCGAAATGACCGATGGGTAAATGAGGATGGTAGAAAAAAGTGGGATTCTCTCTAGTTCAGCGCTTAAATAAAAGGCGCTGGTTGTCAACCGTAGATCTACAATCCGGCCTGGCCCCTGTAGTAGGCACTACTGGAGACCGCTCGGCTCTGCTCCAACAACCAGCTCTCGTGCGCGGAAATGACTCTCGGCAGCTGACGACTTACGGGACAACCGTCGACCAGAAAGCCTGTGCAGTACTGCGTGGTGCTTCCGTGTCAACATTACTGAGTAACCGTGACATCGTGTATCGTAGCCATGTGCCACGTCCACGTCGCTCAGGGTCTCCGACGTTGGCGCGCGCACACCAACGCACACACTGACGATCCTGATGATTCGCCATCCGCCATCTCCGACGGTCCACGGCCCCACCACCATCGCGGTCGCTATCAAAACTGCTAAATCTGGAGCATTCGGGCTGGGTGCGTGAATTGTCCGAGGCCACATCTCGTCAACTGCGACTCTTCTTTGAGTCCGACAACTCGGCAAAGTCGTGCTGGTGTCTCGGAAGAACCATCAATGTTGCATCATGAAGGAAGCTCCTGGAAAGTTTCCACGATCCATGTAGCAGTGCTATCCTCAAATGGTAGTGCGCTTACGGAGCACTTGGGCCCCAAAGGCGGTCATGATGATTAAGGCTTGGCGTGTGCCGAAAATAGGTTGTTCTGTTACTGTGGCGTGCGTACGACCCCTAGATCCTGTGCCGCACTCATGCGCAATACGCTGGGCAGGGGTGCGAGAACTGATACGGCCTTGGTCTCTTGTCGGCCCTACACGTTAGGGCTGCGCGACTGTGTCCACCATGGCCAGGCAGACATCGGCAACAAAGCCGATTGCAAGGCACGCAATTCCAGGCGTCGGCGCCGACTTCCTAGCGGACATGTCGTCCGTAGAAGACTAGCGGAGTGTTACTTGGGTCACCCCTGGGAGTCTCCTTCGCATGTGCTCGTCGAGCTTCAAAATGTGGACGCGGTTGTGTTGCTGTGGTTAGGAACAATCGTGTCTGCATGGGAGCCCGCGGTGAGGTTCAAGACGTAGTCGAGATGGCGCCATGCCGGAATGAGGGATGTCTTGGAGGTCAGGTCGATCAGTCTTGCCTTTCTGCCTCCTTGCGACACCTCCTGATTTCCCTATCCGTTAGCTTCCAAGGCTTGTCCAGCACGTCGCCTCTGAACTGCCTGGCCTTCTCCCACAACGCAAGCTCCTCGGTGGTCGAGCGCAAGACTGCCAGCTTCTCAATCTTGATCTGCTTATTACCTCTGAACAAGGCCAAGCCGCCCTTGACATCCACGACAGCGCCGACGTCGACATCTTTCGGGACAATTGGGCCGGTAGCCCTCGAGGGGTCGTGAGATTCGGCCTTGGGTAGGTCGGCGACGCACTCAATACACGAGCCGTCGCTGTCATCGACAGTGTAGATGCGGCGGTGGGGGAATTCGTCGACAGCGACTACCATGCCGGTAATGCGGACCCATCGTAGCGGAAGGTTTCTGCGAAAGAAGACGTCTTGTCCTGGGAGCGCATTAGGGTGGGTGAATGACTCGGCGCAAAAGTTGCGATCGGCGCACCTTCGAAACCTGGGTGCGTAGTAAGACTGTCGATGTCGCTGGACCTCAGAGGACAGAACCTGTTGATGGTAGGAGAGAGGTGGAAGCAGTACTGAGGATATACGGGGTCCTCGTCTTTCTCGGTCATGGTTTCAAGGGGCAGGCAGGAGGTTCAGGGCCCGGATTCGGGGGGCCGGGGGTCGGGCGGAGGAAGGGGCCCCGTCAGGTTTCGAGCTGATGCTCGGAATCAGACAGACGACGCTGACCAAGACTCGCACGTGGATGAGTCAGTATCACCGCATCGCAGGCCATGCGGCGGATGGACACTGGCCGCGACCGGTTGGAGGGAAGGTCGCAGGAAGCTCACGGTTGACAGACGCTACTGTGGGCTCGTTGCAGGAAGGTGCAGGTGTGAAAGACGTGGGCAGTGGGACTGGCCACTTTTCTCTGGGCTGTCGTGGGCTGGCTGGCCGGCCGGTGGTGATGATTGGGAGGTGGCTGCCAGGTTGGTAGGTTGGGCTGCTGATGTCGTCCACCGATATGCAGTGTCACGAGGAATAATTGAGGCCGCCCATGCGCCAAGCACATCGACCTGAAGACAGTAGGGGTCAATGTGAGAAGTGATCGGGCAAGCTGTTAGTCGCACTGCAGCGCGGACATTGGAGCTACCCGTTCTGGGGCAAGCACTGGAGAGCTCCCCACCAAGGCAGCGGCATTGGCCAATCTGACGTCGTCGCCCGACTCCAAACCCGGAGCTAGCCTGCTTGCCCAGGCGCGAAAGAGCTCCCAGAGATCTCGACTGTGGAAAGCTTGCCCAGAACCTCAAACAAGCATCAGGCCCGTTTCGATCACAGCACACCTGCACACGTGTGGCATGTGCACCGTTCACCGTTCACAGTTCCCAAATACGCCTCGCCAGTCTCGTCCGTCTCGTCCGTCTTGTCCGCCCCGATTCAAGAAAATTGCCGCAAAGTGACGTGGAAGCTTAGGTGGTTGATCTTGTTCCTCGACCGAGCTCGTAGCGCGCTCGCTACCCAGGTAGGTTACAGTCCGAGCGAGCCAGCCAGCCTGCCAGCCACCAGGGCCCAGCATCAACCTGCAACTGCAACCTGTTTCCAGAAGGCTTGTTGGTTTCCTGGATGGAGACACAGGCACGAGAGAAAAAGGGAAAAGAGATACGAACCGCTGTCTGACGTCCACTTCTTGTCGGCTCTACTAGTCGCCAAAAAAAAAAATTAGACCAGACCGTCGAGTCTTTCTCTCGCTCTCTCCCTCTGTCTCGACATCCGCTTGCTCCTTTGTCCCCGGGCCTCCTTCGTCACTCGAGCCCTCTTTATCTCGCACCCAACGAACGGGCTGCGAGCCCTCGAATTTATCCATCCCAATCTCGACTCGCAGTCGCCAAGGCCACCAGCACTCCGGCTTAGGTTCCACTGGTGTTCCAGCCACAGGCCAAGCTAATACTGAGCCATCCGTCATCACCACAACCTCGTGCTCAGCCTGCCACGGCATCGCACTGAACACCGCAGCTCCGTCCTCATCTCCAAAATAAGCTCCCGCGCTTTGGGTCTTGTCCATCCTTCTGACCGTCCTGACGTTTGGCCCCTGGACTCCGCCGCATTCAAAGGCCATATCCATTACCGGGACCCCACCTCTTTCATCCGCGATCAGCGCCGGGCTTATTGCTAACCAGCCATCGAGGAGTAATTGTCCTCCTGCATCGTATTCTTTGCTGGCGCAGACCCGACTTGAGAAGCTTTGATAGTTTTCTCTTGGTATATTTGCCCCTGCCTTCACGTGTTCTTGGTATCCTGGCTGTGCGTCCGCCTTGCCAAACCTTGAAAACGCCGACAGAACGGTCGCTCCTCTCCCACGACAATGGTTTGTGAGTACTTGGTTTCTTTTCAGCCAACCGTTTGTCTGGCCGTGTTCCCCTACCGTCTGCTCGGTTCTCCTGGCCCGGCCCCTAGCTGCCGTCACACACGCACACACACATAACCCTCTTCCCTCGCCCACCCTCTCACAGCCGTGAAACACCAATCCCATTCTCGCATTTCCTGCCAGCTCTGCCGAGTAGCTTAAGGCCCAACCTCCCTCTAGTCGTCATCAGTACCCTACACCCCTGGCCCAAGCTCCTGTGCTCTGCTCGCATTGTTGGCGACTTCACACGTTCATCCTCGAGTCTTTCCGCAACCGCGCCGTGGCCTCGCAAAAGTTAAAATCGCTGACGATGCGGGATGCCGCAAAATAGCAAACGTCAGCTTCCGAGAACAACTAAAGAGAATGCGGCCCAGTTTTAAAATCGACAGGTCCGGACAAAACGGCTCTGCCGATGAAGAGGGTCAGAGTCACGCCAACGAGCATACGCCCTTGGTCGGCAACCAGAACGGCGGTGGCTCGTCCCACAATGGTCGTGGCTTCTGGGGCCAGGTGTTCCTTGGGAAGCACACGCCCGGGTTGGACAGTCCGAACCCCTTCGTAAAGTGGCCGGTGCATGTCTGGAACGTGCTCAAGATCACGTTGCTCAGTAGTAAGTGCCTCACGCAGCGGGAGCCTGGTTCCTCGCCGGACCACGGCTTCTGCTTCTCTCCTTAGTATACCGTGCTCGTGTTCTTATTATCGCCACAGACTATGTCAATGTCCTCTTGTTCTTCGTCCCACTCGGTATTGTTGCCGGTGTGTGCGAGTGGAGCCCCACGCTTGTCTTCACCCTCAACTTCTTAGCCATCGTACCTCTGGCAGCCATCCTGTCCTTTGCCACCGAGGAGATCTCGTCCAAACTGGGCGAGACTCTCGGCGGTCTGCTCAATGCCACATTTGGCAACGCCGTTGAGCTTATTGTGAGTCCAATACCCTGGTAATGTGAGTTTGTTCACATCGACTAATGCGTTTTGAAGGTGAGTATCATTGCTCTGCAGAACAACCAAATCGAAGTGGTCAAGTCCTCCATGCTGGGGTCCATCCTCTCCAACCTGTTGCTGGTCATGGGCATGTGCTTCTTCCTTGGTGGAATATTCAACATGCGTGACGCCCGCGGCAATGGCAGGGAGCAGGTCTTTGCTTCCGGCACAGCCCAGACTGCCTGCTCCCTGATGACCCTCTCTTCGGCATCTCTGGTTATCCCTGCTACTCTTTTCATGGTCCTCGAAAGTGACAAGGATAAAGCCGCCGCACACAAGAGCGTTCTGATACTTTCCCGCGGGACGGCTATTATTTTGCTGCTGCTCTACTGCCTCTACCTGTTCTTCCAGCTGAGGACGCACAAGAACCTGTTCAACCCTGAGGTGCCAGAGAACTCGGACGACGAGGAGGACGAGGAAGAAGCCGAAGAGGCATCTATGAGCGCCTGGTCGGCAGCGGCAATCCTCATCCTCACGACGATTGTGATTTCATTCTGCGCGGACTACCTCGTCGACGCCATCGATCCTATTGTTGAGACTGGCGCAGTCAGCAAGAATTTCATTGGCCTCATTCTTATCCCTATTGTGGGCAATGCCGCAGAACACGTCACGGCCTGTGTCGTGGCAATTAAGAACAAGATGGACCTGGTATGTCCCAAAATCGCCGACTAGTTTCCTCATGCGCGAAATGGCAACACTAACCTTTTTATGCAGGCTATGGGAGTTGCTGTTGGTTCCAGTGTGCAAATCGCCCTCCTCGTTACACCATTCCTTGTCCTGCTTGGCTGGGCCATCGATCGGCCTATGGACTTCCAATTCGAGACGTGTAAGTTGACTATAGTTGCTCCCACGGCTATCCGGCTTCTTTTGTGGGTCCTGTGGCTTATACTAATTACTTGCGCATGTATAGTCGAAACGGTTTCTTTCTTCATCTCTGTCCTTGTTGTCACCTACGTTGTGCAGGATGGCAAGTCGAATTACCTCGAAGGAGCTATGCTGTTCGGTTTATACGTTATCATCGCCTTGGCTTTCTACGCTACCCCCAGTGACGCCCTCAACAACATGATGGCTTCCATCTTCTAAAAACCTTGAATCAATCAAAGGTCGCAGGATTGGTAAAAGAATATCTGCTTCTTTCTACAAATCGCGAATGCTGGATAACCCTCAACCTGGTCGGCCGCGTACAAGAAAGTATGGATAACGCTAAGTCGAAACATTCCGGTCTGGCATCAGGAGATATACGGGGCGAGTACAAGGCAGAATTCCACCACGGCAACACGATGGTTATGCGCCAACGGTCATCGGCGAGCGACAACATTCAAAGTGGGGAGTGGTCCACGGGTTCATCCCTTGTTTTTACAAAGATGTCTGTCTACTGAGGCAAGGGTGGGCTTTGCTTGATGAAAAGGAGGGATTTCAGGGCACGGGGAGTCGAGGTCGACGGTGGAGAGGTGGGCGTTCTGGGAGATTTTCTTTTGTCACTTGTAAAAATATGCGGGGCGGGTGGTCAAGATTTCTTGTGATTATGAATGAGCCCAGGCGTTCGGTGAATAACCAGTTTCGGCTTTTGAGTGGCGTCACCATTCCTGCCTTGCCAACCTCGAAACCACAGTGACTTGTCTCGGTGCTCAGCGCTGGCAATGTAACACATCGAAAGTCTAGCTGCCACTTCAAAGGTGTGGCTACCGACCGCAGCAGGGAAAGCAGCGGGGCCTATTGCTCCGCAAGGGTCCTCCCGAGCTCCTCGCCCCTCCTGGTTGCTGCCTCGACCGCCTTGTCGACGATGCCCGCCAGGCCGGACGCCTCGAAGCTCTCGAGGGCGGCCTGTGTGGTGCCGTTGGGGCTGGTCACGTTCCTGCGCAGCTGCGCCGGGGTCTCGGCCGACTCGAGCATGGTCTTGCCGGCTCCAAAGCACGTCTGCTTGGCCAGGCGCGTTGCCTGCTCCTCCGAGAGGCCGAGGCGCGTGGCGCTCGCCACCAGGTGCTCCACGATGGCGAAGAAGTATGCCGGGCCGGAACCTGTTGGATGTCGATGGGTGGTCAGCGGTTGACAATTCCAGCCTCGGTACTTTAAAAAGAGCTTACCAGACAGGCCGGTGACAACATCCAGCAGCTCCTCCTTGTCGACCCACTCGGTGGCCTTGCTGACACTGCTCATGAGCGCGGTGACGAGCTCCTTCTGCTCGGCCGAGACGCCACCCCCGGCGGCGTAGAGACCGCTTGCGCCCTCGCCCACAAGCGCAGGGGTGTTGGGCATGACCCTCACGACAGGCGGGGCGGCGCCGGAGGGGGTTGTGCTCCACTTGCGCAGGCTGTCGCTTGTGATGCCCGCGGCGATGGAGACGAGCAGCGGCAGCTCTGCGCCGGGTGCGGACCAGGCGTCGGCCCCGGCCAGCTCCTGGCACACCGTCTTGGCGACCTGGGGCTTGACGGCGACGATGAGGACGTCGGCGCCGGCGGCGGCCTCGAGGTTGGACGTGGTGGTCTTGACGCCCAGGTCGGCCATCTTCTGCCGGTTGACGTCCCAGGGCTCCGAGACGTGGATCCTCTGCTTGTCGAAGCCCTTGCTGACCAGGCCGGAGATGATGGCCGCGGCCATGTTGCCGCCTCCTGTGGGTGGGTGTGAGCTTGATGGGTCTTTCTTCTTGTCTGCTGGGGTCTGACGAGGGGCACAAGCGTACTTACCAATGAAGGAGATGTTCTTGCTGGACAGGTCAGGCGCCATGTTGAACCACTTCTGGGCCGGTGAGTCTAGGGGTGTGGGAGCGAGGGTTTTGGGAGCGGACGAGTGACTTCCATGTTAGCCCCGTGACAAACAATAGCTACAGTACCGAGCATGGGCCCCCACCCACTCCAAAGTGAGAGGTCATGTTGACTGCTTCCGAAGGCGGAGCCCATGTCTCGAAGGGTAAGGGTTGCTTGCTGTCTCTGGTCTTCTCTCCTTCCGACTCAACGACTGCAACAGTCCAAATTCGTGTCATGTAGACTGCTCATAATCTTACTATTACTCTCTCCCATCCTTGGATGAGCCACCCTTTGATGGGAGCCAATCGCACCAAGCAACCGTCCCGCCCGCAGCTGCCCGTTGGCCTTGGTAGCCTATCGTCAGGTGTCGACCCGCATCTCGAGGCGCGGCGGCGTCCGATGCCGTGGGGAAGCCGCTCCGCGGCGACGGGGACGAGCAACGCATGTGGTTAAGATGCCCGTCTGCCCGCTGCCCGTCAGCCACTTCCTCGCCCTGCATGTACGAGCCGGATGCCGAGGAGGGTCGCCACGAAGCACTTACCCGCCTTGGAATTTGATGCATTGCATCTCGAGGGGCAGTCTGGCAGTTGGGAAGAGACAACAAGAATTAAACAGGGGTGCTGGGGGTTGCCTCGGTTGGGACGGGGCCGCATGCGCATGCCCGGGCTCCAATATCTCGATGCAGCATGTCAAAACCCAGTGACAGCTGCAGGCTGTCCGGCCACGGGGAGGGCCCCTCCAAGGGCTCTCGTACCCAACAGGAACGCGTGGAGTATGGAAAATGGCCCGAGAGAAACCTGGCCAGCCGTTGAACTTCTCGGATCGACTGGCTGCATAAGTAGTAGGTAAGTAGGTAGCATGGGTCCCCGGGGCCGTCGTCAATACAATCTGCAGACTGCAGACTGCAGACCGCAGAGTGCAGACTGCATCCGACTACAAATTGTCTCGTGGCCATGCTTCTCTCCTTGTCTCCTTTGCTTTTCCCGCTTCCCTAGTGTCCCCTTCTCACTCACATCTTTTTCCTCTTCCGATCCGTGCCCATTCCCACTATTAGGTGGACGAGGGTATAACATCATCCGCACTCTCATCACACATGTTCTGACCTCAGGACACCCACTTAGGACGACCCCCCAGCCGGATTCCCACTATTAGGTGGATGAACCGCTGGTCCTGCCCCCCCCCCCCTCCAATAGCAAGATATCTATCTCTGGTTTCATTTGTTCACCTGGCCCAGCCGCTCGTTGCTGTGTCTCTCCCAGCGCTCTCCTTGAACAAGTGCCAGTGCCAGTGCCAGTGCCAGGCAAGCCCGACGAGGTTGAGCAATGTGCACTCAGGTCAACAGCCTCTTCAGGTGCGGCCACCGCGCCTTCAACAAATTCGATAATTGTCCCGAATTTGTACATAATTTTTCATATCTTTCCCTCGCCCGTCCTCGGCCCAACCCTCCAGCCAGCACTGCCAACCTCCCCCAGTCAGGGTCATCACATGTTTGCATTCGGAACCCCAGCTCTTGAGTTTCTAGGGAACCCGTCGTGCTGACCAGGAATGGCAGGGCAAGTCATGTCTCGGCGCGGGAGGGAATCACAAGGACGTGTCCGTCGACAGGGTCTGTCAGGACTGCAAGCTGCGTGAGTCCCAGGGCAACACCCCCGCCGCCGGCACTCCTGAGAGCAATGGTGGGGGGTCTGGCGGGGAGAAGAAGGACCCGTGGTGGGACGGTGATCCGTGGAGGAAATACAGGAAGGGGTGAGCTTGACGTCGAGGCCGAGACGTGTTGGCTGGTGTAGGTAGGTGAGTTCAAGGAGGGCGACCCTGGCAATTACTACATAGGAAAGCAAACAAACCAGAGACATGGTTTCAAGCTGGTTGCTACTGACCGATGATGCACTGCTTTATTGATCTTCAGATTTGACATCATTGCGCTGTTGTGGGTCAAGTAACGCCTTAGGGTTTACTATGTACATATATCTACACGGAGGTAGCCGAGGTGTAAGTACGCCAGCCACGGACAGGACCATGATGCATGCGGAAAATGAGGAGACACTCGGTATTTCCGTCCAAAACCGAATACCAAGCCAGCAACCTTTTCCTCAGAGACACTGAAAGAAAAAAGCAAATGCACACCGCCTCACGGTTCGCTCACCGATCATATCCTCGCTGAAAAATGTTTCCAAAACGCCATTGCTGTACCATGTAAGAGAACAAGCATGTCGATGCAGAGGCATGAAAAAGTATTATATCCACACAAGGGAGTTGTGTCTACTTTTTCATGAGCGCCCGCCACTTGTGCTGCTCCTTCGACCAGCGGTAGTTGATAGGAGACTCGCTACCGACGAAGACGACAGCATCATACACGGCGCTGCCAACCAGTGCACCAGAGACGCTGGCGCCCCAAGGGCCATACGCCCAGAAGCCCGTCCCAAACAGTTCGGGACTCCGGTACCCGCCGGCCAGCGCGGCCAGGCGCGGCCCCAGGTCTGCGGCCGGGTTCAGGGCGCCGCCGGTGTTGTAGCCAAGGGTCATCTTACACACGGCCACCAGCAATCCGATGATAAAGGCGTGCATTCCCGCGCCTGGCGGGTTGTTCTGGTCGTCACCGAGGGAGAGCACGGCCACCATTATGACAGCGCCGCCTAGGAACTCTGAAAAGAAGGCCGTGGCCGGCTTCACCCACGGCTGGGGGACAGCGCACCAGCTCGTGTATGTCTCGGTCCTGAGTTGGACGGCCTGTTGTCAGCGAAACACTTTTAATCTGGGTAAGTTGACCAAGGGAAAGAATAGCCGGCGCTCACATCGTAGGGTCAACCTCCATAATAGCATCATAGTACAGCGCATATGCAAGAATGCCGCCCGCAAACGCACCGGCGACCTGCACGACGACGTACGCAGCGCAGCGCCGCCAGGGGAACCCGCGATACACGGCGAGCGAGATGGAGATGGCCGGGTTCATGTGGGCACCCGAGACGCCGCCGCCCATGTAGATGCCAAACATGAACGCGAGCCCCCACGCCCAGCACAGCGTCTCGTACGTCCCGTACTGGGACTCCTGGCCCCTGGAGAGGTTGACGCTGAGCGTGCCCGCGACCCCCAGGAACACGGACATGGCCGTGCACAGGAGCTCGGCCATCAGCTCGGGGTACTTGGCCCGGAACCGCGCCCACCAGTTGCGCATCGAGTCGGGGTCCGTCCGGCCCTCCTCGGCCGCGTCCTGCTCCCGCTGCCCCCCGTGCGTGTCCCCGTCGATCTGGAACTTCCTGGCCGTCTCCGTGCCCTCGGCCTGGTCGCCCTGTTGCTCCCGCCTCTGCTGTGACGTCTGTGGCCGCGGCGGCTCCTGGCTGTCATCTGAGCTTGTGGCCATGTCCCTTGTCTCCGTCTTGCGCAGGCCCTGCTCCACATCTTCCTCGTCGTGTTTGGGCTGTCTCGTCCTTCGCACTGTATGCGGCAGCGGTTCGCCGAGGCTGAAGACGGGCTTTTCGTTATCCTGTTGTGCAACAAGGAGGTTAGAAATACATAAAGATCATATATTTTATTGGTAGGCAGGCGTGATTCGGGAGTGTGACTGGAGTTAGGCCATAGTGTAAGTTTAATTAAGCTGCATACCTGCTCACGCCCTGGGCCCTTTTCTTCATCAACATGTGGCAGGGGCTCGCCAAGACTGAAATTCGGCTTATTTCTCCCTTGATCGTACCACGGATTTTGGTCGCGGTAGTCCGAAGACGTAAGCTGTCCCTTGGGTTTGGCCTGCTGCTTAGCAAACTCGTTGATGAGTTGCTCCAGATTGCCCAACCCCTCGTCGTCCAGCTGTGCCACCACCCGTAACATCTTGTCTGAGGTCTTGGGGTTTTCGTTCATCCGCCCCAGGGTATAAGACGTCGACCTTGATTGGCGGCTGGTCATCGCTGGGCGCTTGTTGGTCTGGTCTGAGCTGCTTGCTGGTACGTTATCTGTACCAAGGGTGTCTTTTGATATCTCACTCCGTTTTGGGTCACGCTGGAAGTAACCTTTGTCTCTTTCAACTGGTGGTCCGCTAGGAGTCTCGGCTGTATTTGGGTGTTCTGAATTGCTTGGCTGTCCTTGTACAGAACGGTTCAGGCCATTAAGGCAGCGTTCGCCCCATGGCTGAGAGTCTTCTCCAGACATGCTTTCCATCAATCTTTCCTAAATTGCTGTCAATTAGAGACTCTGAGGGGACGTACAGCTGATACCTAGGTAACGAGGGCACATCACTTACGGTGTATCAGCGAAGATAGATGCTGTGTGAGTAGGCTGTAATATAGGGTTTCTCTTGCTGATGATGTTGAATCCGCTGGATTGGTTTCAACTTTGCAATTTCCGGAAGACTGCAATTCCTTATCCGCAAATTCACCGATTCGTACAGTTCTCCAGCCCCGATGAGGTTCGAAGCAGCACTATGGGAAGCAAGCAAGATCGAAGGGTACGCACGCCGATTCACCCGGTGAGAGAGGATATTTGCTTCTTATCCGCCAAACAGCTGAGAGGCGAAAAAATCCCCTACAGCGACGCACTGCCTTCTGACGTAACCGGAGCCCCTAGAGCTTTCATCTTGCTGCAGTTGTTCGGCATCAACAGTAAAGAATTCAGCCAGGTTGGATTCATTGGACCCATCCCCGGAGCTCTTTCTCCGTCATGATGAGGACGCACCAGGCATGGCCGGACACCAGCCCGGTGGTGCTCCACATTACAAGCTCCTCGATATCTGAAGTACCGCAAATATACCCGACAATGACTGAAAAGGAGACTTCCCAAGGCGGGACCTTCCGAAGATTTCGAGGCTCTGAGGAGCTTTCAAGGCCACCTGGGATCTCGATTCAGGCCGCGGAAGGACTGTTCCTATGAAATATGTCGATCAAGTCAGGGGTTCAGTGTTCATCTACGCGGCTCAACTACCACGTCCCACAGTGTCAAGTGGGTCTTTGGGGCAGATTCGTCCGCCTTGCGAGGCAAAACCACAAAAGAAAAAGTATGCCATTTTCAATAAAGAGGAAACAATAAGGGGGCTAGCTTGCAAACAAAAAGAAGAGAATTTTAACAATACCTGAGCATGTCATGCTACTTGACTGATGGCAACAGAACTCTGCCAATATGTTGGAGCCGTCGTGTGTCTGTCGTCATGGGTCGCGGGATCTGCCGCAGGGAACATAGACGAGGCAGGGCGATGCTAGCTGATCGCCCCACCGAAGACACCCCAAAGGGCAGGACCCCGGTAGAGGATTTTTCATTACTATCTGTTGAACCTGTTATGTGGTGTTGGGTTGATGTGTTGGCCGTACAGCCGTGCACCACAAGGTCTTGGTTGTATCAGTGTTCAGGTATTCCGCAGACAGCGAGGACGACATCGCTCGCATTATATAAGTGAATGGAATCCTGTGAATTTGTATTCTATCCACCAGCCTCTATACCTATAACGCCACCCTCATGCGAGTTGATCTGAAGGCATAGCCGAAATTCGGGGCACAATACGGGCCAAATCAAGAATTGGGAGTCCCAAGACAATGGGATTACTCAAACCTTAGGCTTTGCCATCGGCGCAATGATGCCTTGCTTCACGATGACCCTCGGCTTCGTAGAAGCCTGGAAAGACTCCTTCGTCATCCATTCGGGTCCAACGGGGAGACGTAGAGACCGCTCGTACTGCTGCCTGGACTCGAAGGGATGTGGCAGTTGCGAGGCGAGGAATTTCTCGTTCTAGATCAGAGGCATGTTAGCGACAGTCTCTTGCGCGAAAATAAGAGACACGACGGAAATGGCTTGGCTTACCTTGCGGTTCCTCTTCTCGTTGATGATGACCCGGTCCATCTTCGCGTCCTTCCTATCCTTCCTCTTGATGCCTTCTTTCTTGGTCATCACCTTGCCCTTGGCGCGCTTCAGGGCTCGTTTGCTGATGCCCTCGCCGGCCCAGCTGCCCCAACCCGGCATCGTGTTGTCGACCATCTTCTCGTCGTCCTCTGACATGATGGCTTCTTTCTCTGCCTCGAACTCAGCCACCACTTCGTCGCCTGCGAAGGCGCGATTGGCAAGATCAATGTCCCGGACCGCAAGGGGATGGTGGATTTCATCATCTGAGGAGTCGTCCCCGGTTGCCAAAGTAGAAGAGGGACCATCTACTGCTCGTTTGGCTGCCGTCTTGCCTTTGGTCTTGGAGGCTTTGGGTGGCTGGCTCACTAGTGTAGTGACGTCGAGGTCTAAATCAGCCTCAGGCCCGTTGCCTGTGATTTTCTTCTTCTTTCTTTCGACCACGGCTGATTTTCCTTGTGACCATGCGCCTGGCCCGACTGTGGCTGATGACTCGTCATTGGTGTCTTTCGCAGACGAGATGTTTATGTTGGTGGATGAAAGCCCGCCCTTGGAAGACTTCTCCTTCACAGTACTGGCGACTGCGGGCTTTGCCTCTCGTAGAGGGCGTTTCTTCTGTTCTGGGACGCCGTATGATCGTCGTCCAACCTGTACATCGGCATCATCCTCGTCCTCTTCTGACCCGGATTCGAGGTCACGACGAATCTCCGCCAGGAGCGCGTCATTTTCCTGTTTGCGCGCCGCCTCGGCCCTCTGCATGAACTTGAGCTTCATGAGATTAGCATGTGGGCCCTCGTCCTCGTCATCGTCGTCGTCCCCGTCGAGTTGCTTGAGCAGTCTGGAGTTCCCGTCTTCGTCTCCCGAGGAAGATGTCGCATCCGAGTCATCTTCACCTTCGCTACCACCAGTCCTCCCCTCAACCCTCTTTCTAAGCTCCTCGTCTCTCCTGGCCATATCTGTGAGGCCCGCCCGGTAGTCGTCGTCCCACACAGCACGGCCAGCTTTGGAGCCCATCTTGGCCCACTTGCTGTCCTTGTGCTTTGCGCCAACTCTCTCCAGAGCACGGCGCCGGGCCGCAGCCTCCCGCTCATCTTCAGAGTCGATTTCCCCGGCAGCCTTCATCTCCTCGTGCAACTTAGCTTCCTCGCCCAGTTTCTCCTTGCGGTGAACTCTGCGGTAAGTCTTGGACTTGATCTTCTTGATCCGTTTTGCGCGCTTTTGTTCTCGAGACTGCATTTCTCGGTCTTTCCGGCGCTGAGCCCAAAGCTCTTTCAGCTCAGAGCGAGAGATGGTCTGCTCCTCGCCGTTGGCATCGATCTTCTTTTCTTGGTCCTTTTGTGCCTGGGCAGCAGGCCCGAGACCAGATTCCTCCATGATGGACATGATGGTCTGCTCAAGCTCTGTACCAGCGGTCTTCTTGTTCAAGGGAAGAAGCTCGCTGTTGTCAAGGCCAGCATTGGCAAGAGTGTCCGGGAGCGGGAACATAAGATGATCTGCCCGGCGGTTCTGCTTGACTGTGTCGTTCCACCTGTCCAGTGTCTTGTTCGTCTGCTCGTAGGCCGCGATTCGGTCGAGCTGATCTTGTCGCCGCCTGGCGAGTGGTACGTCGAGCTTCTTGGACGTGCCTTTCTTGCCCGCCTCAGCTCTCTCCTCTTTCTTTACCCGCTTAATACTCCTCTTGATGTCAGGATTCTTGACCTCCGAAATCCCAAGGTCTTGGAGAGAGAACCCCTGTTTCGAGCGTGTGCCACTGCCTGCCTCTGCATCCTTGTCCTCCGTGTCTGCATAGCTCTTGAGCAGTTTGTCGAGTTGCGCCCGCTTGGCTGGGTCGACCTCATCATCGTCGGATACCTCAGACTCGCTGTCCTGGTTGTCGGGGTCCGACTCCGACTCCGAGTCCGAATCGTCGTCCGACCCAGACTCGGTATCTCCCTGGGAACCCTGAACCTCGTCATCGTCCGAAGACTGCATGAGAGCGTCGGCAAGGTCGATAGCATCCGATCCCAGCGATTCGCCGTCGTCGCCGACGTCTTCCTCTTCGGAGTCAGAGTCGTCCTCTGCCGTCTTATTCTTCTTCTTCTTCTGCGCTCGACCGCCCCCGAATGCGTAGCCGTCGAACTTTTCCTCGTCACTCTCCCCGAAAGCATCGTCACTCTCAATCTCTGAGTCGTCGTCATCAGAGTTGACTCCTACATGCCACTCGTGGCCCTCGCTATCACTTCCGCCGTCTGATGCTTCCCCATCGCTCCCGCTGTCCTCGTCATCATCGCCGGCATCTTGTCGTGGGCGCTTCTTGCGTGGGCCTTCGTCCTCCTCCTCGTCGTCTTCCTCATCGTCGTCCTCGTCGTCCTCGTCACGACGGTGTTTACCACCTCGAGGTTTCTTCTCGGGGTCGAGTTCCAGATCCCGCCCGCGCCTTGTCATGCGGTCGGGCTGGACTTGTTTCCCAGCGATGGCGAAGGCATCGAGTGCGTGGGCCCGGGCTTTTGCCTTCGATTTTTGGTTGGGGCGCTTCGGGGCTTTGGACTGGGAGTTGCCCAGGAGGCTTCGGCCATGGGATTGGCGTCCTGGCATTTTTGTATCTGGTCGTCCCAAAGAATCTGAGCAGCGAAACGAAGCAAAACCTGCGAAAGATGGGCGAGTTGTTCCAAAATTTTGGGTTGTAAGCCTTATCGATAACACGGCGCATGCGCTACCGGCAGGCAATCTACGCTGGAAAATCAACCTCGCCTGATCCAGTGGTCAATAACCCGCATCCTCGTACAACGGATGCGCCAAACAGGATCGATACCGATTGCTTGGGACATCTCATCCGACGCAGCTGTATAATACTCGCGCTGCATCGGGCTACCTTTGCACCCGACAGCCTACCCCAATCACCCCGGGCGATCACCACCGACCGACCTTCGAACGACAGAGCACAATGTTCAGGCCAACACAAGCCCTCGGGAAGAAATTCCGCAAGTTGCGATTGACGACGAAGGATATCAACAAGGGCTTCTACAAGGGAAACCGCACAGGAAACGTGGGGAAGCACGACAAATGGGGTGGCTTCATTGTGCAATATGAGAAAGTGAGGACGTACGCGGTGCCCGCAGGGCTGGACACATTCAAGGTGCGTTCGCACGGGATCTACCCCGGCCTATCTGATAGATGCGTGAGTTGCGTTGGAGTGCTAACCATGTGCGAATAGCTCACTCCTTTTGTGACCCAGAACGTAAGAGCAAAGTCGGGCATGGAGAGCTACCGAGAATACGGCATGGACGGCCCGAGGAGTCCCAAGCTATACCTGGACAGGTGGAAGGCCGAGAATGGGCTGGACTGAAGAGTCTGGCTGGCATAATCGGCGATTCCAATACATTACGAAGGCATCCATGTGCTTTGCAGGCTACTAGAATTGTTATACTTGCGAGTGGGTTCACCCGGTAGTGGGCTTGAGCTAGGGGGAGACGAGCTGCACTGCATCACTGATGTGAAGTGCTTTTGCATTCGAGTCAGCAGGATAGATGGAATCATCCTGGTGTCCATAACTGGACGCCTCACGCAGTGTGGTCATCTGGACAGTGGGTCGAGGTGGTCCGGGTCTGCGCAACCGAGAACCACGGGGCCATACTACGGCTGCGATGTCAGGACATTAGAGAACATGAGCTCTCTATACTTCACTTTTTGTCAAGCTCCATTGTACAAATTCCAGTAAATTCAAGATCATATCACCATCCCAACATCTGCCACTCTATGAAAAGGGTAACCACATGCTTTGATCCGACGTTCCGGGCACAACTCTCGCCATACCATCCAACATACCCAAGTAGAACCGACTCATTTGTATGGCTCCCTGTCACTCCCATCAATGCAAGCCAAGCAATTCATAAAGTTGCGACCAAAAGAACCGCAAAGACATTGGCTAACAGACCAGGAGCATTTGCCAGCTTGTTCAGATCCAATGCATCGTGTTGCACAAGTCTTTGTGGACCTCCCCGGCCAGAATACGTCTCTTCTCTCCCGGGTCTTTAGCTGACTTTTCGACCTCCCGTTTGATTTCATCCTTGGCCGCTGCAGCTTTGTAGGCGCGCGCCCTCGTGCAAAGACTGTCAACGTAGTGAGCCGGGGTACAGATGCTGATGGCCTTGGTGGCGCCGCCAAAAACATAGCACAGGTCTTGCGTGAACCTCTCAAGCTCCCTGGAAGATTCCACGGGGTCGGGGTGGTTGGAATCACCCTCCTGGAATACTCCATCCAGGAGCACGACGTAGCGCGCCGGTTTGGGAACCCCCTTGCTCGCGAAGTGAGAGGCCAGGAAGAACTCCCGGTAGTCGGGCCGGGCCACGACGCTGTCGACTGCTGTTCCGGGCTTGATATTCCTGTTCAGGCCGCCGTCTTTGACCTCAATTGGAAAGAACTGAGTCGCTTGTCCCTTGATGGCGACCACCAGAGTGATTTTTGTCGGCTTGCCGTCGAACGCTTTCTTGAATGTCTTCTGAATCGCAGGGGCTTCTTGTTTAAGCACCGTGTCGAATTGGCTCTCAGACACGCCGTATCGATAAATAACAACGCTCAGCGTGGGCTTGTCCAGAGCGAAGGCATTGATCGAATGCCAGGTGTGGAGCTGGTTCTCAAGCCTCTCGGTGAAGATTGTGCCCGTCACCTCCTGCTTAGTATCCTGGTTCCAGCAGGATGATTGCCATTGGCCGAGTTTCTCATCAGCGCTGATGACGAGACCAACTTGGCTTTGCTTTTCCTTGATTTCCTCAGCAGACTGGTCCGTGGTACCGTAGCCCATGACTATCAACCCGTTCTTCTTCGTCGGAACCAGGTCCTGTTCGAGCATGTGACTGGTACCTCCAAGCTTCAGGTTGATCTTCATGGCGACATTGCGAAAGTAGCCGTAATTCCAACCCTCTTGGCCGTCCTTCCCCGTCTTCCTGAACTTGTTCAAGAGGATACAAGAGGTATGGATACCAGTTTGAACGTCTCCAAAGAACTTCAGGTGCTTGTAAGTGTCCTTTGACAATCGGTTGGGAGAAATGACAACCACAAGTTCCACGCCGCAGCTTTTCGCATATGCCAAAGATGCTCGAATAGCAGTCGCGTTTTCGGCGATACAATGGTTCTCATTGTTCACAAATCGAGGTGGCAATCCTTTGGCACACATTCTCTTTAGAGTGTCATCAAGCTGCTTGACGCCATTCTCTGCGGATCGCGGGAAACCAGTTTGGATGTCTCCGCCAAGATATATCCAAGTCCACGACTTTTTAGTCCTTGGGCCCTTAGCAAGACTCTTCTCCGCGATCTTCCAAGAAACGTCAGGAGATACAATGACTGGCTGCTTTTCACAGTATGAAATTTGCGGACTGTCCAGCTCCCGTCCAATGACTTTGAGAGGCTCTTTATGATGAACGATAATGTGGAAGTTGGTCAGCACTCGACTTGGGCCCGAATCGGGCTTCAATTCCTGCAAGTTGTGGTGGGGTCGAAACCAAATCTGCTTGCTTTCTGGCGATTGACAGGTAGATTTGTTCAACGACTCCAACTTGTCCAACCTCCCTGAGCCAAGGACGATGCAGTATTCGGCTGGAACATACTCGGGGCGGCCAGGTTTGCCGATATTGATGAGGGGAAGATCTTTGGCAATATCGACGTTCCGTTCTGTCTATCGTTAGTTGCTTGAGCTCATTATAATGTCATATGAAGGCTCAATGAGTAGAAGTTGAGAGGATTCAGAACATTTATTTGGTCATACCTTTTTTGAAATGGCCCCAGACAGTACGGTACTCATTCTTGAACCAGAACTTCACGTCTGTCGACCCTGGAAAGTCTCTTTCAATCTTGAGAGCATGCGCGGCGTCTTTGCTTTTGGAATCTCTGTCGTCCCTGCGAGCAAGACCTGAAATGCGAACCTTTTTCGAGCTCTTTTGAGAGAGCTTGTAAAGGACCCGTGACTTGGCAATAACTCGATGAAGACTGGTCAAGGCAATGAACCAAGCAGTCGACCCGGCACCAGTCTTTTCCTTGAGCGCTTCTAAGATTTCTTTCAGACTCAGTCCCTCCCGATACACAGCGGACACAGCTTCCGGGATGCCGCTTCCCCCGGATGGATTCTTCGAGTGTGGATCATCTACACCTCGGTAGAATTTGTGCAATCTAGTTGTCGCGATTTGATTTTCCTTTTGGGTCGAATGTCCCAAAATTAATCTGAGGCAGTCGATTACATCTGGTGAAGGAGAATTCAAGGCAGATTTACCAAGTTGAACTTGCAGGGTGGTGTCTCCAAACTCAATAGCCCATCCTCCGGGCCCCTCATCATCGAGTCGTCTTTGTTTGTTCTTAGGTATTCTGAGAGGTTTCAAGGAAACGATGTGATGGCGATAATCCGTGGCGTGCTCGCCAGGCTGGGCTCCGACGCTGTGCAAAGCCCCTTTGACAAATCCGAAAATGTTGTCGTCATTGACCTCGGCGCGCCTGAATATCTTATTCGAACTATTCCGAACGTTGAAGGTGTACTTGTAAACAGTGAATGACTCGACGGTGAACGTGAGACCAAAGTAGTTGGTCCTGAGCTGCACATGGGGCTTTGATATCTCAGCAACTGGTCGAGCAGGAAGAGCTGCTCCCTTCCCAGGGCCAGGACGACTGGGACTGCTTTTTGGAAGCCCCCAGGCCTGGGGCCTCCCGGCCTCGCCTACTCCCCTGTGCATAGAGCCGACACTACAATTTCACAGGCATGTAATGAAGAATCCAGTATGACACTGAATGTTACTCCTTCTCAGACTGGAAAACTCACTCGGAGAAAAAGATGGGGATTGATGAAGTCAGAACGGATAGGTCGTGGGAGATGGCGTAATGGAGCGGCTTATATAGCATTGCGAACTAGAGCAGGTGACGGCACAGACGAATGCTGCCGCGTGAGCTAAGCAACATTTTGGACAGCATCTACGTCCTCATCGACTCTTTGCTCATGATCTGTGTGGGGGAAAAACATTACTGATGAAGCACTTGCTTGCGCCGGGGCAAGCGCGAGACAGGCCACCCGGAGCCTGACTGCATGCTGGACAATTCACCTGCAGTACCAAATGCTTTGACATCACAGCAAATGTGAACTTCAAATGCGTCCATAACCGACATAGCTCCAGCTAAGATTTGGTTGGTCATAGCAGCAACAAACGCACACTTGTCACGTTTTGTTGCTAGAACGCATGATACTCAGACGCCAGGGCGACTAGTCACCCCAAGCGGCTTCATGACTGCAGGAGAGATGAGTACGCCAATGTGTTGATGGGGACTTCTCCGAGCCAGTTGTGCTCTTACCGTCTTCCTTTCCCCTTGCCGCTTTGTGTTCACTAATGGATGTAGCTGATCTGACCCAACGCCTCGGTTGGCTCGCCCTGCAAAATGCAGCCCTGGCGGAAAGGATAGGGTTGAGCTGCTGCAGTACTACATTGCTGCATTACAGCAGTCCTGGGATCCCAGAAAGAGGACTCTTACGCCATGTGTGACGGATTGGGCACCCAATGCGGAACAAATCGTCGCATGGTATATGGAACTAGGCCGGGGTTCGTCAGCCCGGCTTTCCTCATCGAAGTGCACATTGCCTTTTGATCGGCATGATTCGCCCACCAGTGCGCTGTGTGTGCCGTCCCCGCCGTGCCAACCAACGCCTCAGGAAAGATCCTGTAGTGGTGATATCATCGGGCCCGGGCCGCGGCCATTCACGGCCCGGAGGCCCAGGCAACGGTCCTACAGGCCTCGGAGGTGGTCACGATGCAACGGGACGATGCCAAACAACGGGCAGCCCAGCAGGGGCGGCGAAACTGTTGTCCACTTGCTTACTGAGTGACCATATTGATTGGTTCATGATCCGGCTCGAATGTCCTCGTAGTGATATCATCAGTGTCGGTGCCGTGGTTGTTGCAGTCTCCGGAGCATTTGCTCCTTGTAGGGCAGACCTCCAGTCTTGCTTCGGGGGCGACTGATGTAATCATCCAGTTCAGCATCGTGGGGAAAGCGAAGATCCTCTGTAGAAATCGACGATGACACAAGGGACACTGCTGTTGTGCACGGGTTTCTGGATGCGGCTCAAGGACCCTGAGTGAGTGATATCATCCAAGATGGACCCATGCGTACATTACATCGTAGGCTGCCTGGGGTTCACGGCCCGGGGAGCTGGGGCGTGGATGCGGAGGGTTCTGACTGGCTCTTGTGACAGTTTGATGTAACCCACACGCCATCATTCAACCCACATGCCCAAGTGCTGTTATGTGGGGTGCGTGTCGAGCGCTGATCGATTTCTGACAGGTGCACATCTGACTGTAGGAAGCTGAGTCAGCGGGGATGTGCGCAGGACTCAGTTGAGGAAGACGTCTGCGACAGTCAAGAGCGAGTTGTGGCGGCAAGTGGCGTCGGTGGGTCCTGAGGCGGTTTTCTAGAATGAAGTCACTGGGTCAGAGAGGTAGCTGGTGTGGCTGTGAGGGATCTTCGGGGCCCCAAGATCTTCAGCAGACAGGCAGAAAACAGAGCTGGAGTCTCTGGAGTCGAAACCGGGGCCCGACACCTTGTGTGAGGACTGAGAGCGACTGTGTGGAGTTGCCTTTGTCAGCCGTTCGAAACGGCCCCAGACCCTCCTGAGATCGTGAGTTGCATGCAGCCGGGCGGTCCAGACGGTTCTCGAGCGGAAAGACCACTCCGTCCAACGTCGTGATGGGAAGTGGGGAAGCATCGTGGGCTCATCTTCCCCTTTCTGTAGTCGCAGGTCTATTGTTCACAAATCTCGCGAGGCGCCGGTCGTCATGTGCGGCCGGAGGTTGCTATGTGGTCTTGCATCCGACGACGCCGGAGCGACTGCTTCGGTTGGCCGATCCGGAATCGGGTATGAGCGGCGGCCCAGGTGACTTGTGTAGGCAGCATATCCGAGGCGGCCGTGACTCTTCTCTGAATTGTCGCAGTCTCGCATGACCCCGATCGGAGACATGGTCTGGTGGTGATCTGGGTGACAGACATGCGCCGCCGGTGCGGCAAGTGTCCAATCAAAACCATGTGCGTCGCATCGGAGATAAGCGTGATTGGGCCGTGAGACAATTTTGATTTGGGCTCCCCTGGTTCCGCCACTGTACAACTGTCTATGCATAGTAACAGAGGATGCGGTCCACTGCCTGTCGCGGAGTGCGTGAGTTTCGCCCACGATGTTGGATGCCAACCCCGTTTGGTGTTGTGGGTCTTGGTCCTTGTCTGTTGGGTGAGAGAGTCCAAGAGTCTTGGGGGCCCGGATGGGAGATTTGGATCGAGGGGCGGCGGGTGTGGGTGATTATATCCTGGACTTCCAATAGTAAAACCACAGCCCCCTTTCTCTTGTGTTCTCCAAGTCGAAGGCCCGTATCAAGGGCCACGAGAAACGGAAGGGCCAGGAGGGGGAAGTCAATTCCGCATGCGTGTTGGACGGGTGCTGTCCACCTCGTGTTGGAACCTGACGCGTATACTGTATCCGGAGGTCACGATGGATGCATCTGGACCCCTTTTCCGGTCACGGCCCAGCCTGGTCGCAGGGCGAAGTTCGACCTTTTCCCCGCCCCGCCCTGCACGACTCGCTTGACCTTGCTGGATCCTGTGCTCTCTCTTGGCCCAACAAAGCCGTTTTCTGCTTGAGTTAGAGAGAGGTTCTTTCTCCCGGGTCCTATGTATACTTCTTGTCTGTCTGTTTTTGACTATTTTTGACTCGACGAGACAGTAGCCAATGCAGGTGCAGGACCAATGTGGTAATCCGGGGATGTCGGTAGGGCCCAGGGATACTGGGAGTAAGCAATCACGCCTTCCGGCCCTGGATCGAAGCGCAAGCGAATCTTGATGCATTGTAACCCAGCGTGTCGCAACGGCGCGAGGCTGGGCTGGGCTGGCTGGCTGGTTAGCTTGTTGGCTTGGACATCGCACGTCTTCCAATGTGCCAGTCTGCCGGTCTGCTGGGCTCCTGCGTCCCAAGAGACTCGGCCCGCCCATAGACAACCGTCGAGACAGGCGGGGGACGGTGTGGCATTAAATACTCTGACGGGGATGGCTTCATCCATAGGACCATAGCATCCATCACCAAGCCGGCGGGCATGGTCTGGGCACGCGACACAACGTCGAGCGGCCGTCAGATTGCCGTCCCGCCGAGATCGAGGCATCGGCGATACGAGGAAGCGAGGCAGCTGGATGCTCAGATGGGCTGACCTGTCCGAGCTGCCGAGATGGTGTTCCCGATGAGGCACCCGTTGGAAGATTCGGGGGACATGCCAGCTCGGGATAGCAACCAGCTGGAGGGCCCCACCGTGGCAGCAAGTCAGAAAGGCTGACGAGGGCTTGGTATGCGGGGGATTCTAGGCGGTTCCCTGAAGGCCGCTCCCGATGTTTGAACTTTGTTTGGCGGGAAGCCGTGGGCTGCGTGGCAGGTGAGCGGGCGGCGGGGCCTTCAAGGGGCCCTTGGGGGAGCCCTTCTGGCCTGGGGTGCTCACCTGGCTGACAGGTAATTTCGAGGGGCCCCACCCACCCGTCCCCCAGGTCGCCTTGCGAGCCCAACCAGACTGCCAGACTGCAGAGAGCGAGGACCTCGCGAGCCCAGGACGGTGGAAAGGGATGGGGCGGCGGCAGCGGCAGCAGCTGTGCTTCTGCCAGTATCCGTATGCGGCGACAGGGTGGCAGGTGGGGGCGATTCGAGAGGTTGAGAGAAAGGCAGGGAGGGAGAGCCTAGAATCTTCGCCGTGCCCCAGACTGTGCCCTCGAGGAGGGAAGAAAATAGCTGCCCCTCATTAATCCCACGAATGAGCGGCTCGTATGGGGCTCTTCAGATCCCTGCCGGGGAGCCCCCACCAGGCTGCGCGAACGAGCGGCCCTCTCTGGCCTCGCGGGGCCTCGGGCGCGACACTGGCACATGGGTTAGCAGTTAGCTCTGGGACGGCTCTGGGACCCCTGCAATGGCCTGCAGAAGACGTGTAAGGGCCTGCGCAGCGTTACAGAGACGTGACGTTCCCAACCGTCCCAAATCGATCGTCGCCTTACCGACGCTCCTACCATCGGCCTCTTCTCACCCTCCCCCAAGCCTGCCAATGCCCAACCCCAGACTGTCGGACCAAGACGCAACCCAGCACGAGCACAGCCAGCGTAACAGCAACCCAGCAACCCAGCAACCCAGCAGCCCAGAACTCTGACTACTGGACCGGATTACCCTTCTCGGATTCTTGGCCTGTTCCTCTCACCCGGACAAATTCAACTCAAATACCCTCCCACCCTCCTCCCTCGGATCAGTCCTTGCTTCTTGTTCAGCATGATAACCGTTCCTCTCTATCCCCCCTGTCTTAATAATTCCCTTCCCAAAGACCCAAGACACTTGTCCAGATTCTTTGTGAAGGCCATCAGACATATCTCCCAACTCTCATATCCGAGTCGACAAGACAGACCACGACAACTTCTCTCCTGCTAGGCCAAAGGGCTGCCTGCCACACCACATCTCGTGCCGTGCCCCTGCCGTACCCGTACCCGTACCTACTACACCTACCCCCACGCACGCAGCCCAGTCCCCAAACTCGTGCCCCAACGGGCCAGCCTTTCTCCTGCTTGGTACAACCAAGCCACATTCCTCATCACAAGACCAAGCCTTAGCCCGAGCCTTAGCTCCAGCCGCTCTGTGCCGTCGCCCAAGATGCTTACCACCGCCGTAAAACAAGCAAACCGCAATGTCGCCCGTCGTGACTCCAAGAGGTTTCACTTCGGCCACGAAGTAGGCACAATCAGTCTCGAGGGCACTCCCATCGACGAGAAGTCAGATGCCATCTCTGTCGACTACATTGAGTGCCGTGAAGAGCCAGATACCCCTGCTGGCAGACAGCCAGGCCAGATGCACCATGACTACCTCCCCAGGGGGATCGACTCGACCGAGGTGGAGAAGAAGGAGCATTGGTTCGTCGGCGCTGTCGACCAGGGTACCACCTCCTCCAGGTTCCTCATCTTCAACGAGAAGGGTGAGCCTGTTGCCAACCACCAGATCGAGTTCGACAACCTGTACCCCCAGTCTGGGTAAGTTCTCATCACACCCCCCGGTGCTGCTTCTTGCACTGTCTTGAACCACCAGCCTCCTAACAGCATGACACAGATGGCACGAGCATGACCCCATCGAGCTCCTCACCTCTGTTGAGGAGTGCATAGAGGGCGCCATGAAGCAGTTCAACGAGAAGGGTCATACTGCCAAGGAGATCAAGTCGATAGGAATCACCAACCAGCGTGAGACAACCGTGGTCTGGGACAAGACCACCGGTGAGCCCCTTCACAACGCCATTGTCTGGCCAGACACCAGAACCGCGCACCTTGTGCGCGAGCTCAAGAGCCAGCCTGGCGCCGACGACCTGACCGAGATTTGCGGCCTGCCCCTGAGCACCTACCCATCCAGCGTCAAGCTGCTGTGGCTCATTGAGAACATCCCCGCTGTCAAGGCCGCATATGAGGAGAGCCGCTTGGCTTTCGGAACCGTCGACTCTTGGCTCATCTACAGGCTCAACGGCGGCGCTGACGCCGAGAAGCCTGTTCACGTCACCGACACCACCAACGCCTCCCGCACCATGTTTATGAACCTTCGCACCACAAAGTATGACCTGAAGTCGCTCGACTTCTTCGGCATCGACCCCAACAAGTGCGCTCTGCCCGACATTGTGCCCTCCTCGGATGACAAGGCCTATGGCAAGCTTGCCAGGGGTTCCCTCGCTGGTGTCCCCATTGCCGGCTGCCTGGGTGACCAGTCCAGTGCCCTCGTCGGACAGTGTGGCTTCGAGCCTGGCCAGGCCAAGAACACATACGGCACCGGCTGCTTCCTCCTCTACAACGTCGGTACCGAGCCCGTCATTTCCAAGCATGGCCTGCTGGCGACCGTCGCATACGACTTCGGTAAGGGCCACCCACCAGTGTATGCCCTGGAGGGTAGCGTCGCCGTCGCTGGTGCTGGTGTCAAGTACCTCATCAACAACATGGGTTTCTTCGACAAGTCAGAAGAGATTGAGGCGGTGGCTACCAGTGTTGAAGACAACGGTGGTGTCGTCTTCGTCACCGCTTTCAGTGGGCTGTTCGCACCCTACTGGATCGACGATGCCAAGGGAACCATCTTTGGCATGACCCAGCACACCAAGAAGGGCCACATCGCTCGCGCCACCCTCGAGGCCACATGCTACCAGAACCAGGCCATCCTCCAGGCCATGGAGTTGGACAGCGGCAAGAAGCTGCAGGTCATCTCCGTCGACGGTGGTCTTTCCAACTCGGACCTCTGCATGCAGACTCAGGCCAACATCAGCGGCATCCCCGTTGACAGGCCAGCCATGCGGGAGACTACAGCCCTCGGTGCTGCCATCGCCGCCGGTCTCGCCACGGGTGTGTGGGCCGAGCTGAACGACCTGAGCGAGGTCAACCGGCAGGGAAGAGTGCAGTTCGAGCCCCAGATTAGCGAGGAAAAGAGGACCAAGATGTTCAAGAAGTGGGAGCAGGCCGTGGAGATGAGCCGTGGCTGGGTCACGGACGACTGCGAATGAGCTAGCCGCTCCCACACCTGGAAGCGTCGGGGGGTGCCTTGAGCGTCTCCAGTAAAATAATGTCTCTCTTCCTTCGGTTGATTTGGGCTGGTTTGGGAATAAGCGTGTTGGTCTTCTTTATTATTGAATCGCGATACCAGGGACACGATGGTGTTTGGAATGGTTTGGAGTCTTCTGGATGGGATGGGATGGGACGGGAAATACCTACATGCTCGCTGCAATAGCGCAGCTGAGCCACCTGCGGGAGTCAATAACTTATATATACACCTTCTACCAAACACACAACTGCAGTCCCCTCATGCTTCAAGTGATCACACACACCTTCTGTCTGATTTCCACCAATGATTCTTTGGACGGTTGGGGAATCGGCCGCATGATGAGGCGTCTAGAGCTCCAGAGTGGTGCGGTGCCTTGGGGAAGCGAGAGCAGGGTGGTACGATTTTGGTGGCCAATACCCCTGCCGCTCCTCCCTTTACCTAGTGCCACGTACTTGGTATTATAGGGGGTTTGGGGAAGCCCAGCCCTTCTGGAACACGCTGGAAGCCCACCAAAGGGATGGCCCAAACCTACTTGGTAGATGGATGCAGCGGCGTCGTTCCGTCCCCAATGCGGCCAACAACCAACAACCCCCCATCCCATGTCTTGACTCGAGCAAGGGCGGCTCGACCCCGGATGGGAATCTTAATTCGAGATGGGATGAAATGTCAGGTACTATATTTTAACGATAGAATCTAGTCTAGCCCATTTCAATGTCGAGCAAAATTCCGCCCGTTCCAATGGTCCCTTGATAATCATCTATCCAAGTGGGACCAGAATATTGTATCCAGCTGGCCTTGCGGCTAAGATGTTGTATTTGGTACAAGCACACAGAACGCAGTAGACGTTACTGCACTCCACAGGTGGTATACAAAATTGTGAAAAAGAAATCAACGACCGTATTCAAAATGGTGGAAAATGTCAAGAGATATTGTGAACCACCTGGTCGGAGGCGGAAGGCTTGAATGATAACGAGTGGATTGGCCCGCATGGATCAACACAGAAATGAGCACGCTATAGGTTTCCTAGGGCTATAAATTTCAACGTCGTTAGCACCAACGTCGTGAATAGCCCCCCGTTCACATGTGTCCTCAGTGATAGAAGGGGATGGACTCACCAGCAGCGTAGGCCAGATACCAGGTCAGACTCGCACCTCCGTCGAGCCAGCTCGCGTCGAAGGCGGGCGAGGTGAAGAAGTTCCAGGCGGCCCTGGGATCGATGGTGGCCAGGTTGCCATAAAGGACGCCCCGCCAGCCCCCGACGACGGTGTCGGCCCTGCCGTTGCTAAAGTACGTGTTCCACTCCTCGGTGACGAGCTTGTCGCCGCGCACGAGCTTGGTCGCGGGGAGCAGGGGCAGCATGTGGATGCCCTGGATGTACTCGATGTTGGCGCCAAAGTACGTGACGTGGTCGATCTTGTTCTCAAACAGGATCCCGGCGGCCTTGTTGCCGATGAACTGGGCCGGCTGGACGGTGTTGTCGCTCGTGTACAGGTAGTACAGGTTCAGGGACCGCGCCAGCACCGACAGCTGCAGGTTGCCCCTGGCCGCCATGTCGGCGTCGTTGCTGACGAGCCCCCACATCTTGATCGCGTAGCTGGCCATGACGTCCTCGGAGCTCGACTCCTGGTCGCGCCCGTCGGCGCTCTCGAACAGGCCGTGCGCGAAGCTGTGCCCGTGGTACCAGTCGAACATGCGGTTGGTCGGGAAGAACTTGTCCTGGGATGATGGGTTGGCGTAGTCGCGCACCAGGGAGTTGACCCAGTCCTTGTTGGCCGGCAGCCACGCCGGGTCTAGGTGCCCGATCACGGCGGCTGCCAGCACGTGGTAGCCGTAGTGGAAATGGTGGTCGTTGTAGTATGAGTTGCCGAAGTCTGCGCCGCCGTCGCCTGTCTTGTACGAGGCTGACGAGACCAGGCCTCCCCAGGCAGCTATTGGATAGTCAGCGTGGTGAAGTAGAGGGCAAAGGAGTGTCCTTTGGTGTGACTCACATTCGTAATACAGTGGGTAGATCTGCTTGTTGCTCGCAAATCGGGCGAATGCCTCTTTCAACTTCTGCAAGCCGGCGGCAGTGAGATTCGAATCCCCAAGCAAGTCATAGGTGACAGCGAGAATCTGGGCGAACTTCGCCAGAGCCTAGAAACCGTCGGGATTTTAGCAACTTATTTCACTCGTAGGTATGCCATCACGAACTGACCTTGCCACTGTAGTACATGGAGTTGAGGTTAGACTGGGCGTCCATGTCCTGGCTAAGCTCTGACTGCGCCGCCTTCAAGATCCTCGCCTTAGCATCAGCAGAGACGGTGGTCTTTGTCCCCTCGGTGTTTGACCACGGCATGAAGTTCATGCTAATAGGCAGTCTAGTCTCGACCATCTTCCAGGAGTCGGCCACGACCGCCGTGCCTTTGCCCTTGGTGGTTGACTGCAGCTGCACGTTGGACTTCACCGCCGCAGCCGTGGTGTTATCGAACGACTGCACGTGGTGAGGAAGGGCATACATCAGGAGCGGCGCGCCGGTGAGGCCGCCCTTCGCAAAGGTGAAGCTGTATTCTCCGCGCATCCCTGAGGTCGTGCCGGAGAGTGTGACATCGGTTGCCCACTGGCCCGAAGCCGCATCGTAGAGGGCTTCCGCACTGCCGGGGTCCTTCGCGATCTGGATTGTGCCGGTGTATTTGGACGTCGCACGGACGAGGCCGTTGTTGACAACCTGCAGGTCCAGGCCAGAATTGCTTGTGCTGTAGGCATATAGCAGCCAGACTTTCCCATCGTTGAGTATGATTTTGAACTTGGTGACCCCGGGCCGGGGCTGCGTGTTGATCTTGGTCACGCTGGCGAAGAAAATGCCCGACTCCAGTTTGGGCGTTCCATTGTTATACTGGGCCGTGATGAAGCCCGAGCCCTGCACCAACGGGAACTGTATAGTCGGTTCTGCTCCCGCACTAGGACGAAGCTGCGCGACCACAGACCACTCGGTGGCCTTAGTAGTAGTCAAAGCCGTACCATTACCGAGTTCCTCCGCTGATAGGACTATTGACTGGATGCCGATGGGGTTGATGAAGTACTGACTGGCGCCGGTGTCCTTCGTGGGGCCGAATGCGAACTGGCCGGCCTCGATATGAGAAACAGCCAGGCCCCAGCTCTTAGTGACGCCACCGCCCTTGGACCAGGAAACCGAGTAGGGGTGAGTAACAGCGATCGAAGCCTGGGAGCCAAGGAACAGATTCTGGTAGAACTTGTTGGTGGAGAGGGGAGCAGACTTGTCAACTACTCCAAGCCTGGGGACAGGGTGGTTGTCCTTGACCTCGATGACGCTCGGCGGAGCGTTGACGCTGATGGGCGCCCCGAAGATGTTGGAGGACGCGGCAGCGATCTTCATGTCGGCTGGCTTGATAACCATTGTCGGGTGTGTGGCGATGGAATCCGTTGGCGATGGAATCGGATCGTGAATCAGAGGGCCGTCAGTTGCTCGTCCTTCAGTTTCCAAACTGGTCACTATTATCCCCTTGGTGTCTGCTTTAATTGCCGGGGTTGGCAGTATCTGGGCAATTCCTGTTTCGAATTCTTGAACGACCACGGGAACTGTAGTTCCGGAGATGAGGTCCTGGATGGCTTTGGTATTCTGGTCTTCTTTAGCTTTTGCGATACTCGGGTCAATACTGAGCCACAAACACATACCACAGATTCATCCGTCTCTTGAGGTACCTGTTTCGGTACGATATGTTTGATTTCCCCTATATTCCTTGGAGTTCGGTCAACCGCAATCCCTTGGCAGCAGGCCAGCTGCAGCGCAATCAGCAGCAAATAGGAGCACATATTGCCCGCACCCAGGGATCGCATGTCCCTGACTGTCAATGAAAACATGATGAATCGAGAGTTCGTTCACCAGCGGAAGGCTAAAACCTTGCTTTGAAGAACCACAACCAGCCAACCCTCCCCGCGCATATATATATATAGATACGCATATATACATGCGCATAGAGACACCATGGCCTCAGCAGGGCAGTAAGAACAATGGACGCGAATGAGACAAACTCCCAGCACGTTCATGGAATGATGGATGGAAACCCAGAGCCTGGTACCGCGGGCGACTCAGACACAGCCGCATGACCCGGGGCTCTGGTGGATGGAGGCCGATCATGGGTGCTGAGGCGAGGTCCCGCGGACAGAGAGGAAAAGGAAGGCATCAAGGGAGTATCCTACCTGGTTATGACCCGGCTGGAATGAGCGGCTCTTAAGCTAGAGGCTAGGGCAGCGGTAAAGTGGTCAGACGGCACGGTGGGCGTGAGAGGCGGCAGCTAAAGTGGTTGGTTGACGGCAAAAGGCAGCTGGAATGTGGAGCCTCGAGAATGCGCTGGCAGCGAGAATGCGTGATACTTAAATCTCGAGGGCAGGCTGATATTCAGTGTCATGTTTCCGGGCTTCCAGCCATCCGGGTCGACTCGTGGGGTGGGATAGAGGAGGGCGGATGGTACGCAGGCCCCTTGGCGATTCGACCGACAGGCTCGTCAACTGACCGGCCCTCCACATCGCCATGGCGAGCAATAGCGGCAGGACCATGAGCAGCCATGGGTCTTAGACCTCTGTTTGGATATGATGGGGATGAGGGCATCCTCAAGAATGATCCAGGGTTACAGTGCCAACCAGCCTGCCGTCAGCATATCCGTCCGGATCGAGGGTTAATTCGCGGTTGGAGCCGTCGGCTGCTCGCGTCTGGTGACGCGCATTTTCGGGGCTTCTCCATCCCAGGAAACGGCCCAGCCCGAGGTAAGTAAGCAAGCCCTTGTGGATGATCGCATGACTGCTACATGAGGACACTCACTTGATCCAGCCAAATTCAATAGACGAGTGAGGGTTTCTCTCATGTAATATGATATCTGACGCTGAGATCTCGATGTTTGCTTGTGACACCCCCCCTGCCCCCCTGCCCCCCTCTTAGTTGTCTGCGCCCGCGTTACCCTTACCCTGCCGCAGCGGTGGCTGTTCACGACCCCGGGGGGGGGGGCTGCAGGAGAGGGCTTGCATCTCCCCCAGCCGTTATTGTGGCTGGCAAGGATATGAGCATCTCGGTCGCTGCCACACCATCACCGAGAGCAAAAGAAAAGCAAACAAAGGAGAGAGAAAAGTAACGGATGAGATCATATCCTTTAACACAGTAACGCCACAAGTGCCAGATACAACGGGCACATGACCCACCCAGCCTTCTTCCCTCCGAGCCCTTGCATCCAACGGTGCGTTTCATTACATATTTGGCGAGTTTTCCAAGGATGTGAATGGCTCGGAACCGAATATGGTTATGACACGCGGTACTGATGGGATGGTTGGATGGCTAACAGGGACAACGACTGCTAGGATTGGTGCGCAAGGATCTCGCTGTGGTTCTTCTCGCATTGGCACCAGCTTCTAGGAAAATAATTACGGCCCGTCCTGCATAATGTGACAGTGGCTGACAGATGCAACCCCTTTTACATGCCCATCACTGGAACCAGATAGATTACCCGCAGATGTCCGTAGGCGTACCTATAGAAACATTCTCTGAGACGTGACTGGCATGACCATAATGAAGAGTTGGCTATACAGTCGTACTAAGCCCACCAAGGGGTTGCATTGTGGGAGGACCCTACAACAAATCTCGTCCGTGCCCCCGGAAGATGTTTTGGTTAAATTCGAGGCTGATCCCGTATTGACGGAAGAATCGTCCACTAACCTTGAATGTGACTCGCGATGCGGAGGGCCGGTCCCGCCGTTCATATTGGAGCACACGATTATGCTTGGGTCCACGACCACATGTGCAGACAAGTAGGCCTAGTATATAATGCCTGAGAGATACAAAAGGCATGGGAGAGACATCATCCAGCCATGCTTGGTTCGGAATTGACTATTTTGGACCTCTTCACCCTTCTTCCCCTTGTATACTGAACCAGAACCCGTCACTGCCAGGATGAGACTTTCCGAGACAATTTTGGGCGGACTGCTGGCTTCGTCGGCAGCCGCTGCACCTGCGGCCGCTGCGCCTCGTGCCTGTTCTCTTCCCACGACGTACAAATGGACATCGACTGGGTCTTTGGCAAATCCGAAGTCGGGATGGGCCTCACTCAAGGACTTCACACACGTCACCTACAATGGCAAGAACCTCGTCTACGGCTCATTCCACGACACCGGATCGACATGGGGGTCCATGAACTTCGGAACATTCACCAACTGGGCTGACATGGCCTCCGCGAGCCAAAACACCATGTCGTCAAGCGCAGTCGCGCCGACACTCTTCTACTTCGCCCCAAAGAGCGTCTGGGTGCTTGCCCACCAGTGGGGGGCGACGACCTTCTCATATCGAACGTCGAGCGATCCTACAAACGCAAACGGGTGGTCCGCATCCCAACCGCTCTTCACTGGCACCATCAGCGGCAGCAGCACGGGTGCCATCGACCAGACGGTCATCGGCGACAGCTCCAACATGTACCTCTTCTTCGCAGGCGACAATGGAAAGATCTATCGCGCCAGCATGCCCATCGGAAACTTCCCAGGCAGCTTCGGCACGGCCTCAACGGTCATCCTTAGCGATACGACCAACAACCTCTTCGAGGCGGTCCAGGTGTACACCATCACGAGCAACCAGTACCTCATGATCGTCGAGTCCATCGGCGCCAACGGCCGCTACTTCCGCTCCTACACGGCCACCAGCCTCGGCGGCTCCTGGACGCCACAAGCCACAAGCGAGAGCAGCCCCTTCGCCGGCAAGGCCAACAGCGGTGCCACCTGGACCAACGACATCAGCCACGGTGACATTATCCGCAGCAATCCCGATCAGACAATGACGATAGATCCGTGCAATTTGCAGTTGCTGTACCAAGGACGGTCTCCTAGCTCTGGGGGTGATTATAATCTGTTGCCTTACAGGCCTGGCGTGCTGACCCTATCGAAGTAGATGGGTCACTTTTATGAGTGATGTATCATGTTACTTGCTATGTACATATCAAACCACGTATATGAATCTCTACTAGCAGCAACCTAAACTGTTACAAAAAGGAAACATCTCCAGGCCCTCGCATTACTCGCTCCTCTGCAATCTGTAGCTCTTTCAATCAGTTTTTCTCTAGGGTAGCTCATGATGTATCCAGTCATATGTAGTCCTGTCAGATGCACTCGCTCAGCTTATCTTCGTTGTCATGCCTGCCAATTGTTTCTCTCTGGACTAAGACAGCTGGTGGTGCCTTCCAGATGTCCGATATTGTTTTTGTAGAGAGGTAGCAGTGGAGCATATCGACGACTGCGTTGATGAACGAAGTCTAGAATCAATGTCAAATCATTCAACAGCATTAAAAGACTCCACTTCGCATTAAACAAGCGTAGTCGATACCCGTAGAACCATCCAGCCAATTTCTTGTCCAGTGCCGCTGAGCCGATTCATGATTGACAGGACTGGCTGAGCCACCTGTAGGGGCTATACGCTTGACAGAAAATGCGATCCACATTTCCAATGGCCATCACATACATTGCCGATTACTTCGTCCGTGACGGGTTATACTTGAGTAATCTTGAGGCACAAAACGGGGGCAGACTATATGTATGGTTGCCCACCTGGGCAGGTGGCTGTTGGCTCAAATTGTACGCTACCTACTTAAGTAGGTACCTAGGTACCTAGGTAGCTATCCCAGTGACTCGATGAAAGTGTTGGCAGCCGCACTTTCGTCTTCGTTGGTATCTATCTTGGCAAGACTGCCAATACTTTCATGAAGACTTACATATGTAACAACTTCCTGATAGGATGATGGCTTTGTGACAGGTATGAATCTTATTTGCAGCTGCAGCTTCTGATGGGAACAAGGTCTTACCAGGTATCTCAGTCCATGGTGGGGTGGTTGTGGTTTCGTTTTTAATCCCCATACATATGTGTTTTTCACTTCTATTCCGTATATATCCGAGGACATACATGGCGCCTTTATATAGTAGTAAACGCTCAAGACCCAGCGTTTAAAGAAATACAGTGCCAATAACAGTGGAAAAAGAATACAGTACGTGGGCACGTGGCTCAGCCTCGTACCGCACAGATAAGGCTGGAACCTTGGAAGGCATGGCTCCCGATCAGTCCATGGTGTTCTCTGCGCCTAGACGAATTGAAGGGAGGTAGGTCTGCTTTATCAATTGGTCGAGGCCTGGTGGGCACACTGCACTGAAGTGCCACCAATAGTCTTGCATGTCTCCAATTATAGGCTCTGTTATCCAAGTGTTAATTATGATGAGCAGCGGTCACAGCAAACGGAGAAACCATATATGAGAAGCAGTGTGCTGCGTTGAGTTCAAATAGTTGAGGGGAAGTGGGCTACAGATGAAACTCAATGTAGATATTGATTGTCCCGTAAGGAACCAGTCGTTATCGACACCGTGTTCTTTTCAAGCGCTAGGTCTTGAGTGCTTACCACCGTATGAAGGCGCCATGTATGTCCTCAGACGTATAGAACTTTGAAAGGGAAGCGAAATCACACGTAAGGAACCAGTGGAAAAGGTGTTGAGGAAAAGGCGGCAGGGGCTTGTCATTGACTGCGTGCGTAAGTGCCGTTCCGTAATCAAAGCTCGGTAAGGTAAAATGTTGTGAGAAATGAGATGTTAAAATGTTGGCTCTGTGGGAAGTCCTGTGGCTAATGGGGCGGATTCAGGGCTCAGCAGCAACAGCAGCGGCCCCCAATTTCACCAAAGCATATGTGAAAATGCTGGGGAGGCATTGTTGACAACTTGTCATTGGTCTACAGCAATTCATTTTTCACTTGGTGCTTAGAAGAAGCTCAGCATTTCTACAAGTATTTTCGCCAGTCAGGCAGGTGATATTCGGGGCAGGCGTAGATACTCCGCTGGAGCCATTGCTGCAAGCCTCTCTAGTACGGAAAGATCTCTTGTATTCATCTTGAAGGGCCTGAGAGGGAGTGACGAATCTGCCGTACTTCGGCATGCGCCTAGGTACCTAGGCGGTGCAATTTAGTATGCACTGTGTAGGTCGAGCTGCCATACGCACGGGCCAGTACCGTAAATCCCCACCTGTGGGGTTGCGCCTGCCGCCGCGTCGGGTTCGCGTTGAGTGGGTGGACTAGGCTCGCAGCTGCACCCCGGGAAATCGCGGTCTCTGCCTAACAAACACCTGCAGTTTGCTCATGGTTGCCTCTCGACATCTGCTCCCACGCCACTCGTCTCCAGACTGCTTCTCCCAATCTTAGAATTCGACATATCTTCGTACTCCACGAACCCCTGGCCATCGGCTCGCTCCGATACCACTGTCCATCTTCATGTAAGACCGCCTGCCCGCGATTTGACGCGTCGCGACGGCCGACTCCCAGGCACGATGGCCGCGCAGAACGGTGGCAGTTCTGCCGAACAATTGTTGTTTGACGAATGCACTTTCGCATTTGTACCAAGCAGTGCTCTCACTCAAGGCACAATCGATGTGGTATGTGCTCAGCCCATACTTTCGAACCGGTAGCGCCCAATACCAGATCTTTAACACGCGTACTCTAGTTGAAAGACACCGTCGAGAAGTATGGCGCCCAAGTCGTTGACCGCGAAGAGGACGGGTCCATCTCCGTCCCGGAGTGCACTCACATCATTTCCAATACGGTCGACTTCCCGGAGTATGACGAGGCCATGGCGATGATGGTCCCTGTGGTTGTGCCTGAATGGATCAACGCTTCCCTACACAAGAATCGCCAGGCACAGATCCGGCCATATTCCCCCGACCCGCGCCTGATCTTTTCCAACGTCGTCCTGACATGTGATGGTCTTCCAATCATGGACAAGGAAACAATCTCTGGTGCAGTCCTCGCCATGGGCGGCATGGAGTCCAAGAATCTCGGCCGCCTGACCACTCACATCTGCGCGCTGACGATGGATGGACCCAAGGCTCAGTCGGCCTTGAAGAATAATCCCCGATGCAAGATCGTCTTGCCGCATTGGTCAGCACTCATTTCCCCTCCCACCATGGGATCTCTTTCCTAACATTTCTGATTATCCAGGTTTGACGACTGTTTCCGCCTGGGCAAGAGGATAGACGAGGGGCCCTATTTGCTTCCAGATGCCGAGATACTGCGAGCGGGCTTCAAGGATGCTGTTGCTATCCCACCGAGCCAACACCTCGACGGAGCAGCGTCAGCTCGCCCCGATAGACCGCCCATGACTGCAGACTACCAAGCAGGAGCCCGTGAGAAGTTGACTGTCTTCCGAGACAAGCGGGTTGTCTTGTCATGGGACCTCGGCATCAACGAAAAGCTGCGAAAGACCTTGAAAGGCCTTATTGAGAATGGAGGGGGCACGGTGGTCGACACTGGGAGTGATTGCGACTGGTTCGTGTGCCAGTACCGCGATGGACCAGAGTATGTCAAAGCTGCCCAGCAAGGCAAGGACGTCGGAAATCTGGCCTGGCTTTACTATATGATCATGCGCAACCAATGGGCGAATCCACTTCGGCGTCTCTTGCACTATCCCGTTCCTAAAGAGGGACTTCCGGGATTTCAGGGATTCCGAATTTCAATCTCCAATTATGGTGGTGAGGCACGCATCTACCTCCAGAACCTGCTCAGAGCTGCAGGGGCCGAGCCCACTGGTTCAATGAGGCAAGACAATACACATCTGATTACCGCGCGCAAGAGTGGCGAAAAGTGCGAGGCGGCTGCTGATTGGGGCATCCATGTGGTCAACCACCTGTGGATCGAAGAGAGCTACGCCAAGTGTGAGGTGCAGGCCTTGACAGATCCTCGTTATGTGCACTTTCCTCCACGGACAAATCTAGGCGAGATCATTGGCCAGACTCCTTTCGACGAATCGAAGCTTCATGAGAAGTATTACCCAGGCGGAGACGATGATATGGACGCTGTTGCTCGTCGCAAGAGGAAGATCCAGGATCTGGTCAAGGAAAATGGAGCTACGCATGGTCCAGCTGCTGGACTAGTAATAGGAAGACAGAAGCATCCGGACTTCGATGTGATGAAGGATGACGACGTCGAGTTCGCTGAGAAGACTACCAAGACATTCGGTGTCCCGGCACCCCCGAAAGACAAGACAAAAGCACATGCAAGTGCTACGCCGGTTAGGACCCGACGCTCACTTGGTGGCAAGGAAAACGATACGTCTTCTGTCTTTTCGAGTGGCAGCCGCAGTGCCAAAGCCTCGGCACTCAACAAGCTGCACAACTTGGCACCGGATATTGCGTTATACGAGAAAGAGCGGAAGCGAAAATCCACCGGCAATACACCGTTTGGTGGTAAGCGTGCCACGAACCTCTTTGAGCATGAGAGAGAGAAAGAACGGGAGAAGAAGGCTCAGGAGAAGGCCCGATCTTCTAGTCCTAACCGCGACCATGCCGGCGAGGACGAGGATGAGGAAGAGGCGGAGGTGGAAGAGAAGCGGCCAGCGAAGAGGCACAAACCATCCTTGCCAGCCATCGACATGCGTATCATCTTAACGGGCTATCAGGGTTGGCTCAACAACTTGAAGAAAGAAGAAGCAGACAAGGTTGGTCTCCCTAGATTTAAGCAACCGAGCGAGCTTCTCTTTGCTAACCCTATAACAGAGAAAGCTGCGCAGCATGGGCATCCAGATTGTACATGAAAATTCAGCATGTGACTATCTCGCCGCACCGCACATGGTTCGCACCATCAAATTCCTTCGCGCCCTAGCCCGAGGCCCAGAAGTCATCAACTCTAGCTTCATTGATGCCTGCCTCCAAGCTGGCGAGCGCCTTGACGCCAATGAGTACAAGCTCAAGGACAAGGCCAACGAGACGAGATTCGGAGTCAAGCTGGAGAGGTCCATCGCACGAGCGCGGGAGAATAAGGGCCGCCTGTTGTGGGGTGTGCCCATATATTGTACGAAGGACATCAAGAGCGGCGCCGAGAGCTATCGGCCGATTGCAGAGGCCAATGGCGCCATCTTCAAGACATACACCGGACGGGGTGCATCAACCATCAAGCCCACCAACCCGGAAGAGGACTCTCAAGGGCCGGAGCCAGTGTATCTCTTGACGTCCAACAGCAAGGCAGAGCGTGAGCTCTGGCCGAGGTTCGAGAAGATGGCGAGGGATGGAAACATGGAGCCGAGGGTTGTGTCCTCGGATTGGCTGTTACAGGTGGCCATGAGCCAGGAGTTGAAGTTTGACAAGAAGTACCTGGCGACAAGGTTCTTCAAGGACAAATGATGCTCATGCCACGGTCTGAAGCATCAAGATTGCTTTGGTCGGCCGGCGTAATTTGCTGTGGTTTTTTGTTCGCGACTGGGGGAGTCTCTGGAGCATCCTACTTCTGGCAGTTGTTCGGAAACGCCAGTCATGGCATATTGCGCATTTAGGCAGCGCAATGCGATGAATGCGTTGAATTCTGTAACCCAACTCTCGATCCGTCGTATCCCTCAGAAGAACTTGACACCTTGTGAATCTTCCTGCCCGAAGATTTGTGCCTTGCCCCTCTTGACCAGTACGTTGAGGGCTTTCTGTAGCAGGTCCTGATCCAGGCCGTGGAATTCTGTTGTAGATGGGGGTTCGCACAATCAGCATTTCCACTGTCGCCACGCAATGGTCGAAACACGGCGCAACTTACCGGTGCCCCTCGTACCCTCGCCCTCGACAAGCTCATACAGCGTCAGCACGGTCCCTTTCTGTGCTGTCTCGTCGACCCAGGCTTCGACAAGTGCAGCCCATTCCTCGGGCGTGCGCCAGTACACCCACACGACGTCACCGCCAGCGCCCTCGCCGTCACCGACGTACTCGGCCCGCCCGTCCTTTTTCATAAAGTCGACCACCTCCCTGACGTCCGCCAGCGCAAGCCGCCTGTTGAGTCTCCTGTTGAAGAATATGTCCTCGGCGGTGGCGCCGGCGGTCGAGGTGGAGGTGGTCGTGGAGGTGGTGGTCGTGGTCGTCGGGCTCAAGGGCAGCTTGAAGATGCGGTGGTGCTGGCAGTACGAGAGGACCAGCGCCGACCACTTTACCAGCTGGGCGTGGTGGGTGTTGAGGTTGGTCTGGCGGGTGAAGAAGGGTGGGAAGTAGTACTCGCGCGGGAATTCGAATGGGGCCGCTGCTGTTGAGGTTGAGGTCGCCATGGTTCGAGGTGTGGAGGTGTATCGATGTGAATCAGTCGTTGGGTTTGTGTGATGTCGCGAGGGGCGGAACAAAGGAAGTTGTAGCATCAGGTCGCGAATAACACCCCGCAGTCGTCATTCTTGGTGGGGAGCCCAGGAGCTATGCATAAGTTGCAGGGGCCCTGGGACCGCCGCGCAACGCATTAGTAGATACCTGGGTACGGTTCATGCTAGGTGCCTAAGCATGTAACGGGCCCCCGCGCATACCAGTTAACCACAATACCGTTTCTCCCACCTTCTGGTCCCGAGGTTGATCCGAAATGCGACTTCTCCTCGAAAACATGCGCATTCCTCAAAGCTATTCCCATCCTCGTTTGTTCCGGCCGCCAAGATTTGTGTGTCATATTCTAAGACCATGCAAATGGGCCAGCCACAGCGCCGCTTCCAGCCCACGAGCTGCGCCAATGACTGTCGGTCGAGATCGACGCCATGGCCCCAAGTAGTCTCACCAGGCTGCCTGCTGTGTAGTACGGAGTACACAAGTAGGGCGCTCCAGTCTTATCAGCCAGCCTGATCATGCTCACTTGCCGTCGTCCATGACGGCCTGGCAGCTCTGGACAGCTGGGATAGAAGACGGCCACCCCAGACGCCAGACACGTTTTGTGGGTCAAGGGAGACGACACAGTTACGCACGGCACGGTCAAGATCTTCTTTTGTTGATCAGCAAATTTCACGCCTCTGTCTTCTGGATATGGAACAATACCGGATCTTCTGCCCGGGCTCGAGCAACGATTGCAAGAGCCTGGCTTACATCGGACGGCTTCATGGTTGCATCTGGCCGCGACTGGCCCTGGACTCTGATGATTTCTTTGAAAGCGCAGAGGCAGAGTCAACGAAGGGGACTATGTTCTTTTCGCTCGAAGAGACGAAGGCTCTTTTCACCAAGGAGAACATCATGGATCTCTTGAGCTGTCGCTGCAGGGACTGCGGTGAATACAAGAGTGACGCATCGGCCGCCTTCAACTTGTTGGATTACGAAAAGCGCATCGTCAACCAAAACGACGAGGGGTGGCTTCTGATGGCAGCCCTTGTATATCTAGGGAAGCTGAGCTTGATATACAGATGGATCCAGCACCCGCACATGGTCGAGCCCGGCACGTTGAGGGGTGCCCGTAGTCTGGTTGAGGCCCCGTTCCCCACGAGGCGTCAGAATGAACTCTTTTGGAAAGCCTATGGACGAGTCATGGACATGTTTTCACCATTGGAAATCAAGCCCGGTATCAACGACAGACCCGAACACAACTCTCTCGCGAAAAGCCAGCGTTTTCCATACCTTGACGAGCCAGGGAGTTTGCCGTCAGGGAGCTCTGGGAGCCTGATCACAGCCTTTTGTGTCCCTGAGGAGTACCTTCATGTGGATTTCAGGCAACTAATGGAGAACAACTATTCCAACTCGGTGGTAGACGACGGGCGTGGCAAAAAGGTACGGGCTGAAGTCAGGGCGCAATTCGTCATCGCAGTGCTGACTGTCAAACAGTATCGTCTTGTTCGAAAGGTCTTGACGCATAAGACCCTTAAACATATGGAGCATATTACACTCCGCATGATTGCCTCACGTCGGGACCAGGTAAATCTCATCAATCTTATGGCTCTGTACGAGTGGCGCGAGCAAATTCACTTCATCTTCCCATTCGTCGAAACACACCTCGACGAGGTGCTTCTGGACCAGTGGACGTTCCCCGGGTCAGCTCAAACCAGGGCACTGGCAGATAATGCTCTCTGGCGACAGATGATAGGGGTTTGCGAAGCGCTCAAGACCATCCATTTTGATCTGACGAGTCCTTGGGGCTCGAAAAACACGCAGGTGATAGCCTTTCATTTTGACCTGAAGCCGGCAAATCTACTTGTCACAGCCAATGGCATAGTGAAAATCACCGACTTCGGACACTCCATGATACAAATCATGCTCCCCGAAAAGGAGAAGAAGGGGTTCTACAGAGGCGGTGATCCTGTCTACAGGGCGCCTGAGTCAACTCCAGATAGCGAGCAAGTCCGCGAGGCCCGTGAAACCAGGAATCACACAGCAATCAGTCAGGACTACAATAAAGAATTACCACGGAGCCAGGTCTTTCTGAACTACGACGTCTGGCAGCTTGCCTGTATTATGACTGAAGTGCTGATATGGATCACGGAGACGGACCAGTATCGGGAGAAAGATCTGCCAGGTGAGAAAGGACAAGTTATCAAGGCTTTCAGGCAAGAGAAGAGAGATGAGGACGGCCAGGACGCTTTCTTCAGGGTGAAATCGCAGAACGGCACCATTGTTCGGTGTTTGAAAACTGCTGTAGACGAGAAGCTTCGCTCGATCCAATCAGGCAATATGGCAGATACCGATGTGGAGACTTACATGGCTAGGACAGTCGAAATCCTGCGCGGCATGTTCGAAATCGACCCTCACAGGCGTTACCACTCCTACAGAGTCCTGAGAGAGTTGGAAGAAGCCAGCCAGAGGTACTCGACGAGCAGGCAGAGACCGGGCGACCGGATATATCAGAAGATCAGAGACTGGAACCCTTCAAAGTGTTTCACCGAGGTCGGTTGGAAGAAGGGAGGGGAGATCCGCTCCTTCCTCGAAATGCAAGCAACCCTATGGATAATTCTGAATATCCAATTGTTTCAAGGTTGCCTCCTCGCTGATGTGGAATCCAGGTCTGATGTACGCATTCGAAATAAGATGCCTCGTGAGACAATACGGGAATGCACCTGTATGTTTCGAGTATTTTACAAGCAAGGAACGGTACTTATATTCCACGGAGTTGGGGAGAGGGACGAACTGGATACGATGCCCTTCAATCCTCAATTATTGAAACGTGAGTTTCGTTGCCGCAGATCCCGGCTGAGATCGGGGCTGAACGGACTTCAGTGGACATGGAGAAGAGCTACATGATCCCGGAATATTTGTATCGGCAACCTGATGGAAGATTCACCTGCACGGTCATTTCAGGCGACCAACCCTACGAAATTCTGTCCCTCAGTTTCGCTTCTCGAGACGGTAAGTACCGGCCAAGGCGGTGGCGATCTCTCTGGCTGACTGCAATAGATGCACAGAGGTTCCAACACGCACTTACGCGACAGAAGGTGGAGTGGGAGTCAGATATTGGGTTCGTCTATAGGGACATCACCATTCCGGACCACGAAACTTTGATCGGGTGGCTAACAGGACGACCAGTCACGTTGAGCGGGCGAACTTCTACATCAAGCCCAAGAAACAGGACGCGGACATGTCCCGGAACTTAAAGTTGCAGGTTTGGTCCTGCTGGAAGGATGGCATATGTGATATCGACTTCAACTCGACCCGCCACCTTCATTCACCTGACCGCCGAGAGTATGCAAAACAAAGGCTTGTTATTTTCGAGGATTTGAGGCCTTTCTTTCTCATTCCTTGTAAGAAAGAGCCGGTATTCTCTCCTGGATTCAGATTGCTAAAATGTCGCAGTCAACAACGGCCAAAAGCAATTCTTGTGTTACGGCCACGCAGTCACCATCAAAGCCGCCCGGAGGTTCAAAGAATGTGATCTCTACAGATCGCCTTCAAAGTTCCCCTGCATAGAAGATACTTCTGTGAATGAAGATATCGAGAAGTTGGGATGCGTTGCCCCAGCAGTACCGCTCGATCAACTCAAACTTGAGTCCCGGTCATGGCGGCTCGCAGGTGATCTGAAGAGGCGGCCGTCGGTACTCACATTCTCAAGGAAAGGAGATGCTGGTATGAACACACGCGTTAGAAAAAAGTATGCAGTCCTGACCTGAAACGATTTAGACATGTTCGAGATCTGCAAAATCGCCGCAGAATATGGCGAAGCCCCCAGACTGGACCCCGAATAGCTCCGTGTGCCTCCCAGCTAGCGGTCGACGTCAGACAATCGAAATTCGACTTTCTATCGACCTCTTCCATGACCAATGTTGATACAGTTCGACACCACCGTATATGAGCATGGTGGTTACTATCAGTGGAATCGCTAGGACAGCATAGACCTGCAAGCCGTCTTGTGCGATGAGCTTGAACTGGGCAGACTGCGCCTTACTAACGTAGCCCAATTGAAGGAAATCCTGTTCCCGTCAGCGCACTCTCTCTCTATCTCACCAATGGCGTATTGAGTACGAACAGAGACGAACGATGCTGGCAAAAATACCAGAGCCAGTACCGTCAGAATTTTGAGCACGTGGGCTTCGTACCCGGATCTCAACGTGAGCTCAGTCGTGGCCGCACTGTTGCGAATCGAGATGGTATTTCGAAGCTGAGACCAGTCTGTGAGCAGTGGAGCGCCTCCTTGGATCCAAACAATCTCACCTGCTCTGAGAGTGACCTCGCTCTCTCAATCATCGATGCGAAGTTTTTGATGCTCAGGTGATGCTGTTGCCGCATCTTGTTCAGTGAACGGAGGAGCGAGTCTATATGCGACGAATCACTCGAGGGGTGTCGGCCCCTGAGTTGGCGCATCAGTTCTGTCATCGATTCGAGCGTCTCCAAATTAAAATCCATGCAGTGATTCACCCGAAGCGCCATGTCAACGAAGGCTTGTAGGGACTTCATGTCCATGGACGAGCTCTCCAAGGTATCGAACTCGCGGAGCTTTCCCGGCTCTACCCCTGAGATCATGACCCGGCTAAACTGGGAGAAATCATCAGTAATTTCCTGATAGCCTAGCATGAGACTCAATGGTGCGTACTATTTCCGAGATTCTCTCGTCCAAAAAGTTGAAGCATTCACGGAGAGGCGCGTCGACGCTTCCAAAAGCAACTGCGTGGACATGCGTCCAGTCGCCGGCCATTTGTGGAGCTACTGCAGGCTCTTGCATAAAGCAATGATTGAGGCGGCTTGTCAGAGCCTCGGATGACTTGACCAAGACGTGATCAGCTCGTCCGGCATCGAAAGATACCTTCTGGTATACGAGTGACTGGCTGATCGACCAGGGGTTGGTCCCAGGCCTCGCCCGTGCTCGTTTCTGGACGTACTTGATCAGGTAGCACGATTCTGTGTTGATTCAACTTAGTCTGTCGTACTGTGACGGGAATGAGGACTCCAGAAATTACCGAAACCAGAAAGACGGCCATCTACTCCCACATTCTCGACCCAGTCATGGCCTCCAAATCCTTCGTCCTGGGAGAAAGACTTCTGTCCAAACACCAACAAATTTCGATGGAAATCAGGGAATGCGCCCAATCCAGCAAGCAAATTCATCATCCCACGCAGCGTGATTGGAAGCTCACTTCGGGTGAACGCTGGGTTAACGAGACTGGGCCATCATGTGTCAGGAGCACGCAGGTGGTTATCTTTTTAGCTGTAGGCAGGGACTCACAAATACGATGCCTTGACTTCCAAGTCTCTGCCCGAAACGACATCTACCAGGTGTCAGTATTTCTGCACCGCTATGGTGATTTCAGGTACGGCCTTTGTCCATACCAGCCGAGTCAACCTGGCTTCTCCTCCCCGGTGACAGAGCGCACATTCCTATATCTGATTCGTTCTCAATTAGGTCGACACCAGTCTTGCCTTCGCAGTGTCAGCATCCTATGGATTTGTCTTCCAGTCAGCAGTGGCATTATCGACACACCTTCTCTGTCCACCCAGGCAACATGGACCTCGATAGGTCCGTTGCTCATAAAGAGGCGCTCTTGGCTCTCGAGGAGTCTTTTCCCTATCTCGGATGCATACATTTGTTCGAGTGGGCTCATTGGTAGTGGCCATGCTATTTGAGCTTTATCGTCCATATTCTTGTTGTTCTGGGCAAACCAGGGTCCAAGTAAGAGAAATCCTGGTAGCTTGTTGCTTGGCCTGCCAGTTACATTTGGTTTGATATCTAATACATGGGCCCAATCTCAGTTCCATTCTACCAATCGGCTACCACTGTATGAAGGAGCCACATACATTTTATATGTATGGGATTAAAAACGAAACCACCACTCTACCAATCGGCTCCGGGGAGGCGGTCTGCCTCAGCTGCGTCTATTGCTGCTTGCATAAATCCTGCCTTAGATCCCCCCACTCTCTTCTCGCACCGAGATCGATTACCGCCTCGGCCCAAAGGGAAGAGCGGGCGGTGGCACTGAGTCACGAATCATTCTGTGCTGCTCTTCCTGGCGGTAACAGAATCAGCGATGGTGCTGCTCAACTTGCTCGAAAGTCGAATGAACACTACCTTGTTGATGACGCGTGGCCCGGTAACTATCCACCAACCGGTGCTCTCCCTCAGCTCGGACTGTCTCAGAGTCAGGATTTCAGGTATGGCACACTCTTTCAGTGCGTTGGAGCTCACGCTGTATGTCCAGACCATCGCGCCTCTCGAGTTGAATTGGGGACCAAAGTGTTTTCTCAGCCAGAGTTGGAGCACCATCTCCTCGACATCATAGCCAATCTGTGTAGTTATGGGCATTTTGAACATCACTGGAAAAGGATAGGCTGTATCGACCTAGCCAGTGGACGAGAACTTCTTAAGTCATCGATAATGCCCCATTGACGACATTGGGCCGCGTACACCCCTCAGCTGGAGTCGCACGGGTGGAATGCATGTCTCTGATTCCAAGGAAACCCCTCAACCTGTCTCGTCCGCTGCTGAGCGGTCGGGCGTAAACTGGCTGACTGGTTGTCGTCGACCAACGTTACCCCGGCTCGGCACCCTTGTTGTGGAGGCTCATGTTGCTCTCCCTTGGGAGGCAGATACGTGAATCGATTAACGCACGCAAAATAAACAGCGATTGAGCTCGCCGATCTCCATCTTAACTCGCTCTTAGAGCAGCAGAGCCTCATCTGGACCCAAGAAATGGGTCAGCACACAAGACCGCTGCTGACTTAATTTACAGTATTGCCCATTGAGTGCTGCAGGCTGCCTGTGAGTTCCTTATCTGCGTGCCTGACACGTTCTGCGTGCTGCCTTCTACGTCCCTCCACCGCAGGGCATAATCTCCTCCGATCCCTCCTCTCGCGAGGCTTAAAATACATATGGATTTCCAGAGTCATGGTAGTGAATATGATGATGCCACCAGAATGGGCAATGAAAAATCTCGTGGGGGATGGGATGTTCCAGGGCTCACATGGTTCGACGTCTTCTCTCTGATTGTTAACAAGATGATCGGGACCGGGATATTCACGACTCCAGCCTCCATTTTCCTCCTGACCGGCCAGAAGAGCCTAAGCCTGGGTCTCTGGGCAGTTGGACTCTTTTACTCTGTAGTCAGGTGAGTCTTGACTCCACGACCGTATCTTTCCCAGGGCGTCGGCCGACTTTGCTTAGCATGGCTTTATATCTCGATTATGCGACAGTGTTCCCCTTCACGGGCGGAGAACTGGTATATGTAGGTGCATTGATATTGACACTTCGCCCGCGAGATTTCATGAACCTGCTCACGCTGATACGGCATAGATGGAGGAGATGTCAGCGTGGTCCGGCATGGGCCAGGCGAACGGCGATGCGGTCGATGCCAAGGAGAGAACAGCCCACGCATTGACTGCCCTTCCCCTCAAGATGGGCCGCTTATTATCACCTATTCGCCGTACTACGAGAATAGTTTCCGGCGACGGAATGCTGGGTTTCATTGTTTATGCGGTTCTCTTCGCCGGCCTCTTCAACAGCTCAACAAACTCAATGCAGTTCGGGAAGATGATCCTCGTAGCCATACATGCAGATAAGTTCTCCGAGGACGCGTACCACGAGCTCAACCGCGATTTGATCAGATTTATCGCGGTGATTGCGCTATCCGTTATTTGCATAGTCCAGTTCTTCTCCCCCATAGCGGGGAGAAGGCTGAACAACCTGGCAGCTGTGGTCAAGATCCTGTTTGTCCTGCTCTTGATCATCTTTGGTTTGGTCGCTGTTGTTGTCGGCAAGCAACAGAACCATTTCACTGACTGGAATGAAGAGAACTGCATGTTCAGTAACTTGACGTATAGCATTTTTCCGAGACATACCTATTGCTGCTTCAAAAAGAATGCCGAAGATGCTCTCAAAGACGACACATGTTTCTCGGATCTCATGGTCAACGGTATCTCCGTACTGGACGCCGACAACAATTTTGAAAAGAAAGTCTCAAGCGGCAACCCGTGGGTCTGGGCTAAAGCCCTGCTCTTGGTGCTGTTTAGTTATCAGGGATGGGAAAATGCAACTTTTGTAAGCGACAGATCGTCTGGTGAACGACATCCGTGGAGCCCTTCATACTGACGCCGAGGCATCTGGCAGGTGGCAGGCGAAATCCCCCAGCATGGCAGAAACAGAAATGTCCTTCGCAAAGGTTTCATGACAGCGGTGATCGTGGTCGGAATGCTCTACTTGTGTGCAGTGGCTGTCTTTGTGTGTAGTATCCACCCTTCCGGCCATCTCACCCACACTGACATCCGAGTCCGCCAGCTCGAGGCATTTTCATATGACAAGCATTTGGAGATGGCTGTTACCCCTCAACTATGCATCATACGTGCGTTCGCCAAACACTTATACCGCAAAATCTCCTTCATTATAGCTCACTAGCACCATAGTACACTTCATTTCCCCTCATGGACGATGGTCACGGTCTCAAAAAGCCACAATCACCCAATGCAGGTGCTATCCGAGCCTGGGCAATAGTAACGGCGATCTCGTGTCTTGGAAGTATCAACTCGATCATATACACATTCTCCCGAGGTATATCCCCATATTCTAGCCAGCTCAGTGTTATCGCTGATCGTCGTCACTGTCTACAAGTCAAACAAGCCATCGGCCAGGCGAATCTCCTTCCATGGTCCAACACCTGGAAGAAGAGTCATATCCTTTCCAAGGAGAACAGAGATGACGATATCTTGAACAAATCCCCCCAGGGCGGTCTGATATTCCACTGGCTGATGAGCGTCGCCTTCATCGCCGCGGTCTGCAGCATCGATGCCACGACGGAGTCGATCTCCATGCCGGGATATTATCAGGCCTATGCGCACTCATTCGTCCTCTGTGAGTGCAAATAACCAACCTACAGAAGCGTGGAAGTTGTCGAGAAACTGACCCCCATCAATGTACAGTGATAATGGCAGCCCTCTTCCCCCGCCTCGGCGGCCGCGCCGAGGCGCTCCAGCGCGAGATGCCAGACCACGTTCTCCAGCTGTGGCAGCCCACGGGCGTCGGCCTGGCCATATCAACAGTGGTGCTGCTCGCGTACGCCGCGCTGAACGCCGCCATCCTCGTGGTGGTGCCCCGGGTCTCCCTCACGTCCGACGACAAGGGCCACGGCCTGCCCGGCCACTACTACGCGACCGTCGTCTTCAGCCTGGTGGGCCTCGCGCTGGCATACTACGTCTCCGTGACCGGCGGTGCGGCGACCGAGCACGTCGAGCGGCGGCCCATGAGCGGCGGCGGCGGCGGCAGCGAGCCCGTCGTCGTCGGCCGGGTCGAGGGCCTGTGGGGGTCCAGGGGCTACAGTCTTCTAACCCTCGCGGGTGTGCGGTGCCGCATCCAAAAGGATCTTGTATATGACACCGAGATGGAGCGTGTCAGACACTATGGGCGTCGGTGGCGCGCTGTCTATATCCTGCGGGAGGACCTCCGGGTGAGTTGGTCATTTTTTTGCTTGAATTTCCTACTCGTCTGATTTCTCTCTGCGTACGCGCTTATGGGGACGCTGAACTGACCGCTGTGACATCACCTTGGATACCAAAGGCCAAGGTCCCAGGTGACAGAGCATCTCTCAACATGCTGTACTGGCTCTTTGGGGGCCAGTGGTATTTCCAGCATCCCGAGACTGACACTCCTTGGGAGCGGTTTCTAAACTGGCTGCCTGGCTAGGTGGGACGAGATGATACTAAGTGACTTGCAATCATCAGGTGGGAAGATAAGTGTCCTGCCCGCCGGGGGAATGAATGTGTATCACCGCTTGAGATGGTGAAGAGGGAAAGGGTCAAGCCCAGCTGGCTCGATTAGAAGTAGCCATTGCATCAACTCGATACCTAGGTACCTGTTCGAATATAATGTTGTGAGATGTGAATCACATGAGGCTTGACATGTGTTGAGGCCGTGATTACAGGAGTTGACATTGATCTTGTATGTATTTCGTATCATTCATTAGACATATCTCATGAGCTGCAAACACGAGAACCAACCCCTATCTACCATGCCCCCATGCTTCCGTCTCATTACGGGGCTCCAACAGATACAGCCCGACTTCTAGCCTGCCCCGCCTCGAGATGAAGGTGGGCAAACGCCTCCGGCCTCATGCCTTCAGATTCAACGACTCCGCAAGAGTCGGCGGAAGGAGAGGAGCGGGTGCTGTGATAACATGCAGAAAACCAAGCTTGGGACGCGCAAAAAAATGAGATCCGTTTGCCATGCCGCCATCCATTCCATAACTCCGAATGACTCAATCAGCTCATGCAAAATTATGAGTTGCTGCTTTTCTTTCCTTCCCAGACTCAATGCGGCCATGACCACTATGATCACTCGCCTTTACTCCGGGCATCTTTCGGCTTCCTTTCACACTGTTGGCAGTTGGCTCCCCTGCCGGGTTCAACCGCCATTGGTCCCCTCCCCATTTGCTGCCTCATGTTGCTGAATAGCTCGGTCCACTTCTCATCCTTCCACTACGGGGCAGCGGATAGTGGCCCGTCGAGCATAAAGTCCAGCTTCGGCATCTCCAGCCTTGGCGGAGGCTCCTCAACCAACTTCTTCTTTGGCGATGCGGCACCAGCCCCAGGAGCAGGCTTCTTTGGGGATGAGCTGCGTGACTCGGCAGGCGGGCCGAATCGCACATCTCTGACGTCCCAGCCGTCGTCCGCTGCTGCTGCAACCCAGTTGCGAAGAGCATCATGCACAGCAGGATAGAACTTCTCCTTGCAGAGGCGCAGGCTTCCTCCAAGACAACGCTCCCAGCCCGAGATGCGGAGCTGCTCACGCAGAGCGTTTCTCTCGTACCGTGTCGGCGTACATGCCAGAATAGCATTGATGATGTCCAGATGAGATGCCAGGTAGTTCGTGGCATCCCATTCGACGCCGCCGACATATGGCGCAGCTGGAACAGGAGGCCGCTCCTGTGGGAAATGCCGCGTCATGTAGGCATATGGTTCAGAATTGTTCGTCGCTTGTTCATTGTTGATAGATGCGGCTGCATCGTTTGTGTTTGCTGTCGTCCGTATGTCTTCGTTTGACTTATGGCCTGCTGGCAAGGCGACGACGTTGAGTTGGTGGAGGAAGATCCAGAAAACTTCCTTCGTGACATTGACAACCTCTTTGTTCCACACGCGATAAGGTCGCTCTCGCCTCATCCCCAGAACAAATTCCACCGGCCGCTCCTCCTCTTTCGCCTGTGGGTCACGGAGGTACGATAGCACCGCCTTGGCCCTCAGCACCCTCTCCTGAGGGGTGCCGCTTTGGATGTAAGTGAAAAGCACAGATGTGATTATGTTCCGGGTGGTAAATTCGCTCGGGCCTTTCTTCTCCGGGTCAAATATCATGCCAATCAGAGCAGGGAAGAGAGTTCCCTGGATAGAGTGGAGATACTGCAAAGCCAAAGCGGTTGTGCATAGCGCCTTGAGGCAAAGTAGGTTCTCATGGAGTAAAGCATCCTCGTGTTCCTCCCTTGAGAGAAGTTTCAGTCAGCTTCAGGTCTTCAAATATGGTGACTAGTAGACTCACCTCCACTCAACCGCCATGATCCGGTGGAGTAGACCAACGATTTCCTGCATGCCGCCTTGCTTCACAAAATCTTCAGTCCACGCTACCCGCTCGTTTCGGAGCAGCAGGCGCAATTTGTGAAGCTTGCCAACCTCGACGGATTCTGGCTTCTGGACCTTGCGCAGATAACCCACAAAATCCGAGGGCTGCTGGCCGGTGATCTTCGCAATGAACCCATTGCTAGCGTGCGAGGCGCCCGAGGAGGAAGGCCTTTCACTGACGGTGCTGTCCACCGACTTGTTCCTGGTATGCCCCCTGATAGAGGCCTCTTTCTTCTTGCCCTTTGACGGTGAGGTCCCGAGCTTCCAGCTGTTCCTTGACAGCGTGAAACTCCTCCCTCGAGATTGTTTCTTTTCACTTTCATGCACAGATGTGTTGGCGGTGCCCGAGGTAGAGTCGTCGCTATCATTGGTCTGCGGCCGGACCAGATTCTTCCCTTCGTTCTCGGCCCAGTCCTGTCTGATGAATTCCATCTTGATCGTATCCGTCAGACTCCGCATCTTGTGTCGCTGATTCTCTGGGATGTTGCGCCGATCAAGCATAGCCTCCAGGTGCTTGTCGATTTCCTTCGGGTCGATATAGGGCTCGGCTGCATCTTGGGAAGGTGGCGACGGAGACTTTGATTTCCGCCCCCCTCGGGTTGTCAGTGCCGAAAAGACTCCGTTGCGTGACTTGGATCGTCCTTTGGCCCGTGTCGAGTCGCGGTTGGTATCACTGGAGTCGTCGTGTCTCGTCCGCCCACGATTCTCCCTCCTGTCTTCTACCTGGGCAGTGTCGGGTTTGGGGAGATACTGAGGCTGAAACGACTTGGGTCGCTGCTTCTGGCCGGGGGCCACGTTGGATTGGGATGGTCGAAGCGAGTTGCTCAGGTTTAGCAGACTTGCGGAGGTGAAAGGGTCGGCAGGCGCCTCGTAAGGTGAGCTCGGGACGGAAACAGCCTGACCGAAGCCTCTGCTGCGCATCTGGGCAAAGATGGGAGTTGCAGGAGCGTCAGATGCGCTCTGATCCGACGGCTTCCTGTTTTCCTTGTTCTTGAGCTGCTGTTCCAGGTCCAGCTTCAAGTTCTTGTTGGACCTTGGACGAGATAGCAGGCCGACGATGTTAGTTGAGGACCGGGTCTTCTTGGGTGGTGAAGCGTCCCTGGGGCCCTTATCCCTGGAGAACCTGGAGGAGAAAGTACCAAGTCCGGATTTCGTGGGAGATGCTGGTGGCTGTAGTCTATCACTGCTGGGGTTACAGTTGGTGTCGGCGCCTTCTCGACTTTCCCTGGTGGGCGAATGTGCCGGCTGGAGAGGCTCAGCACTAATTGATAACCTGGGGAATGCCATGGCTGTTGTTGAGTGGCGATTCTCGGCGTTGCGACTCCCCTGGTGCGCCTGGTTGGTTGGTGGTGGGCTAAGATTGGGCGATGTGGAAAGGAGGTTGACGCCGTCCGAGTTGTTGCGCCTGTGGAGGAAGGATCGCAAACCGCCAGTGGGCTTGCTTTGCTCGAATTGCTGTCGCCGCTCTGAGAAGTTGTAGTCGCCTTTTTGTATAGCAGCCATGCTGTCTCACAGGCTGGATCTCGAGGGATGAGGAGGGCGAGCGAGGTCAATTCATGTGAGGATGGCAGGACGGCAGAATCGAAAAGGACTTGGGTCTCGGTGATGTGATGCAATGGTGCAGTGCGGCGTGGTGCAGCTGATGTATGCCAAACGGGCTGTAATGCTGCGCGCAGTAGAACACTATTCTCTAAATGGTGAAGTGATCATGCCATCATGGTCGCGAAAAAGGATCAAAAGAAGTGAAATCAACAATCCAAAGCAGGCTGGCAGAGAGGCCAAAACAAGCCGGGTAAGCAAGCCTGGCGGTGATGGGTGCAGGTGCAGGTGCAGGTGCAGGTGCAAGGTGCAGATGCTAATCAGTAGTGTAGTACGGAGTAGTGTGGTGGTGGTGTCGGTGTGGGGATTCTCGACGCGCCAGAAGGATGGAAGTCAATTGATATTGAGGGAGAACCGAGCAATCAATAGGATCAGTACCTAGCACGCAGTACCACAGCAGCAGAGTACACTAGTAGCGCCTCCCGGATGGGGACGGTCAATTCATCGAGACGGGCAAGGTCGAAACTGGAGAGGCAGGCCAGGGCATCCACTTCTGCACTTCCGCGCTGCCCGTTGCCCACAGGTCGGCCCCAAATAAAAAACGCCCGTCGCCGTTGCCGCAGTGACGGGGGGGGGCAGCTGGGGGGAGCACCCGCTCGCTGCCCCTCGAGCTTGGCTGGCTTGGCTGGCTGCTTGGGCTGCACTGCAGGGGCGGAGGCATGGCTTCTGCATGGGCACAGGTTGGCTGTTGTCCAATGCCTATCTCCAGCCACCGCGAGCTACCACTGTGGGCTGTTAGTGGATGCATACCCCACACCATTCCTGTCAGCCCGAGGACTGCCCACTCCCACTCATTCTGGCCGTGTCTCGGCGCCCTTGTGACTTCATCCTGCCTAGCAGCCTAGCAGCCTAGCAGGCCTGCCCAACAGCTCTCTAGCACCAGAACAGCCAAAGTCGGGTCCGAAACAAACAAGCACAGTAAGCCGCGCAGCCGCTGGAGACCTTAGGGTTGGCGGCTATCATGTCGAACAACGTTTCAGGAGCTTGCAGAGCCTCCCCCGGGCCGTGGGTGTGGCCGTTTCTTCTGTGAGACTCTGACGCACGCTCATTTGACAAACGGGGCCTGCAAGACCAGTCCAGAGGTCGGCAGGTCGGGACTCGGCTGTGCCTTTTTGGAGGGTCGATGCCGTTCCTGATCGATGACGATCCTGAGTCAGCCAGTTCCCAGCCACCCGGTATCAACACAACCCACACGCGACAATCACCAGTCAAGATTGGCCCGTCACCGCTTGTATGTCGTGTCGGCCAGCCCACGCGTTGGCTCAAAACAACCCCACGATGCTGAGGTCTAGCTGAACCCTCAGAGGCCTTTTTTTTCTCCTATGGGGTCGGGGGTCGCGTCGTGTCATTTGTCATTCGTCATCCTTCGCGTGGCCCTTGCCCACAGCATTCGCCCGTTTTTGAGGACTTGTGCTGTGCCCTGTGGGGTACATCCAGCGAAGCTTGGCCGTCGATAGAGTGGGACCACATGGGCCATCCGGTGGTGCCTGTTCCTCTCCAGGTCCGTCGTGTGCTATTTCGGTCGGTCACCGCGGTTTTGAGTTTTCGCTCCTGCAGCTTGCCGACTGCAATGGCCTCCTGTGCTGCGGCCGGTACCTCGATCGATGGATCACGACTAATCTCTTACTGCACGGTGCTTACTTGTACAGGTGAAGCCAGATCGGCAATGGGTGTGGGTCCTCAAAGTCCCCGGAATGGATTTGTATGTAGAATACAAGAGAGATGTGTTGTAACAATCGTCACGAAGCTTTTGTGCAGGGCCTATACGGATATAACATTCATCATATGATACAGCTGTCCAACCTCGTCGGTATCAAGAGCTACTACCACCCGCCTCTGTCTGCGAGCCACTGCCACCATCCGCACTGGCGCCGTTCAAGGTACTGCTACTCTTCTTGGTAGCCACTTGGGATTGGTCAGCACATGGTCTACGATTCCCACAAGTGCCACAGTAGGCACGACAGAACCAAGAATTCACAAGTCTGCGGTTGGTTCTGGAGGTGGGGCCCATCACTTACTAGCTCTCTGCCACTCTGGTATCTTCACCGTAGAAGCTGAAATGCCGCTGTTGAACGGAGAACTCCGCCCCGTGCTCGCCGCGTAATCCTGGACAGATGGCCCACTGCTGGGCTTGGGTGTTTCTTCAGAGCCGGCATTGCCATTAGTCGCCCCATTCGAGACTGACGTCGCTGTCGCTGTCGCCGGCGCCGGCGCCGGCACCGGCGCGGGAGTCGAGACTGGAGGGGCGACCGATGGGCGGTTGAAAATGGAGTTCGTGGATGCCGATGGCTGCTGGCTCGTCATCCGCTGGCTGATGATTGTCTTGAGGCTCTTCAATTCTGAGTTGATCTCTTGGAGCCTCGAGTCGGTCAGGCTCTTTTGTGCGTCCAGAGCCTTTGGAACCGAGTCTTTGAGGCCGTGGACGTCGTCCCGGATGCGTTGGGCCTCGTCTTCTCTCCTCCTGTTGGACGACTTGAGCTCACCGATGACGGTCTCGAGCTCGAGCAGCGCGTTGTTCAGTTTCTCGTTCCGTTGCTCTTCCGCGGCCTTCAGCTCCTCGGTGTCCTTGGAAAGCTGTTCCACAAGCACAAAAGCCTTTTCAAACTGTTCGTCAATCGACTTCTTGTCGGACTCGAGGCGCTCTGGTGTCGGTGGCGCCACCAGGGGGTAAACGTAGCGCTGCAGACCTGTCAGTCCTGCTGTATGTTACGTTCACAATTGAGCATCCATACCTTGCCTAAGGCATACAGGCCATAGCCTACACCTCCAACCACCGTGGCCATTATGAACCAATCCCTCCAGTCTCTCTTAGGAACCGCTGGAGGAGGCTGCTGCCATCCGTAAGGCGGGTATCCTCCATAATATGCTGGCTGTTGCCCTGGTGCTGCACCGGGAGGAGGCGGCGGTGCGGAATATGATGTGACGGGTCCTTGCTCGGGTCCGGCGCGGGCAAGGGCAGCATGAACTTCTTCCTCAGTCAGGTTCTTGGCCTTGAGGAAGGCCACCCGGTTCTCGACTGGCGATGCAGCGACACTTGGATCTTGCAGGACTGTGGCGAGTTGTTGCATTAGCGATCGGACGGGGAAGACGGGGAATCTATGCGGCTCGTCGTCGACTTACACTGGGCCTGCGTGACGTCGTTAGCATCCGGAGCATCGGTGGCTGAAGTGAGGGGGGACAAAGACTTACTGCAGAGGCCACGAGGTCCTCACGAATCGTCATGATGGGCAGACTGTCCGGTCTGCTTCATGACCCTACATCAACGAGAGAGGGAGAGTTGCGATAATGGAAGGCCGTTGCCGGATGTAGGGACGGGCCTGTGATCAGCCGTCGAATAAATTCCCGAAGCCGAGGTACATCTGCGGGCAGGCCAGCTCTTGGCAATAAGCGCAGGCGCCCAGGCGCCGACAGTCACTGGCAGTCCCCAGTTGCCCAGCTCCTTGCTGGTCAACCCCAACCCTCAGCCAACACTTGCAGCAAACAGGAGCTCCCTGTTGATTGGGCAACTGCCTTTTGTTTTTCTGGCGTCCTGGCAACACGCAGCTCCAAGTTGGGCCCCACGGCGCTGGAGAAAGCCACCGTCCTTGGAATGTCTGATGCATATATCTGGACCATGCATGTCGCTGAGGTTGAGCTAGCTGACTTCTGATTTCCTATTCCGCAACTCGACGTCACGATCCAGTTTCTGATCAATCACCTACCCATCATCGTTCAGCAAGTCGCGACAGCCATCATGTCGCAAGACACCGGCCTGTGGAGTGTGCGCCGCCCAAGAGAAGTCAGTCTAGGACCCTTCTAAATATTACCCTCCGTTATCCACTCGCGCCCGCCCTACTTTTGTCCTCCTCAACAACAACACACCCAACCAGTCCTTCGCTTTCCACATATGATTGCTCCATACTGTCGCTACAACAAAAACATACTGACTTCGAGCTTGTCGTGCAGACTCTTGGCGGCATCAGCCACAACTCCGCCATTCCACACCCGACCTCCGCAATGAAGCGATCGCAGTCCTCCTTCGGCGGCGCGCCCTACTCGTCGAGCCACTCCCGCCCTGTCTCGGGGTCTAGGCAGTCCCTGGCATTGTCGAGGCCACCCCAGCCCATGTTCGCGCGCTCCTCGTCCGGTGGCAATCTGGCCGACCTGGGCGCATCCTCCGTCAGGCGCATGTCCTATCAGCCCCAAAGCACGAGCACCTTGAAATCGTACACTCCCTCCAACATCCCGGGGCGCGCATCTAGTAGCGGCGAGCGGAGGAGCAGTGTCTACCGCGCGAGAACCTCCACACACGCCCATGTCGGTGGTCATCAGAGCTTCTTCCAACAGGCGCCACAGCCAGCCGGCGTGCCCCGCGACCCGCGGCCACTGAGGGACCGGTCATACCAGGCCAGGATAGGACAGGAGTTGCTAGACTACCTCGCTCAGAACAACTTTGAGATGGAGATGAACTACTCCCTCTCGCCAAATGTCATGAAGTCGCCGACCCAGAAGGACTTTGTCTACATGTTCCAGTGGATGTACCACCGCATCGACCCGAGCTACAGATTCATGAAGAATATCGACCAGGAGGTGCCCCCGCTACTAAAACAACTTCGCTACCCCTATGAAAGGAGTATCACGAAGAGCCAGATCGCTGCAGTGGGCGGACAGAACTGGTACACGTTTCTTGGGATATTACACTGGATGATGCAACTGGCACAGATGCTGGAGGCATACTCTTCCAATCGATATGAGGAGGCCTGCGCCGAGGCTGGAGTTGACGTGACTGGCGATCACATCATTTTTGACTTCCTGAGCAAGGCTTACAGGGATTGGCTCGATATGGACGACGATATTGGCGACGAAGAGGCCGAGAAGGTTCTGGCTCCGCACGTGCAGATGATGGCCGAGGCCTTCGAAGGGTCGAACTCAAAGTATCAGCAAGAGCTTCAGATGCTCGAATCCGAGAATCAACGGCTGCAGCGAGAGGTGGAAGAGTTGGAGAAAAACACCCCGGACCCGGCTCTGCTTGACACCAACTACCAGATCATGGAGGAGGACCGCGTCAAGTTTGAAGAGTACAACACCCTGGCTATGCAAAGATCAGAAAAGTACGAGAGTCGGATTCAAGTCCTACGTGAGGAGCTTGAGAAGATGATGCAGGAGCTGCATGAGGCTGAAGATGAGCGGAGAGGCCTGCAGAAAGTAGTCGACGACCAAGGCATAAGCATGGCGGATATTGACCGCATGACATCGGAACGGGAGCGGCTACAGAAGGGCATCGAGTCCGCCAGCCAGCGGTTGGACGAGGTCAAGAAAAAGGTTGCCGAAAAAGAGGTCGAGGCTAGCAGGAAACTTGACGATCTCGAGCGCACAGTCGACCGATACAACACGTTGGCTTACCAGATTGGCCTCATACCCGCCACTGCCGTCAACGCAAAGGGGAAGGAATACGAGCTGAAGGTCACGGTGAACGAGGGACCCAATTTCACAGCATCACAACTTAAGGGCTCCTTTGGTGATGGTTTCGAAAACGAGCGTCTCCTTGCCGACCCCCACACGGGCTACCAGCCTGCGCATATCCTCAACCTGGACCTCCGAGGTCAAGTTAAGAACGCCTTCGTCTCCCTGCGAAAGGAGATCTCGGAGCGCCGCAGCCACGCCATGGACACGATGATGAAGGACCACGAGTTGCTGGACAACATCAAGGAGGCCATGGAGGACAAGCGGAACGAGGTCGAGTCCCTGGAGCACCGAGTGCGGGCTGCCGAGGAGGAGCACGAGAAGACCAAGGAGGTCACCAACACGCAGCGCATGGCCTCGGACACGCAGATTGAGAAGATGGAGAAGGAGCTCGCCAAGATGCGGTCCAACCTGTCGGAGAGTGTGCAGCTGATGGAGCAGAGAGAGATGAATGTCAACATTGAGTGAGTATCAGAGCCCGCATGACAAGCCAGTCACTCCTGCTTACCGGTCGGACTAACTCTTTCGATAGGTACGAGCAACTCACCATCCGAGCAAATGCCTTGCGGGAGGAGCTCCACACAGAAATCACGCGCATGCTCAACGATGTCATCAAGTTCAAGATGCACGTCCAGAAGAGCATGGAAGACTACGAGGGCTTCGTTACGGACGAGCTCGAGAAGGAGCTTGCAAGCGAGGGCATGCCCGAGGAGGGGGGCGACGATGAGTGACGTGTTTTCCCTCAGTGAGCAGTAAGCTTGGTGTTTCTGGTGTTCAATTGGGCTTTTGGGGTACTGCAGGCCGGGATGGTTGTTCTAGGGATAGGGAGCATTGGTTGTGTATATGGTTACGAAACGACATTAATGATGATACCACTGCGGCGTATATTTGTATCGACACCGCGCTGATGTCATATATTTCCGCATGTAATGCCCACGGTTTTGCGGGCCGTGCTCGATCCCCCGTGCAGTGACACATAGACCATCGCACAAGGCGCGGCGAGTCCTGCAGCGATCTGATCACCTGTTTCGTAGCTGGTCTCACTCGCCAGGCGGAGGCGTGTGCCAAGACATGGTTGCCCGGAAACATTGCGAGAGACAGTTTCGGCCGCCGTCCAGCGGCGTCTACCCCTTGAAGCTCTCGTCAGCATCCACGTGATCGATACATGGACAGCATCATGTCATGCTCTCGCAGGAATGGGTGACTTGGTAACTAGTTTCTTTCGTTTTCTGTGTAAGTCCGACCTCAATTTTCCTGTGACACTCATGCGCAGAATGCCAATGAAATTCCTGAACAAGGATTTCTCCAGCCCTGATTCACTCTGATCAGTGGCTATTGACCAACTCAGAAACGTAGGCCCATCTGCTGTATGATTTGAAGGGGCTCATGGTCTGCCATGTGACCGTCCTAGGCCGGGCTCTACGGGCTCCAACCACCCTTCTTGATGATGCACTGGACCTCTACAGAACTGCGGTGTACTTTGCATGATGTCCATTCTGTTGAATCGTCATGTTACATGTTGCTGGAATCTTTGTTCAGAACTCCTTTCCTCCTTTATTTTCTGACTTGCATTGCGTTCACATCAGCCTAGAGCTGACTTTCCAAGATTCACCAGGCAGAACATATTTACTTATCTTGAGCAAAGTCCACGAACGTATGCTTCTCTTTAATTAGATCACACGGTTCCCACATCCACATCGTGATGGCGAGATTAAGCAGAATATATGTTATTGAATTAAATACTCTGGTTGTATTTCGACAGCAACCTTGGAGGTCTTTGAGCGTTTATCAGTGTGTGAGGGCGCCATATATATCCTCGGACGTATGCGGAATAGAGGCGAGACCAGGTAAGCTAACATGCTTACGGTAGACTATTTCTCGCTATTGGATAAACCCACCGGTCAATACCGGTACTATTGAGGTTGAAATACTACGAGATGATGCTTCCTAGCCTTGTCTGCGCAGCACGAGGCTGAGGCCACGTGCCCACGCATTGTATTCTCTCTGCACGGTCATTGGCATTGTGTTGTTTTTTTAGGGCAAAGAAAAGAAAAGAAAAACGCTGCGTCATGAGCCTTCACCACTATATGAAGGCGCCACATACATTTTATATTACGGGGATTAGAAACAAACCCACTTATGTGTGTTGACGTGCACGACACACGACAACCGAGATGTTCCATCCGGTGCTTTGACTCTGTCGCCCCCCAAAATTGCCGTTGTTGGCAGACCTCGGGACATCAGATGAAACCCACGTCAGTGCAATTGCCATGTACCACATAGAGAAAATCGTGTTTGTCCACGGATGCTTGACACGATCCCCCTTCATTCATGGGTTGAGGATTGAAACCTCGAAGCCCACGAATCGCGGGTGAGCAGTGTGCATGCATTGCTTGGGCGTGGCAGTTTTCCGTAGCATTCGGGATCCACGGACCACCTGCCGGCGACGCTACGGGAGCTTGCCTTGTCCCTGGGGAGCCAGCTGGGCGCACCCCGGCCAAGGTATGAAGCTGAGGTACCCCGCCGCGATAGTTCAGACTTGCCCCTTTTCATTCCACACCTGTGATAACATGCCTCGATTCCGCCGGTCTCGCGGCGGCTGCGCAACGTGTAAGAGGAGAAAACGGAAATGTGATGAGACCCGCCCGGCATGCATGGCCTGCCGTGCCAAGGGCATTGAATGCGATGGCTACGACATCCGCCTGCGATGGGGCAGCGACAGCGTCGCCTCGGCCTCTCACCACGGCAGCCGCGCCTCCTCAAAGCCCAGCGGTGGGTCCGAACCGACCGTCATAGGCACGCCCGAGAGCAATGCAGGTGAGAGCAGCATAGGCGACAACAACCACGGCGCCAACACCACCACCGGCGGCAGCGTCGCAGGTGGCAGCATCACAGGTGGAAGCATCACGGGCGGCAGCATCAGGGCTCGCAGTCCTCCCACAGCACCGAGTGAGACCTCGCCTGCCTCACTGCCATCATACCAGTACGACGAGGCGTCGGTTGCTGCGCTGGGCAGCCCCGAAGCCATAATAAACGAGGAGACCCAGATCGCATTCCAACGATGTCAGTTTTATTCCCGGCCACGCTCCGACACGCAGCGGCACATGCTGACACATATTCCAGTTCTCGATAAAGGAATTCACAACATCTACTCGACCACTATTCATGAGTGGGTCAAGCCACTCATCGCAGACGAGGCAAAGCCCTCCACTGCCCTGTTCATCGTCTGCGCCAACCTGCAGATATTCCTCGAGGATGGCCACTCATTAAGATTCCACCAACAATTCGACCAGGCCCTGCGCACTTTCCAGGCAGAGCTTTCCGCCTGCAATGGCATCATCAAGGCCAGGACATTAGGTGCCGGCCTCCTCCTATGCACCCTCTCAGTGAGCCTCCCCATTTGCAACATGCACGTCATCAAAGTCGCCTCATTCTCACAGCCCTACAGATTCTGCGAGGTTTTCGCTGGACAACCCATCTTCTCTGCACGGCTGACCTGTACAACCTGCACGGCGACCTCCAGAATGTGGGCCCTGATGCCGATCGCTACACCCACCATTGCTTCGAGGTCATGGGGATAATGGATCTTCCGAGCCTGGTTCTCGGCCGCACAACAGCACACCTCGGCTTCTGGCGCCGGTTCCGCAAGGCACAGCGGGGGTGGATCAACTGCAAGGAAGATGGCGTTGAGCCTGTCTCAGGCTTACCACGCCGCTTCCTCGACATATTCGCCCGCCTGGACGAGCCCGGCTGCGAACTGGAACTCTGGCTCTGGCCCGGAGAAGTCGGCGAGTTCGTCCAGATGCACCTCTGGGACGCTTGGCGTTTCTCGGGCATGCTAGAGCATAGGAGGCGCTGGAGAGGCAAGCTAGGCGGTATGAAGGAGCCTCCACCCGGGGTCATCCTGCCAACCACGGAGCAGCTTGTCTTCCGCCTGATGAGCTGTCTCGAGGCTGTACACCTAGGCCTCGAACAACCCGAGTATGGGCATTCGCTCGTGGGCAACAGCACGCTTTACCCCTTCGTCATGGCCAGCCTGGAGTTCCAGGTCCTCGACGCCCATCCCCATTGGAGAAAGGAGCTCAGGCGATTTCGGGACAAGATTCTTAGCTGGGACCCGAGTCTGAACGCGAAGATCCTTTTCGAAACGTTGGAAGAAGCAGAAATGAGTGGTGATCCTTCTTTTGATGCAGACGCTGCTATGAGAGCTCACGGCGCGGAAATAGCCCTGTTCTGATCGGATTCCAACGACACCACCGACGAGTTCACCAGACTCCCTCATAACCTCGCCATGATCCAAAGCCTTACCCCTTCATCTGCCTCTGCAAAAGGGTCTACCAGGCGGACCTCGGTCACCACCTGGAAGCCATATTTCTTGTAGAACCCGACATTTTTGCTATCGGTGCACTCCAGGTACACCGGGTGGTCTGGAGGACAGAGACTCAGGAGATGCTTCACCATTTGGGAACCGAGTCTCCTCTTCTGGCACGACGGATCGACCGCGACGACTTCTATATACCATGCCGGCTTACTTGCGATATTCTGCACCATCATTTTGCTCCCAAGATGGTTGGTCATGAACATTTCAACCCTCTGGCCAATCAATCAGCTCGATTCGGTTGCTAGAAGTCATCTTGGGCATTACAAACCTTCGGGTTCCCGTCATTTTCATCCTCTTTTGGACGAAAGTATCCAAGGGCAGCCCGGGGTAAGCCCACCGGCAAAGACCAAATGCGGTACAGCCAATTTTGGTCGAGTGGTGGGTGGAGGATTCCCACGGCCGCGCAATCATCTGTCGACTTGCCCTGGTTGTCTCCCCCAGGTTCCGGGTCTACGGCGACGTAGATTTCTCCGTCCAACAGGACCCGTTGAACTCTTCTTCGCTGCCATGACAGTGACCTGACATCTAGAGCCCCCCAAGGCGTTGCATTTGGGCGCAACCATCGTGTAAGAGGATCGTCAGAGAAGCTATTCAGGATTTAGTCGGAGCGTGGCTGCCGTGGTCATGACGGTAGAGGGATCTTACGCTCTGCATAGTGTCGTGGCGACTGCTTGCACACGATTACTGTCGCCTACAAATCAGTTGTCAGTTACTGCAGCCTAGAGTTCCTGCTTAGCGCTGAATAATTACCATGCAGCGTTGCGCTTTGAGCTCTAGATATACGTACCTCCGCTGAGCTTGATGATCTCGGCATGCGCCATGACTAGCACTTGCGCACCATTGCATGGAAGCGACGAGCCTCATTGTACTTTTTTCACCTTTATATCCTTGAGGCTTGCCCTGCCAGAAGCTTGTTAATGATCATGAGCATGCCCAATGCCATACAAGGTTTGCACCAGTCCCTTTTCAGCCACTCTACGCGGTGGACGTCCATGCGCGATGCCACCCGGCCCAGCCAGCGCATACGATTTCTCTTTTGGGCGAAGCAGCACACTCTGTTACCCCGGACCCCGGACCCCACACAGATTGCCAATCCCAAGCACTGCCAGCTTCAGTGGACGAACAAGGAGGCCCAAGAATCATCATCTCAGAGGGTGTCGCGTGGCATGGAGGATGGCATCTTATCACTGTATCACGTTGGCACCCTAGAGTCCACACTTTACATTCCCAGAACGGCAAAGTGGCTGCCCAGGTCAAGACACATGCCCCAGGGTCCATTATCTCTCGGCCAATGCCATCCACACCATGCTCAACCCTCGAGACTGTTTGACGCCAACTCGTCCATGGAGAGTTCGTGTATTTGAGTGAACTGGCCCCAGCACGGGACGAAGAGATATCAAGTGTCGGCTGTGGATCTGGAATTGACTCTAAGATCATCGACACCATATCTTTCGACATTGAACCGCTTCTATTGCAACACATTGTACATTTTGTTCTAGAAACTGTGGTCTGGACACACCTACTTCCGGATTGGTCCACCGCATTCAAGCCAACTATTCCATCAATATGTCTACTCACGACACCGGCGGAGATCGCGCACCAGGCGATGTTCTCCTTATTCACGGTACGCTTTGCTCTTTTCTGCCAATAGACATAATCGCGAATGTGGCTGACAAACACCCCAAAAGAGTACATGAACGAGACCGACACTTTCGTCCGATTCCCTATCCCTTCCAACGATCCTAACGACCCACTGGTGCGTTGAGCCACTTCTCTTCTCAATACTATGAAGAGCGGTTTTCATTGACGCAGCGAGTCATAGAACTGGAGTATCTGGCGCAAGGTGTTCAATTTTGTGCTTGTGATGGCGCAGACTGTGGCAGTCTTCACAGCGTGAGCCTCCGCAGTTTCCTCAACTCCTATCATCCGTCTCCATTCGCTTTGTCAATGTTCCCATTTCTTTTCAAGTCTTGTTTCTGACCTCATTCAGGCTGTCAGTTCAAACCCGTTTTTGGCAGCAGATGGGCCCCGAGATGGACTTGACCTTCGAGGAGCTCAACAACACGCAGTCAGCCCAATTGGCTGGTCTGGCAATGGGTTGTATATTCTTCATCCCGTTGACCAAAAAGTATGGCCGTCGCTCAACCTACGTCTTGTCGACTGCGGCTATGGCCGCAGTGAGCTGGTGGTCGACGTACATGAAGACCGACGCGGAGCTTTACCTCACAAACCTGTTTTATGGTCTGGCGGGAGCAACAAATGAGACAGTTGCTCAGATGACGGTGGGTTCTCTCACAGTGATGCCCCACACCATTTTGTAGAGAAAGCATCTAATCAAATCATGCACACCGTCCAGATTGCCGACATCTTCTTTGTACACCAACGAGGCACGGCCAATGCCTTCTACATTACCGGTGTAATGGTGGGCAGCTTCTTAACTCCCATGGCGGCAGGTATCCAGGCCAAGTATACCGGTTGGCGAAGGTCATACCTTGCCCTCTCGATATCTATGACGCTCGTCTTCCTTATCTTCCTGTTCGGGTACGAAGAGACGAAGCATGTCCCAGTGTTGGAAGGCCTCTCAGGCACCCAATCTTCAGGAGGAGACCAAAAGGAGTGCGAAGACGAGAAAGACAAGGCCGAAGAAGGCCTGAATATCTCCCTCCACCAGACAACCAGCGACGTTAGGGGCTCCATGTCGATACCACCTGCCACGTACCGGCAACGCATGCGATGGGTTACTTACTCGTCCGAGTCGCTCTGGAAGATCGCCTACTTCCCAGCCTACACCATCATGCTCCCTCACGTCGCCTTCAGCGCCCTCCAGTATGCCGCGGGCATAACCTGGCTCGTGATCATCTCATCCATCATCCCCATCAGGTTCACCCAGCCGCCGTACAACTTCAACACCGACGGCATCGGCCTGATGAACATGGGGCCCTTCGTGGGCAACCTTCTCGGCAGCTTCTACTCTGGGCTTCTGAGCGACCGCTCCGTGCGCTGGCTCGCTAAGCGCAACGGCGGCTACTACGAGCCCGAGATGAGGTTGTATCTCCTTTTGCCGCCTGCGCTTTTCATGGCGGGGGGTATCATCATGTTCGGCACGACCGCAGACCGCGTTAGTAGATCCCCTTGACACAATCCCCAAATCATGACCATCGACATTAACACAGATCTGTCAAAGGGAATGCACTGGATCTACCCCTCCATCGGCGGCGGCCTCTTCGCCTTTGGCCTCGGCGCCATAGGTGACGCCGCCCTGACCCTGGTCATCGACGCGTACCGGCCCCTGACGGCTGAGGCGTTCGTCGGCATCACGTTCGCGCGCAACGCCATCGGAATCCCGATCCCGTTCGTCATCACGCCCTGGCTGCAGAACAGCGGCATGTCCAACATGTTTATCACCGCCGGCCTGATCTCGTTCGCCATCAGCATGCTTTTTGTGCCGTTGATCATCTGGGGCAAGAAGATCAGGAAGGCGTTGGCGCCTCGTTACTACGAGCTGCTTGAGAAGCAGGGCGGTCTGGTGGAGTCGTAGTGAACAGGGCGGAGTTTGAGGTGCCCAAGTGCTGGGGATGGTACTTTGCACGGCAGTGAGATGATTGATGCGATATGCGTTGTTTTGTAGATTTGGATGCGAAGATGGTTGCGGGCAACATGTATTCGTGACTCGAAAGAGTCAGTTCTTCAGCATCATACGGTATTTGATCATGAAGAATTTTATTCTCAGTTTGCGCGTGCCTGTATGGACTAGATAGCTACGGCACAAGATCATGTATTTGTCCTAGAAAACCAGTGGATAATTTATACAAGAGGTTTTACAAAAGATCATTTTGATACACGAACAATAACTTCTTGAAGTGTTGGCTGAACTCAAGATCTAGATTCAAGTCCCAGGTCTTCTATCCAGTAAAGTCATGCCGCGTGTGGGCATAAGGAACTTTAGAATGCGATATTACAGGCATCATCTACGGGATTCCCAACTTCAAATGTTCACCTTCTCTGCTATAATCTGATCCATGTGATTGTATGGTTTTCTTTTAGGCCATTGTACAGTAGGCGTGACAACTACTAGCATGTACAATCTTTCAATGATGCCGACTCCGCCCACCAACAAGCCAAAGAGGGGGTTCCACGTTTCTTTTTTTAGACCGTGCTCTACTAAGCCGATACATCAAATGTCTATATGGATCATGTTCAAGAGACCAGCACATGGGTTATTCATTTCAATTGCGTCAGAGATATAGGTTGAGGCACAGACAAGTGCTGCTTGGAAGCCAGCCTTGCTCGATTCGACTCAGACAGCCTTGGAAGCCGGCACCACTGTTTTTCACGCCCCATACCTAGGTACTGGTGGCAGATCTGATTCAGCTGGTATCGCCAATGCTGAGTGCCTCAACGGGGTCTTTCGTCGCCATTTGCGATAAAACGATAGGCCAGGTGTGAGAGGTATCTGATCCGTGGCTGGCATCCCTCAGGGGGAATGTATTTGCCGGCAGTAGTCGATGTGAGAAATGATTGATAAGTGACATTGGGAAATTGCCGTCGCGCCCGCCGGATCCTCGGGATCGTATCGTAGCTGTTATCTAGTGTAATTCAAGACCCCAGATACGCTTCCACTCGTCTACCTTGGTTCTGTACCCGCGGCGCGAAAAGCTGCCGGAAATGGTTAATGCGTTTGAGCTGGGCGTCGGCCGCCATAATAGTTCAAGATGTGTCAGTAATAACCTTTAGACATTGGCATCGAGTAGTCAGCCGACTTCATCGCATCGCGAGCGGCAACACATCTCTAGACAGCTGACCAGTACGCAGATAATGAACCGTGAAAACTATGATCCAACCTCGCCCCGGTGCAGCCGTTACCCGTTTGGGCGATCGAACGCTGGAGTCTGTCGAACAAGATCCGTGTAATTCCATTGGTCAGTCATGAGTGCTTTCGGGTCGCGAAGACGGCAATTGTGAAAACCTGCTTAGATGATTCATTCACACGTGTGGAGCAGCCAGAATAAGAGGCGTGGAAGATCGTAGTGGCCAGTGCGGTGAATCTGAAGTATGATTCCCTTGATTCTAATATACTATCGATTGTAGAAATTACGGTTGTGAACCCGTTCTGCCGATGCTTACCCTACATATGTAGGGTATTTCTGTAGGACAACCTGTGAAGTCAGTGGAAAGCCTTGATTCCAAACACTTGAGAGGGTCTCACTCACGAGAGATAAGCATCCTATCGGTTGTCATGGGAAAAAGCCTCTTGTACCATGATACCGGCAGTTATCCCTCGTCAGAAATTGGGTAACCAGTGACTGGTGGATGTCATGCAACACTTGCAACTCGCTCAAGCTCAAATGTCTCCATTGTGAACCTATATTACCTACTTATTAGTAACTTGACAGCAGTAAGTTCATAATAGCAGGAAGTAAGAACAGGAAGTTTTATCATTCTATTACTAGTTTGGTTCTTTTCCAGTTATCTAATCCTATGCAAAGCCTCTAATAAGATAATATGAGGATCTTCAGTGTGATTCCACATATTAATATGCTTATGACTGTACCACGATAAAACACAGGAACTCCGCTGGTGTGAATAGATGCAAAATTTCATGTGTCCTTTTTGGGCACCACAGCACCCAAATGCCACCTCCTATCAATCACATAATCCAGCGCCTCGGCCCACTTGGGGAACAAGCCGTCTTGGAGAATGCCCAACATGCGCACGTAATTCCTTACTGCCTTGTCTTCTTCTTCGCTCTTAACAGCCCAGTTGTTATCGGGGCCATAGACCATCCAATTTCCCTGCTCGAATCTCCTCCAAGGATCGTTGCCATGCGCGAACTGAATGAAGTCTGCTCCCAGCTTCCGCGACAACTTCATCTCTTCATCCGTCATCCTCTCCTCAAGGGTTTGAAACACAAATACCAGCTCAACCGCATGGTGTGCCAATCCCTTGAATGACGTCTCCAGCTGTGAGACCTGGTCAAAGTGATATGCGTATGTTCTCTCGACCTTGGAGGCATGTGCGTGTAAGTAGGTCTGTATCCAAAACAGGCCCTCGGTGGCCATCTTCTCAAACCGCAGATCCAGTTCTTCGTGAGAAAGATCAGCTGATATGCCGTATCTTTGCAGGACATCCGCAGCGTCTTTCTCTCCCAGGAACGCACTAAAGTGACCTAGGATGGACTCGTAGGTTTGGTCGTGCAGAGTGCCGCGGAACATGGCCGCCTCATCTTTGACATCGCCAATCATGTACCCCTTCAACCACTCAGGTGGAGAAATGATGCCGCCCTGCCCCAGCGAAGGCCGATAAGAATGGTACCACCCATCATTACATGGATTCCCCGTGGCCCCCATAGTCCCCTCGATCTCGCACGTGGCCTTGGCAATCGCCTCCTTCGGGACACTTCGCAGCTTCGCCAGCGCCGCCTCATCCACGCCCTCGATGTTGAGATGCCTCAATAGAGCCCGGAACCGCCTCTCGTGCTCCTCGAGCGACCAGACGGGGATCGTGTTGATTGTACCAGACATACTGATGGCGCGCGCAAAGGGCGCGGGCTCGCGGGCCCAGATCTGGTGGGCGACGCTCATGCCGCCAGCGCTCTCGCCGAAGATGGTGACGTTCTCCGGGTCGCCGCCTACACTTGCTATGTAGCGGTTTACCCAGTGCAGAGCCGTCTGCTGATCCGTGAGGCCGAAGTTGCCGGCGCCTGCGAGGCCGTCTGCGTTTAGGTCGTCGGCTATGGCGGATGAGGCGAGGAAGCCGAAGAGCCCGACACGGTAGTTGATGGTGACTCCGATGATGGGGGCACCGATTGAGGTCGAGTGGTCGACCAACTTGACCATGTCGTAGCATGGGTTGGTGGAGGAGCCGAAGAGGAGTGAGCCGCCATGGATCCAGACCATGACGGGGAGGCTCTTGGTCTGGGCAGCAGGCGGCAAGACGATGTTGAGGTTGAGACACTTCAGCTCATCTTCAACATCGTCTTTGAAGTGAGGAATTCGTGGTACGGGGACCAATTCACTTCCCCATGTGAACTCTGGGGGCTGCGGGCATATTGGACTGATTCTGTCAGAAGAGTCTATCTAATGCAGCATTCTATTCGCATCTTACCCATGTTGTGTTCCGTCATGGAAGCCATCTGGCAGAGATGTGTTCAACGTAGACCGAGTCCATCGTTTTGTGAGATTGGCATATGGTATTCCTCGGAACTGACGTGCTCCGTTGGGATACACAAGACCTTTGATGTTTCCAAAACTTGGTATGTTAATGGTCTCTGTAGAAGTGGGCGTCGGGGCAGACATGTTGAGGTGGGTTTGGTGAGTTTGAGATATGTCTAGTGCAGGATATGGAAATATTTCAGGGCCACGTCTCATTTGACAATAAGCAGGAACTTATACATCGAGTCAAGAACATTCATTTTTGATTTGTTATATTGAAATCTGGTCACAAACCACCGCAGTCTTCAGTGGCCCCGGGTTTGACTTTTACCTCTTTTGGAAGTCATATGCGCCGACTCGTGGCCGCAGGGATCCATCCCAATTCACCAGCGGGATCCGAGAAGAATGCCTACGAGTAAGCAGGTTCGTTCTGCTGCTTGACCTGCTACACTTGGAACATGATTTTGAAACTCGGTAGCTCAAAGTCACGCGATATACTCAAGGTTTCGAATGTAGATGACGACGTATTTCGGGCCGCACAACCCCACAGCAAATTCGAAAAGGGTGCCAGGGCAAATATGAGAGGTGAAAACATGGTGCATAAAATCCAACGATGGCGTTGCGACAAGAGCATGCCCTTGAAAGTTATGTCTGCTTGGTTACCGGCGTCCACATCGCAAATGGGAGGACCAACTCTGGAACCGTTATCAAGCAGAGATCGTCTGTCGTTCGTTTGCGTCGTCCTATTACAACTAGAGAAGAGCCTAGCCGCAAGGGAAAATAATTGCCGGCATATGGTGGTATGTCAAGGGCAACGCCCTAAAAAGGTTTTGCCAATGCGCAAGACGGGGACCGGTTTCGCAACCAAGGTTCGGTGTGCTTAGCCAATTACCTGGTTTAAATGGTTTCACTTCTATTCCGCATACATTCGACGACAATTGTACCGGTTCTGAAAAGCCGGGGACTACAAATGCACAATTAGTTACTGCGGATTCAGACATATGCATAATGCTGTCCAAGTATGGATGTTTTGGAGAATTGGTCTTCCGGGTCGCTCTGGGAAAATGACACGCAGGAGGCTAGGGAGCACATATACTAGTGAGTATTTTCTCTGCACTTTTATTGACGTTGGATTTTTTTCAATGCTGGGTCTTGAGCGTTTGACACTGTATGAAGGGGCCATGTATTTCTTCGGACGTACGCGGAATAGAAGCGAAACCAGAGAGAATGTAGAGACCGTAGGCCTTTTGTCATTGCGAAACTAAAGTCATCAATAATCCACGGACACATGAAAGCGTTTCAAAACATCAGAAGACGAGAATTGACAGGAGGAAACATGAAGGCGTACCGGAACCAGAGGCGGGAGCACAAGCGGCCCTCTGCTGCTAGCCCCTCCCTTTCAGATTCAGATGTCTCGCTTTTCAACTTACCCAGTACTCCCCGCTATGATATGATATTCTTCTTGTTGGTATTGGATTGCTTACCACAGGATCTGACAGCAAAAGTTTCATTTCTTCCTATTTAACAAAATCCACCTAGTGCGGCCCAGCAGGATGGGTATAAATACGTCCAAGGAAATGTACCCTATGATGTAGTATTGGCCAATCAAGCGCGCTCGATATCCGGTGTGCCAAACTCCGCGATCACTGCAGCACTTCTAAAATCCTGAAATAGCTAAGTAGATGGCTCGGCCCAGCCGTTTCGGGCCAGTCACAGGGTGTAGGTATACGGACATGACAGTGTGTTGAGACACGCGTCTTATTTATGCCTGGAAAGCCTCCGTGACCGAGTGATCGCTGGCTCATGTATATTTCTCCATGAGCAGCGACGGAAGCTACTAGACTGTAAAACAGCTTCGGTAACTGGAGTGGTCAGTCAATAATATTCCAATTTCGTGGCTTGACGCATATTGCACAGGACCCCAAGCTTAGATAAGGACATCTCGGTGATGTGGCCGCCCCTTCAGCATTTTCACAAGAGTATCACGAATCAAAGATGATACAACCCTGGGCGATTCAAGGGGCCATGGAGCTACTGCGAGCTGCAGAGCATGCAAGACTGGTATCTATACTAGAAAGTCCATCATAGTGAGACTAAGGATTTGATGTGCGGGACTCCAAGACCAAGGGAAAAGACTTAAAACGCCGAGCAGTGTCAACGTGCTCAGTAAACAGCGAACATGGTTCTTCAACACACAGCGGCTTGCAGTAATTGAAAAGTCAACTCAAGTACCAGAGTTCTGTAGAGGTAAGGTTCCCTTGTGGTCATAGTTCATGTCATCACTGAGTAAGACACTCCCAGACGAGGCCATGGATCGCAATGTAGACTGGATTTGGCTACCTGGAATGGATAGATACCTAGGTACGATCTAGGCCCGCCACGAGCTTCTAAGGCGCATCCATGCCTAGGTTGCGATAGCCTCTCTGTGTGACGAGGGGCTGAGAGAACATAGGCGAAGGATCATGGAATCAGGAGGCAATGTGAACGCATATTATTGCACCACCGCCACCAGGTAAGAGGCGCATCAGCCTGCGAGCGTAGTACCACTGGGCGGTGATGCGATTGCACAGCCCTAAACCAAGGGACCTTGTTTTTTTGTTTCAAGGGGTCAACACCTGTGCAGCTCGGTCTAGCTTGGTAGTATTCTGAGCCAACCGCGACACCTGGGCACTCCCAGGGACGGGAAGGACAATAGCGTCTCGAACTACGAGCTGTCAGATTCTTTTCAACATCAGCCGGATTCTCTTGGCCGGTTCTTGTCTGTTGTGATAAAGCTCTCGAGGCCCGCGATTGGTCCCTCCAGATGTCGCGGTTCGTGCATTCAAGGCGAGTTGAAAAGCATACAGTTACGAAAGCTTTCACAAGAGGCCCTGAAAAACTGACAATGAATACCATGTTTAAATTTGGGGTATGGCGCACTAATGATGATCATGTCCAGCCTTCTGACCATACCCAGACATGTTGCTTGCACGGTGGCTTGCACTCCAAGCCATTATGTGGCCAAAGTCTTTACATACATGGTATGACCCATACCCATTAGTAGCGGGACTGTCGACCTTTGGAGACTGCCCTTCAAACGCCGTGTCCCCACAGCACACGAGTGATTGCTTTACATACGCTAGACAGTGTTCAATGTGCTCCAACCGATCCGGGGAAAGCTCGGTACCAGCTGGAGTCCCGGCATACATGCTCGTTATCAGCCCCTTAAACTCTCCAGCCAGAGTATACATGCAATGCAGTTGATGGAAAACAGCAACATTGTATGCTGATTTCCCACCCACGTGGATTGCAGGTGGCAGACGCAGACCTTCTTCATCGCTGCTCACTGTCACAAAGCCGCCACCTTCTGCAAGTCAGGTAAGATACATTAGCTTTTCCGATGAACTTGCCGGAGCTGGAATGCTGGACCTACGAGGCATCACTTCTTCCCATCTGGGGTCAGACACATCCAGGGGGTGGAACTCCCCATCCTCTTGGAACTGCACAACTCTCGTACCCACTGCCATTACTACAAGTCAGCCACATCTAGGTCTCCTTCAACATTTGTGCTAAACATGTTGAATTGCACGGACCCTTGGGAAACAGGCCATTGAGCTCTCCAAGTCGTTCCAGTCGCTGACTACTGGTGCTTATCTTCCACAACAAGATTCCCTGGAGGGCCGTAGCAACAGTGAGTACAGCCGCGATGGCCCGAAAGCCACGAGAGACACCCTTTTTTGAGGTGCTGTGCCACTGGGAAGCCCAGCTCTGCCGCCACCATGGTAGTGCACTATCCTTATGCCTTACGTAAATATCGGGCATTGCGTGGCTGGTCCTGGCTGTGTGGGTGCCTATAATGAAAGGTAAAATGGTTGTGACGAATCCATAGAGCTATTGGTCACCTGGTGCTGCCTACTAGTCCTCCCAGCAATATTTCCTCCGCATACCAGCGACGGTGGTACAGCATAGCGACCAGTTAGCCGACCCGGTTGTAAAGTGGGGGCCGTTCATTACCGATCCGAGCATTCGGTCCCGGAAATCGCCACGGTCAGCTCGGCGGCGTAAGGACAGGGACGCAGGAAAGGCCTGACCCCCGGGTATGTTATCGATGCGATTGGGTCCGGAAAATTGGTAGGGCACATGCTGGGGTCCCGGAATGCAGGAAGAACATGGCAAGAATCGATTCTTGGGAATTACGTCCCGCTCTTACTATAACTTGATGCTAGCGCGCCTTGATTGGGTGCAAGGCGCATATAACACTCCGTTTCCACTCGCAAGAATAAACTTTACACTATCTCCAGAAGACTCGCGCTCTGGCAAGCTTAAAGTTAATCTGATCTACCATCCGAAAGACTTTCCCAACACTTGCCCAACATGCTATCCTTCAAGTTGATGAGCGTGGCAATGCTCCTAGCCCTCGGAGTGGCTTTGCCAACTGCCGTTGACAGGTTTGCCGCATCATTTCTGAATACACAGGACATCGTCACTAATTTTTGAATTCAGCACTCATGTCTCGACCGGAGACGTTGTCAAGCGCTCCTACCTCGTTTCGTACCCCGAGGAAGAGGACGCCAATGTGGCCAAGACCAAGCGTTCTTATTTGGTCTCATACCCCGAGGAAGAAGATGGAAAGGTCTCCAAGCGCTCCTACTTGGTCTCGTACCCCGAGGAGGAGGATGGCAAGGTCACCAAGAGGTCTTACCTGGTGTCATACCCCGAGGAAGAAGATGGAAAGGTCTCTAAGCGCTCCTACTTGGTCTCATACCCCGAGGAAGAGGATGGCAAGGTCACCAAAAGGTCTTACCTAGTCTCATACCCCGAGGAGGAGGACGCCAATGTGGCCAAGCGTTCCTACCTAGTATCCTATCCTGAGGAAGAGGATGGAAAGGTCTCCAAGCGCTCTTACTTGGTCTCCTACCCCGAGGAAGAGGACAGCAAGGTCGCCAAGAGGTCTTACCTGGTGTCCTACCCCGAGGAGGAGGCTGGCGCCAACTAGACTTGGTTAAATTTCACTGCCAGGAGATGAACAGCCGTCGTGTTTGAGCCTGGGACATTTTTGCTAGCTCCAAGCTTTCCTCAGTCAAGTATGTTGTTGTCGTTGTCGTTGTTGTATTCAACGCCATGGAGGCAAGGGAATCCCTCGACGCACACCTCCCAGAGGGTATATAGCATGGAGGATCGCAAGGTCAGACAATTTACTCTTCAGTACAAAGCATTTGTACATGTCCTCCAAATCATGCCTATTGGCTATCATGCGCTCAATCTGTCCCTGGATTCTACTGCTTCTTCCAGTTCTTTTGGTTCCCAATTTGTTTTTGTAGTAGGTTAAGTTGTCTGTTTAGGATAGCCTAGGGCTTGCCTTTAGTAATGTGGGTAGACCTGTGGGTAGACCTCCGGAAGAAGCCTTTTATGTTGAATAAGACCTGGGTGTTTTTATGATATTAATGAGAATTAGACTATAGGACTTATTATAAATGGCATAGGATGGTTCAATGTTCAACAAGCCACGCATGTCATTCTAGACAAAGAGATTTGACCAGCCAGCTCACAAGCCCCTGAGTCGGCAAATCTAAAAGCCTCATTGTAAGATCGGACAGCCACAACAGGACTGGTGTTATCGTCACGAACCCGAAAAGATTTCCGACGAGCCCAGCTCCCGCTGGGCTCATGTCAGCCATGATCGAGGCGCTCGCCACATACTCCCGGCAGAGCAGATAGAAATGCCACCCCATTATCTCAAGGAAAGGATAATGCACCAGGTAGAGCGAGAATGACAGGGACCCTAGGTATTGCAACGGGGCAGAGCACAACTGCCGCTTCGCCACCTGTAGCCTGCTGGTGGACCAAAGCACGGAGACGGCCCCCAGGGACTGCCAGAAGTCTGGGCTCGAACACACTCTGCTCAGGAGGACAAACCCAAGAGCCTGATCGGCCTTGTCGTCGGGGTAAGACAGGGTCCACAGGCCCACGAAGAGCAAAGATGACGGAGCGGCCCTGCTGGCGACCCGGAGGAGAACCTCTCGGCGCCTCAACCCTTTTTGTGTGGCCTGGCCGGAAGCGTGGCTGCGGACCGTGACGAGCAGTGCATCGGTATCACGCCGTTGTCTCGCGGTATCAATGATACAGAGGTGCATACCAGCAAAAAACAGCGCGACGTCCCAGCGCCCCCAACAGCCGGCGTAGACCGTCAGGAGCCCGACCACGAGATGGCGCGCCGCCGGGCGCCGGAGGGCCGAGATCCCCGCCAGCACAGAAAATAGAATCATGGAGCAGCGAAACTCGGTCTGTATGGTCCACAGGTGGGGCCCGTAGTAGGAGTCGCGCTCGCCCGCGTAGAGGTTCTCGACCCAGTCCCAGGGGTTCACGAGCTTGTGCGTGACAAAACCCACCCAGTCCAGGGCCTGGGCCCAGGCCGAGCTCTTGCGGGCCACCGTCTGCATGAGCAGGTGGGCGGGGAGGGCCCCCAGTGACCGGGCGGTCGGGAAGAGGCCCGCGAGGACGGAGAGCAACACCACAAACGTCGTGGCGAGGGGTGGCAGGAAGAGCCGGAGCGGCCGCTTCAGGGCGGCCACTGCTAGCCTTCGCTGGAGCCTGCCAGCGGAGGCGGGCTGGTCGAGGTGGCTGGCGGGCGACAGGGACAGGGCGTAGCCGGACAGGACGAAGAAGATGCGGACCATGGCCTTGCCGGAGCGGAAGAGGCGGAGGATGGGGAGGTTGTAGAACTCATCGCTCACCCCGGGCACAAAGCCGAGGAGTGTCGTGCGGTCGATGGTCATTGAGAGGTGCAAGATGTAAACGATGATGGCTGCGACCCCACGTAGTCCGTCGAGATGGGCTGTCTCATGGCGACCAGAAGAGGGAAGGCGACCCCTGGCAGAAACAGAAACAGGATGCCAGTGCGTGTTGCAAAAGGAGGGGAGAATAAAGATGAGGGAATTCCATATGAGACTCTCGACCCTCTTGTAATGCGAGCATCGGCGCCGTGTGGTGTGCATGATGGGAAGGGTGACGGCAGAGATGGTATCATCGACAGTGGTGGTGGTGGTAATGTCGCAACAGCACGACGTTTGGGCTGTGCCGGGGCCGCAGGGGCCCTACGGAGGGCTTTCGAAGGAATGTTTCGTTATATTGTTGCACTGATTTCGTTGTCTAAGTGCAGGTACTAGTAATAAGTGTGGACGTAGGGTCGACATGGAGCGCTTCAATGTTACCCAAGGCCGTTTCTCGATTCCTGTCCCGATAATTATTGCATGAGCTTGAAACTGCACTGTCCAACAGTCTTACTCGAGGTGCCATCACATCTGTGAAGAAATCCTTTGCTGCAAGGCGTGTGCCCTTGGTGGGCTGCAGTGATGATCCTGGGTTGCGGGTATTGGCCTGGTTCCGAGCGTCGTGCCGGAAACTTTCCAGGTTGTCGGGAGTCTTACCGAAGTCCAAGCATCCGGGTCTGCGAGTCCTCTTCTCCCCTCCTACAGGCTAACCAATAGTTCAGAGCAATTCCATCGGACGGCATTAAATCCACGTCTTCCACATTGGTACTCCCTGGCAGACGCAAGCGCTGCTGTCGACGCAGACACTGCCCGGAGCCAATATGAGCCGCCTTGTTTCCAGTCTGAGGGACCTATTCCAGGTTCGCGTTTCCTAGCCGTGATTACGGCGTCCCTGTGCTGTTCGCCTTTGTAAAATCTGCTAACAAGCATATATTGTCCAGGGCCGGCCCCGCAAGGAGCTGTACATGAATGTCTCTACCGTCGACTCGGACTCGGGCGACGAGCTCAAACAACAATACGAACCGACCAGCAACAAGCCGGGCCAACACTCGAGAACCGCTCCTCCTTATGTCAAAGCCATCGTGTTCTTTCTGGGAGGGTTCACCTCCGCCCTAGCTTTGGCCGTGGCAGTGGCCCGGTCCCTGCCCATTCCATCTGCGCCGTCGGCAGACACGTCGAGCTTCGCCGGCGTCGTGCAGCCTGCTATCCCCGGGCTGTACTTTTCCGACACGGTGGACCCCCATCCCCTCCTGAACAGGAGCTGCGGGCAGTCCGTGGCAGAAGCAAGACAGGCAGGGTGCGTCTTCGACCTACTGTCAACAGCATGGACGCCGGCCGAGTGCGTGGACTTGAGTGTAACAGAGGAGTTCATCACAGCCATCACGAAGGACGGCGCCTGGCCATATTACCACGACAAGGAGGGCAGGCTCCCCTTTGAGGACATGGAGGTGCTCAGGGCGGGAGACTGGGTGGGACAGGAGCTGTGGTCAACCATGAGGTTACATCAGCACCACTGCCTCTTCACCTGGCGGCGGATGCACATTGCCTACAACGGTGGGCCGCCTGTCGACACGGTCAGCCGGGGCCTTCGCCACACGAAACATTGTGCGAAGATGCTGTTACACAGGGACCCGCCGGAGTCGGTGTCTGGGCTGCAGCACGTTTATTTCCGAAGTTGTTAATGAGTGTCTTGGACTCCGAGACAGGAAGGTGAATGTATGTAGGATCGGATCCGTCCTGCCGAACCTGGCCTAGTCTACCGAAGGACGTACGTGCTTCTGTGCTTACCGCGCATGAAGTGGAGAGTAATACTGTAGTAGATTGGCTCTTTTGCCTGCGGGTTTGTCTGCTGTTGGTGTTGGTGCCGGACAAGATGAGCGGCTAATCCCATTGGCAAACTAGCCGAGGGCAGCAAAACAAACCGCTGCGGTCCCAATCGATTCGATAGACTACGCCTTTTATGTGCCGGACGCTTGCTTGTCCTGCCTGCGTTTCTCTGCTTTGCAACGCGTGCTGCCGCGGCGTCTTCCATAATGGCCAACCGGTGCTGGAACGATGAGGACTTCGGTCCGGCCGTGGCAGGCTGTCCTAGTCGCGGCGATTTCGACTTTACGCAGCTCTTCGAGGCCGCCGTGCTCTCCATCCTCCCCAGTTGCCTGTTCCTCCTCGCCGGGACTTGCTGTCTCGCCGCTCGCCGCCACCGCCCCTGGTCTGCCGTCCGTGGCAGCGGTTCGGGCCATGCCAAGCAGGTAATTAGTCTAATTGCCACGTGCCCTTCAAGTTGTTCGTGATATCTACTTGGGACCAAGCCCGCTGAGACAGACCTAGAACCAAATCGTCGTCGCCTTGCTGGTGGCCGCAAGATGTGCTTGTCTCGTCAGCATCGCGACGGCCCCGAGCCTGAGGCCCAGGGCCGTCACCATCGTCTCGGGTGTCCTGGAACTCGTCGCGGCCGCGCTCATGAGCCCGCTGGCATTGGTGGACCGCCGCCGGGCCAGATACCCCTCGGATCTACTGTCTGCGTTCCTGGCCGTCACAATCCTGCTCGACGCCGCCCGCTGCCGCACCCTATGGCTCCTCGCACGGTCGGATAGCCGCGTCGTCGCCGCCGGTGTGTCCTTCACCGTGTCCCTCCCCATCAAGATGCTCCTGTTGTTCCTCGTCTCGCGGAGCCAGGATGGCGACGGCGACGGCGACCAGGGCTCTTCCAGCCCGGACACGACGGCCGGCATCACCAGTATCAGCCTGTTTTGGTGGCTTAACCCGCTCGTCCGGCTTGGGTATCGGCAGTCCCTGCGCCTGGATGACTTGTACACGTTGAAACCCACGTTGGCATCCCCAGCACAAGCTGCTGACGGCACGGCACGAGAGGGCCACGAGGCGCGGGCCAAGCATCCCAATATCACGGTGCTCAGCCTCGTTATTCGAGCCACCAGCTGGACCGCTCTCTACCCCGTATTTCCCCGTCTGGTTCTCATCGCCTCCGTCGTTGCGCAGGCCAGCCTCACCCGCCGGGTCCTCGACCTGCTCTCCGAGCCCGACGAGTCCGACCCCAACAGGAAGTACGGCCTGATCGGGGCCACGTTCCTGGTGTACCTCGCCATCGCCCTGTCAACCGCGTGGTATGGCTACCTCCACGAGCGTGCCCTGACCCGGCTCCGCGGGTACCTGGTCCGGAGCGTCTACTGGCACTCGGCGCACATGTCCTCGGCCTCGGCCAGCACAGCCAAGCCGTCCACGCTGGTCACGGTGGACGTCGAGAGCATATACAACTCGCTGCGCCATGTGCACGAGCTCTGGGCGATCCCGATACAGATCGCGATCGCGGCGTGGCTGGCCTACCGCGAGCTGGGGCCGGCCAGCCTGACCGCCGTCGCCCTCATAGCGGCCACCTGTGCCGTCGTCGCCGCCGTCTCCCCGCTGACCATGGCGCGGCAGCGCGTCTGGATGGCCTCCCTCCAGTCGCGCATCGGCAAGACCACCGCCGTGCTGGAGTCCATAAAGACCCTCAAGATGGCCGGCTTCTCCCGGCGCGCCAGGGCGATGCTGGAGGGGGCCCGCGCCGACGAGCTGCGCCGCGGGGCCATGTTCAGGCTCGTGGTGACCGCCTCCGCGACCCTGTCCCAGCTCCCGGCCATCGTCGCGCCCGTGATCGTCTTCGCGACCAGCCGGCGCCACGTCGACGCGACTTCTGCATTCGCAACGCTGAGCTACCTGAACGTCATGACCCAGCCGCTGATGACCGCCATCCAGGTCGTCCCCATGGTCCTGGCGAGCCGCGTCTGCCTGCAGCGCATACAGGAGTTCCTGTCGACGCCGGGCCACGTCGACTCCCGCACGCTGGGGCCGATTCCGCGCCAGGCCGGCGACGAGAAGAAGACGGACGGGGACAGCAAGGGCCAGCTGGCGGTCCGCATCTCTGGCGCCTCGTTTGGCTGGGCTTCTGACAAGGACTCGGAGCCGGTGTTGCACAATGTCGACGTGGGGGTGCCCAGGTCTACCTTCGCCGCCGTCGTGGGGCCCGTCGGGTGCGGCAAGTCGACACTTATACAGGCGGTCCTGGGCGAGGTTCCCGCAAGACCAGGCGGTTCGGTCGCCGTCCACGCGACCCGCGTCGCCTACTGCGCCCAAGCCCCCGTCCTCACCGACGGTACGGTGCGGGACAACATCATCGGCCCCATGCCGATGGACAAGGCCCGGTACAGGGAGGTGCTGGAGGCCACCGCCCTCGCCTCGGACATGACACAGCTCGCCCAGGGCGACGCCACAAGGCTCGAGAGCCGGGGCGAGACGCTGAGCGGCGGCCAAAGGCAGCGCGTCGCCCTCGCCCGCGCGCTCTACCACGAGCCCGACCTCCTGCTGGCCGATGACGTCCTCAGCAGTCTCGACCAGGCCACGAGGCTGTGGGTCTCCCGCCGGGTCTTTGGCCCGGGCGGTATGCTTCGCAGGCGCGGCGCCACCGTCGTGTTCACCACAAACTCTGACGCTTCCGCCGAGATGGCGGACCGGCGGATAGAGATCTCGCAGGGTGGTCAAGTCACCGTGGCCTCGGTCTCCGGCAACGAGAAGACAGGTGACGGTGACGGCTTCGAAGAGACGGTCGATGCCTCAAGCTTGATCGATGTCCCTGCCGAGAGCGACGGATCGGAACACAGCACTACTAGTACTAGTACAGGCGCCGCGAGCCCCGACAACGAGAGCCGGCCGCAAGCAGCTACTAGTAGTAACAAGGGATCGGACATCAGGACGTGGCTTCGCTACTTCTCAAGCGTCGGGCCGTTCGCCCTCGCCCTGTACGCGGTCCTCGTGGTCGGCTTTGGAATCTCGATGACATATCCCACCCTCTGGGTCCAGAACTGGGCGTCCGACACGTCGTCCCGGCACTCATTTGGGTACTACATGGGCGTCTACGGCGGCATAGCCGCTTCCTGTATCACGTCGAACCTCCTGATGGGCCTGGTAGCCCTCGTGCTCTTCGTCCACAATGCCGGGACCACACTGCACCACGGTATCCTCCAGGCCGTCATGGGCGCCACCATGCGGTACCTGATGCAGACCAGTGTCGGCACCACCCTTACCCACTTCTCCCAGGACCTTGGCATCATCGACGGCATGCTGGCCGGCACGCTGATCAACCTCACAGCCACTGGCGTCATCGCCGTCGGCCAGGCCGTGCTGCTCGCCATCTCATCACCCTGGCTGGCCATCGGCTACCCTTTCACCCTCGCCGTCCTGTACGCGACGGTACGAATCTACGTGCCGACCGCCACGCGCCTCCGCGTCCTCGACCTCGAGGCGAAAGGGGCGCTCGTCGCGCACCTCCTGGGCACCGTGTCGACGCTCGCCACGATGCGGGCCTTTGGCAGGTTCTCCGCCGAGGCGGACCGCAACCAGGCCCTGCTCGCCCGGTCGCAGCGCCCGAGCTACTTCCTGGGGATGGCGCAGCAGTGGCTCCTCCTCGTCAACAACCTCATGGTGGCGGGCCTGGCCACCGCCCTGGTCACCCTTTCCACCCTGCTCCGTACGACCAGTGCCGGGGCCGTGGGCGTGGGTCTCGTCAGCTTGATTAGTCTGGGCAGGATCCTGGCGGATATGGTGCGCGCGTACACCATGGTCGAGATCGCGCTCGGCGCGGTGGCACGCCTCGCCTCTTTTGTCCAGGAGACGCCGCAGGAGAGGGAGTTCCCGGGACCAGCGGGCCTGAGCGAGGCGTGGCCCGAGAGGGGGCTCCTGCGCATCGACAACGCGACGGCCAGCTACGGCGACGGCCCGGACCCGGGGCCCCTGGCCCTTCGCAACATCACCTTGTCAGTGTCGCCCGGCGAGAAGGTGGCCATCCTCGGAAGGACCGGTAGGCAAGTACCAACCACCCTGACCGCACTGTGCTCCAATCATCGAGCCTGGACTGGTAGAGCTAACCCTCGTCCGTTGTAGTGGGAAGTCTTCCCTCATCTTGATGCTCCTAGGCATGCTAGACCCTCTGCCGGGATGCGCCCAGAGCATCTCCATCGACGGCACCCCCACCGACCAGCTGCGAGGCGAGACGCTCAGGGAGCACATCATCGCCATGCCCCAGCACGCCGTCTTCCTCCCAGAGGGCGCCTCGGTCCGCGAGAACCTGGACCCGCTCGGCCAGGCGGACAGCCACGCCTGCCAGCACGCCCTGGAGCTCGTCGGCCTGCCGGCCCTCGCGGCCGACCAGGACGGCGCCCTGGGCTGGAAGGCCCTAAGCGACGGGCAGCGGCAGCTCTTCTCCCTGGCCCGGTGTGTCGTACGGCGCCGGGCGAGGCGGGCCCGCCACGGGGGCGGCGCCGAGGGAGGCCTGCTCCTCCTCGACGAGATCTCTGCACAGGTGGATGAGGAGACAGCAGCGAAGATGGACGGCATTATCCACCGCGAGTTTGAACACTACACGGTCCTGGCGGTGACACACAGGATGCCGAGCACTCAGGCCTTCCGGCGGGCGGTGGTGATGGAGGACGGGCGGCTAGTTGAGGATGGGGATGTGGATGCTCTACTTGGTGACGAACAGTCGCGTCTTTACGCACTAAACAGGGGCGGATAGAGGTATCCAGTAAATTCCAACATGATAGCATCTGCGTTGCTGAATAGCAAGTATGGTACTCGGAACAATCACACGAGTTTGGGGTCCAGGAGCTACACTTAACAGGCGAATAATTCGACCGGGGTGGTCGCGGACAGGGGCGAATTTATATATACTACTAGAGTCTTCTTAGCATCTATTCATCTTGCTATTCTAATTAATCCTCGCTTTAGGACCTCTTGGCCGCAGAATAGCTCATGATGCGCATCAAATCTAAGCCGGTGTGGGGTCATTGGATCATTGTCCATTGCCATACAGGCTCTGCCCAACTCTCGTCCTGTCCCATGCCAGCAACTTTTCAAAGTCTCGACAGGTATGTGTCGAGGTCCACACAGGTGTCCCTGATCCACTCTCCTCGTCCCACTCATAGATTAACGGGGTAAGATCAGAGTGGCACTGTATCGCCTGGCGTATGTGTTCTATGCAATGATCTGCCCCAGTCAGCCATGTTGACCGAAGGAAGCGATGTAGCTGGGGAGCGAGCTGCCTGATTATGCAAACTTACTCATATGTGTGTAGTAGAAGTCACCTCGCCGGGGATAATAGTGGTCCGCATACACTGCCTTTCGCAGCTTGTTCACGCAGTGCAGAGAATGTATGACGTCGAGGCTGCCCAAATCAGTCCTGTGAACATCTTTTCAAAAAAGCTCGCGGCTTCTTCCCAGACCGAGCCCAGACTGGGGATGGGCACAGCTGCGCAGGGGCATGGTTGTCGTACCTGACCCGATACATTCCCGGCTGGCCCGGCTCACGCATTGTGTCGATCGGCGTGCCGTCCTTGAGCTTGTTCTCGCTCCCGGAGAGCACGAGCGGGATGGCTTGTCCTGGTCAGCTCGGCCCGGGAGGCCGGAGGAGTAGGGGGTTGGATCGAACACGCACCAGATTCCAACTGATACCAGTTCCTATCTATCTCGGGCGACGGATCCCCTACGTATGTGGCCGACGAGCCCGTGAGGTTCAGAAACCGGCTCCCGTCCGATGCCTGGTCGACACCGCCCGTGTATCGCAGGCTCCTGATACCTATGTGAGGAATCGCGGCCGCTTTGTCGGGCCTTGGGTCAGCCATTATAGCACGCGCGGCGGGCTTTTCATAGTAACTTACCAATATCGGTCGCAAAGCCCGTCTCGTACCTGTCGCTCGAGGCACGCCGCGTCGACACCCACGGACTCTGGGTCCAGAAGACCAGGGACAGATTTCCCACGGCGAGCACGGTGACGATGAACAGCCAGGCGAGACGCTCGATCCGCCGCGAGACTATGCAGGCCGCATGGGAGTCGTCACGCAACAAACCATCGCCTTCGGAAGAGGCACTGTTGAGCTTGTCGTACGCGGCACGCGCTCTTGAGCCCAGCTTGGCTGACTGATGCATCGTATGCAAGGCAGGAAGCCAACTCGATCAGGAGCGGAACATTGACTGCGACCTGGACTTTGGAGAGGAACCTATAGTTCGCTAAGCAAAGTACCTACCCCCGGGTGGCGAGTTAACGGGCAAGAAATGGCAAGAAAGGTACATCCTAGCAACTGCATACTGGGGAGCCTGGGCCAGGATTCGAATTCCGTAGTTGGACCAGGTCAGATCTCACTCCGGCTGCCAACAAGCATGTGTAAGCACCAAAACAGGGCTCTCTTCGGCAAGCCCCCCTCGGAAAGCTCGCCCCGGAAAGCATTTCAGCATGCATTATCCGGCTATCTATGAACCTGCCATTGCATTGCCCGAAGCCCAGTGGCTAATCGAGCGGCGTATTCGAGCAATGTCGATGTGGCCCCGGAGTCGGTCTGCACCATGTGGCACTGGTCCGGTTCTGCGGTGGTTCGTCTTACAGTCATCCTCCCCACACCTACACAATTGTGTTGTTTTAGTGCGCTGCCCAAGGTGGGACCCCGAGTAGAACACAAGACCCAATGCAGCTATTCCCAACATCCAACAGTCCAGATATCGTTCTCACCTCTCGAACCCCCCGGGTTGCATCGCAGACCGCCTTGTCTATGTAGTCACCATGGGTTGCCTGAGATACCTCTGGGCAGGTGCCACACTACTGGTGCTCACTGCATTCCTCTTTTATGATCTTGTTGGCCAATTCCAGCTCGGCCGCCGCCCAGGCCGGCAGTGCCCGACAGACACTCCCACCAATGCCGGGGCGTGGCCCGGCGTGCCGTTCGGGTTGAAACATGAACTGACTCCCACCGGAGCCGCCGTAACACCTACACATGGACATCATGAACATACCGCCGTCGAGGTCGCCCCCGCGCCCACACCAAAGCAAATCAAGATCCACCCGAGTCGCAACTGGGCCGGCGCCATGAACTCCGACCCTCCATCTGGGCGCTTCGCGGCCGCCAAGATGAGGTTCACCCTGCCCGGGCTTCTCCGGGCCGACGTCGTCCAGCCGGCCGCGGACTACTACGCGGCCAACGCCTGGGTGGGAATCGACGGGTGGTCTCACCAGACGGCGATCCTGCAGGCAGGCGTCGTCATGCAGGTGAACAAGACCGTCTCGGACGAGCTCGTCTTCAAGCCGTGGTTCGAGTGGTGGCCAGAGCCGGCCGTCTTCTTCGACATACCGATGGGGCCCGGCGACGATATCAAAATAGAGGTCGTCATGTTCAACGCGACCTCGGGCAAGGTCCTCCTGGAGAACAATTCCCGGGGCGAGTGGGTGATACGCAAGCTGATGTCGCCCCACCCGGACGTCCCGCTCGCGGGGAAGACGGTCGAGTGGATCTTGGAGGACTTCAAGCTCGCCCGAGGGCCGAATGTGCCCCTTGGCGACTTCGGGACCCTGGAGTTAAGGGACTGCGTGGCATACACGAGCGCGGACGAGAAGGTCGGCCCTGACCCAAGCCAGCCTTTCTGGATCCGGCAGGACAATGTTACACGGGCGAGGTCTGCGGTAAATGGGAGCTCTGTCACCATAGAGTACAATCGCAGTCTCTGATCTATCTATTCACACATGCTATGACCATGCTTGTTTAACACGTGAACAAGCAATTTTACTGGAAGATTGTGGGAATACCTGTCTAGAGAGAGGCTATATAACACCATAGCCCTTTCGCAGTCCCTCGTGCCCCATTTTCTACGACGCGGAACTGCTCAGAGGCTGTCTGTCACAATAAGAAACAAAAAGATAATAGCTTGGAGGAATTTAATTTTTCAGATGCTAATATATTTTTTAATTCTAGAAGTATATTTAAAAAGTGTTTTTTTCTGGTTGTTTCCAGTAGCTCGAGCGAGCGTGTTGAATTTGACCCGGGGGTGGGACGCTCAGCTTCGCTTGTCACAGACAGGGGCAATAGTATGGTCGGTTAAATCAGATCCGGCAATTCGCACAGGGCCCGGAACTGCACCAGCAGATCAGTTATAGGCTGATCGCTGAAGAGGGGGCTTCTTTGCTGCGTCGTGCGAAATCGTGGTAGTCCAGCAATTAATCCTCATTCCTCACCGCGCCAAGGGCCATCTGGTTTCTTGGTCGCTGGCACGCCTCAACCCCTCTGTTCCTAGCTGCATTTAATTATGGTTCCTCTAGCAATCTAGCTGAGCCTAGGAGTTTTATTACTCGGCCACACCACTCGTGCTTTCTCTATATATAACACATTCGCCAATCAGCCGCCCGCACGCAGGTGTCTTCGCCATCACTGTCGCATCATGAACCCGCGATCCAGCCGCTCGTCCGTGAGCCTTCTCCGAACCAAGGAAGAATTAAGTCCTATCCGGGAGGATTGGAGTGACTCGGACAGCCTCGACCTACCACTATACTCAGAACCTCGCGCATCTGGGATTCGAGCCTTCTTCACACGCTGGTACAGTACTCTACTGTTCGGGCTCCTTACGGTAGCATTTGTCGCTACCTGGGCGGCGACGATTGTCCTCGCGTGGCGGCTTGCGTCAGAACAAGCTTGTACCGCCTCGTACACAACTGCTGCTGTGGGTGGTTCTACCCCAGATGCCACTCAAGGTGGCAGCCGGGTGACTTTACCCCATGGCACACATCCACAAAGCCACAGCCACCATGAGGGCCATGAGGGTCATGAGAGCCATGAGAACCATGAGGGCCACGAGAACCATGAAGCGCATGTCGGGGCCGGTTCTCTTCACGTACCGGGTTATCGACTCGCCTATAACTCTTCATATTGCAACGGTGTCAGAGATCCGGAAGGCGCGCGCGCCCGGGGCTGCATATTCGACCCGATCCAGACGGGCTGGATGCCAGGCGCCTGCGTAGACACAGAGCTTACCGAAGAGTTCATCACGAGCGAGCAGTGGCAGTGGTTCGAGGACGAGGAGCGGACGAAGCCCACGACGCAGGAGGTAGTCCTCCGGGGCTACGGGCTGCGCGACAGCTACACCATCGACGACTACCACTTCCGCCACTGCCAGTTCGTTATGAAGCAGCTCATCCGGAACTTCCTCACCTCGCGGGCCGTCATCGGCTTCAAGGGCCTTCATGAGGAGCACCTCGAGCATTGCCTCGACCGGTTGATCAATTGGAACACGCCGGAGATCCGGAATGCGTGGACCGAGCATGTGAGATGGACTGGCTCGGGGGAATGCTACGAGAAAATCACGTCATGAGTCTGCTCGCGACGTATGAGTAATGTAGCTAATAATTGCTCTTATTATGATCACAAATAGAAACTAGCGTCCGAATCAATGTTAACTCTTTGGACCATGTTTCAAACTACTGATAGTCGGCATCTCTTCCAGTGCATTCCAAGGTTGTCGAACATTAGCACAAGTTATATAGAAACATTGCATGACTCGGTTTTAAGAAGATGCTTGAGTCTCAACGTCGGAAGAATTCATATATTATCGCACAAGATATCACTCAGTCGGTCTATTACCTGAAGCCCAGTCGCCTTAGAGGAGGATCAGGCCATGTAAACTATCCAGCGGGCGCATGTGGACGTTCGCGTACCAACGGGTCCTATGCGCAAAATCACCTATCAATTTCCGGTTCAAATCTTTCATGTAATGTTACAGGGAAGAAAGGCTTGTAAAGAGGGGTTTCAAATTCTGCCAGAACCTACCCGGTGCGGAACGCCCGATTTATCAGCCCACTCAGCGAGGGCTGAGCTGTCTCGGCACTGATGCCACAATGCGTTCCCGTCGACAATGTGGTCCCTCTCGTTCAACTCGGCCACCGGGTTCATCGTGACATCGGCATGGCAAAGGATCCCCTTGGGCTTTCTTTCAGTACAGTGTCTCGCCAGTGAAAGCGCACCGCCACGGAGCCCACCACACCTACCTGGAGCATGTAGTCGAAGCAATAGCCCAGTTCCTGGTAGGGCGAGCCAGGGCTTCGGTCCGCCATGAATCGTGCCGCTTCCTCGGGCGACCGCGCCATGAGCTGCAGCTGCGTGCGGATGTCTCTGAGACAGCCCAGCTGGTGGAACATGGACACCTGGCCCCAGAAATGGAAGCCGCTGGTGAAGTTGGTGGCAATCACGGCGCCCCCCGTCCTGGGGATGACGGAGTCCCAACGGACATCGGCTGCATCGTCAAATAACGAATACGCCTTGTCGCCGAGGATGAACCTCGGTCTGGGAGGCTCAGGTGTATAAAATGCATCCAGCGAGACGGGAGGTGATGGCCCAAGTGCTGCAAGGAACACGAGCACTGCTACCGTGGAGGAAACAAGGGCGACGAATAAAGTCCTAATAGTACACGTTATCATGCTGAGAGGCTTTGGGTATGGAAAAGTATGGGTTTCATCGATGCAAACAACCTGCGGGTTCTGGTGGTTGTTATCCGATCTGGCAAGCCCCGGTCCCAGTCCCGAGCCCGGGCCCGGCAGAATCCGGACCAACCCCCCCCCCCCGAGTGAGAGAACTAGTGGTGCTCGGAAAGCTACTCCAGTCGAGTCCTTTTACTTACTTGGTAGCCAGAACCGGTTTTCTACAACACACAGATTCTATTAGACCTTCTGGGCAGACCGTCTCACAAGAGCCCTGCAAGCCCTACTCTCGATGCAATACGCCTCCATCCCAGAGCAGGCCGGGGGGCCTCCGTCACGGCCTGCGAGGGAAAGGCTGCCCTGGACCTTCCTCTCGCTGTCCGTTTTATTCCTGTTCTCAATTGGGGCCTTTCACTGGCGCTGGAGCCGGCCGATTTCGTCATCACCCATCGTGCTCCCAGAGATCTCACATGCCTTCACCAAGCACCACAAGCTCCTGCCCTTTGACGAGGCCACGCAGGAGAGGTGGAGCGCTATAGTCGGCCCGGACTGGTGGGATATGACCTGGGCCGACGGCTCCGGCCGGCCTGTTGTCCGCGGGATCGACATGTTCCACAAGCTACACTGTCTGCTCGCTGTGCGAGAGGAGTTCACGTTGCTGGCGCTCGACCCGGATCGCCACCGTGCCTTTCAGGCGCACGACGCCGCATCGGAGGCCGCCAGGCTGCACCTGGGGCATTGTTTTGATTTTCTGCGCCAGGTGAGTGGCCCCGAGAGAGCGTTCAACTATCCTCTAGCAGACTATGCGATAGCGCATGATGAATTGATTTTGCGCTGATGACGATAATGCAGGGCATGCTGTGTGCTGCTGACGCCACCCTCGAGCCCCTCGGTACCGGCTACAGGGCAGAGAGCGGAGAGGGGATTGTACATCAATGTCGGGACTGGAGAGTACTCATGTTGCATGCAGGCCTCTCGGAAGACTTTGGGTCCTGAAAATCCGTGTCTAATCCTTATTTGTATATTTCGTGGCATTGCAATGTGCAGGGCGCATCGGAATCTTGGAGTTCGACGTGCTTAGACATCGTTACCTCTAGAAGCGGCATTGCTGTTTACGGTACTAGTATATAGTGTTAGCTAGGGTAATGCTCTTGGTATTGCAATGTTCCTCTTTTGTAGGTGTTACATAGCGCAACAGGATTTCTTGCTCTGTGACAATTGTCATCGCCCATCTTGTCTCAAGATCGAGGCTCGATTCGTGAAATCCGCGATACAATAAATTTTGCTGTAATATTGTTAGGGCTAAGTTTCCGAAAAGAGTAGGCCCAGACGAATCCTCTCTTGTCGCCCGGCGTGCATGGGTGGAACCGCCGGAAATGCAGTGGCCCCTGTCTTACTTGCCACACTCCCACTTCCGAGGAGAGCAGTGTATGTTACATATAGTTTAGCCGGACAGCATTTTCAAGGGTCTCGTTGTCACATCCTAGAGATATTGTCAACCTGCCGTACCGCATCTCATCAGCCCGTCATCTGCGTATCTCTGAGCCAAGTGTCAGTCCTTGGTCTGGCCCTAACTTCGCAATAGTGACCATGGCACGACCGTCCATAAGTCTCGAAACCGCCCCATTTCTCGACGACAGCGATGGCAGTGTCGAAAAACAAGAGTCCGCTATGGACCTCCGCCAAGGTGCCAGGACAAGAGGATGGTCCTGGTACACCACTACTGGCTACGTTCTTTGGACCATTTTCAACACTGTTTGGTTTGGTGCAAATTTACTCCACACCAGCAGCTTCGGAAAATCTTCGATGAGGGGTCCAACCCTCGTTGGTAAGCCCAGCCCTTCACAAGACTGCACTTGGGGACATCCTCAGGTTAACTTCCTGTCCACGCCACCCCACCATGTATGATTCTCTGGCCAGGACTAACGATGCATGCGGAACAGAACCGAAGGAGGCTCCCATCGAGACGGTAAAGGTGCGGTGGGATCTCCCTGCGGGCAAGCGGTCCGATTTCACAAGCTACGATCGTGCCGTTGCCGATGCTGCTTGGGCTTCACGGGGACTCGGTGAAAATCGTAAGCTACTGGTCGTTCCAATGCCCGATGTCGGCCAAGGCAGGAATTGGCGCACGGGATCATACCTGGCTGACAATTTTGTTGGCAGAGGGCTGGCTCAAGGTATCGAAAGAGGAACTCGACGCCATGGGAGAGACCTCGGTCGAGTTCGAAGACGGGTCAGGATACTTGATGTATATGGATGTCTTCCACCAGCTGCATTGTCTTAATTACTTGCGCAAGAAATTGGACCCATGGAAGGCAAGCTACCCAAGTGTTGGATCGGACTCGACGTTCCCTGAAGGATATCACACTGGTCAGTATACCCACCTCTCTGGCGCTCTATTCCCACTGCATCAGCGTGAATGGCTAGGTCTCTCCATGCCTCTTCTGCTCGAAGGATCCATGGATGCATCTGGTGCTGACGAGGATTTGCAGCTCACTGTATTGATTCTATTCGCCTGTCGCTTGAATGCCATGCAGATGTGTCTATGGTGCCACAAAGGTGGGCAGATGGATGGCTCGAACCGTGGCCAGTCGTACAAAGCCAGCACGTATGCCGGGACTACAGCAAGATCCAAGAATGGGCACACGGGAAGCAGCCGTCCGTGTCTGGGAAGCTTTTTCACCCTAAATTGGGAAAGGTAGTAACGGGTCATCTTAACGCGTCGGCCTTGCCTGTCTACTGGGAGGATCACGACGATTTGTGATAAATCCTGAGTGCAGGACTGTAGACTATTAATCTATTTGGAATATTTATCCTTTCCAATGTATGTGCATGACTATCGTCAAGACGCAGTGTTACGTATGTCCTCCTAACCACTGTTTTAACACGGGCTGGCTACTTGGCTGTCACACAAGGGGTCCGGCTAACGTAACGTCTACTGGCGAGTCCAACTAAGCTCACAATGGTAGACATGGATACAATCCGTGTTCAAGAAGTATATAGTTTCACTTCTATTCTATATATATCTAAAGATATATATAGTACCTTTATATAATAGTAAATACTTAAAATTTAATAGTTAAAAAAATATAATATTAATAATAATATATAATATAATAAGTATTTATAATTTTAATTAAATAATATATAAATAAAATTAAAAAATATTATTTTAATAATAATATTAATTAAAAATATAAATAAAAGTAATTTATAATTTAATTATTATAAAGTTATATAATAAAATTAAGTTTAAAAATAGTTATTATATAAATAAATTATATTAAAAATTATTTAATTAAAATTATCCTTTTAAATATATATACTTTATAATAAAACTTTTATTAAATAAGTATTATAACTTTTATTTAAATATATAATTATTAACTTTAAAAAACTTAAAATAAAAATAATTTATAATATATTATTTTAAAACTTTTATAATAAAATAGTAAAACTTTTAAAAAAATTAAAAGTAATTTATAAAAAATAAAAAAGGTATAATAAATTTATTTTTCTTTAAGTTTATATTTTTATTATTAATAATTATTAACTTTTTAATAATATAAAAAAGTATAATAAAAATAAAGAAAAAAAGGGATTTAAAGTTCCTTTATAAGAGGATTATAAGAATATATATAAAGTTATTAAAAACTTTATATATAAGTTTTAAACTGTTAGGAAAGAAATGAGTAGCTGAATTAAAAGATAGTTATATAGTATAAAGGAAAAATACAGTGTGGCTAAAGCCGTTTAAGAAGTATCTTTTAGTATATTCTTTTTACGGATATTCATTAGGAATACATTAGCACGATGTAACAGCATGTGGTGCAGTCGAGTTCAGTGTTGATTTGACAGATCATCCAGTATCGGTATCATAGTAGTGGCTAAGAGACAGCCTTCAAATTGTGGTGGATGACCGGCCATATGGATAACAAGCCTGCTTATTTGAGACGCAAACCAAACTTCAACATCCAGCCGCCCTTCTACGCTTTGGATGTCGCCCGCTGTCCGAATCGCATCCTAGGCGGCTGGCGTGGCCCAAACGTCTTTTCCCATGCGCTCAACACTTTCAATAGTGTTGGCTCAGTATAAGCTGAGGAAAAGACAGAAACCCCAAAGGGCCGACCATTGTACTCAAGATACGACAATGGCATTGTTGCAGAGGGATAACCTTGGAAAGCTCGTCAGTACTGGTGTTTCTGATGATAACAGCCGACTACAATAGTAAACCTTACCTGCGGCTGACACCAGCTGGCTGAAAGTGGAGTCGGATGGTGCAAGTATCACATCGATTTCGAGGTCATTTAAAGCCTTGTCGATGCCAAGCTCGCGCCCAATGGACTGCGCCTTGCCCCAAAGCGACTCTGCCGTCGTCGCATCGATTTGATTCCCTTGGCATGCGAGCAAGACGTCCTGGCCCGAATAATCTGTGTCATCGCGCAAGTCAGAGAGCTGCGTGCGTTTCCGCTTTTCGCCTGGGCCTGGCCACTTGCCTTCTGGTGCCCCCGTTACCGGGTTAGCATCGTTCCATCTTATCATTTCCTCGATACTGCGTACCTCGGCGCAGTCTAAACGCTGTAGGTGCTGGTCGAACTCATGCACAAACCGACCCTCTATTCATGATAAGCCTGGCAATGAAGTCGCATCTTGTAAAGGAAACCTACTGAAAACCTCCATCATGAGGTGTTTGCCATCATGAACAAACTTCGCCGGCGATATTAGGTCAATTGTGTGATAAGCTCCACAGAGTCGCTTGATCATCTCGTATGCAGCCTTCGTTTCCCGGATCTGAATTTTAATTAGCAAGGATGGACTTCCCCAGCGTTCTACTAGAAGGCGCCACTTGCAATCTGTTCCAAAGCCCCCTCGACTTCCTTCTGCACTTCAGTACCAAACCGCCAAGCAGCTGGATCCAAGGTTCCCACCCGGAGACCTTTCCAGCTCCCCTCGAGGTAGCTAGTATAGCTAGCTGCTGCACCTCTCCCAGGACAGTCATCCGCTAGAACATCCAGCAATAGGGCTAGGTCCTGGGGCGTTTTGCACATTGGACCAGCCGTATCGACGAAACTTGAAGCAGGGAATATCCCTCCTTGGGACACAAGACCCATGGTTGGGCGCAGAGCGTAGAGCGCAGCTCTTGTGGCGGGAGATATGAGAGATCCGATCGAGTCGGTCCCAACTGCAAATGGAGCATATCCAGCACTTGTACCTACTGCTGAGCCTGTTGAAGATCCCCCTGGGCTCTTGATTTATTAGTACGCTTTCGTCATGCACCGACTCGGGGAACCTTACCGAGTGTCCAAGTTGGGTATCGCTTGGATCAACGTTTCCCGTGGTATATGCCGACTGGCATTGTCCTCCTACGGAGGACCAGCCAGCCATCATCTTGAATTGCCTTGGTATTGTCAGTGACAAGTGTGTATGCTGGAAGGGTTCGAAAGTCCAACCTCCACCCCGAAAGCTCCTGTTGAGGCGTGAGTTGCTGTTCACAGAGAGCGGTGGGAAGATGTGAACTGACTGTGAGCTGTGTTTTGGCAAGTATGATGAGACCAGCCTCCAGCAACTGAGCACACATGAGTATCAGGACCATGGAGACCGTCAAAGTCCCTCACCTTGTCAACAATCGTGGCATTCTGCTTATGTTTGGACGACACGAGAGCAGGGGTTCCACAGGTTGTGTTGAGACCGAGGTTGTCCACCGTCGCTATGTTGTCCTAAGACGAAATAGACTGATAAGCATGATTAAGACGAGAAGAATAGCCAGAAAAGTTTATGGAGGTGGCTTGCGCACCTTGAGCAAGATAGGTATTCCGTGCAAAGGCCCACGGACCCGACCGTTTAGTCTTTCCTCGTCCAGTGCTTTGGCCTGCTGGGCCGCTGTTGTTGACACTTCTATAACGGCTTGGAGATAGTCGTCATACGTTGCAATTTGCTTTGAATATATTTCGACCAATCTCACACTCGTCACCACCCCTGATTCCAACAACGCTTTCAACTCGAAAGCAGTTGTCGTGAGTGGATCGAAACATGCTGATGGTGCGTATGCATCGGTGTCATCGTGCACAGAATTCTTTTCGACCTCGGCGTATGACATCATTCACTCTAGACCCTGTGGACTCATGAACTCAAACCAACGAGAGGAAGTGTAAAAAGGGGGGGGGGGTAAGAAAAAAAAGGGGGCGCTGGCCAAAAGCTAGTGTGTGTGTGTGTGTATGTATGCGTGCGGAAGTGCGTGGCGGGTGGGGTGGCTACGATGATTCGAGCAAACTGTTGAATAAAGGTTATACTTACTGTTTGAAGTTCATTGGATGCCCAAGTGATACCGCCATGCCTACACGGTGCATTGAACTGCCATGTTGGGTGACCAATGATGGCGAGCTTTGTGTTTGTTGCGGTACACAGATCCGATTTCCGGTGACCCATGCTCGGTTGGCCGGCTCCGTTGTGCATCCGGATGTGGAGCCCTCTGCTGATGTATCGCAGGCCACGCAAAATTGGAGAGGTATCTAGGCCATAGGAACAAAGCCTTTACAGCATCTCACACTGACTGCTGCTACATACTGCAAGTTCATCAGGTCCCGTTCAATCATGGACAACATGAAGACTTCGCCAGAGTTTGAGCCCATGCTGGGCAAAGACAGGGAAGAATTGCCTTTCCCTGTGGAATCGAAATCATCCAGCAAGCTCAAGAGCATTCGGCCATTCCTAATTCGATCTCTGTGTTTTCTCACAGGCGCGCTTGTGTCGTGCACTTTGCTGTGGGCTCTCAATGGGGCCGACTTCTCTAAACACCGAGCTCACCCACACGAGACGCACCCAGCCGCCGCCCATATGGACCTTGACAGCAGCGCCAGTTACTCAGACGATCACTACAAACCCACACACCGATGCGGCCAAAGTGCCGACGAGGCACGGGCAAACAACTGCATCCTGAATCTGGCCAACTACGCCTGGGTGCCGCGCGACTGCTACGATGCCGAGCTTGTGGAAGAAACCATTACAGGCTGGGAGTGGTTCCGAGACTACGACATGACCGATCTGGTCCCCCACCCAGAAGTGCTCCGGGGCGAGCTGGAATTATTCTACCAGCCCTTTGATCAACATGAGAAGCATTGCGTCTACATCTGGAAGCGACTATATCGAGCCACCTTGGGTGACAGGGGAAGCAAGAAATTAGAGGTGTCTGGTGCTGCTTCGTATCCTCACGTGGAACATTGTGGGCGTGTGCTGCTAAGGGACAACTCGACCGGTCATTTGTCGGTGACAGTGGCAAGAGGCCAAATCATATTTCCAAAGTGTTAAAAGGGCTTGCCATGATACCAGCTTGTTACGTTAGCAATGAATACGAAGTTTTCTTCGACTCTTCTCGTTTGTCATTGTCTTATGACCTAGATCCATGCACTTAAACAAATCAGGTAACATCGTACCAACAGAACAGGAGATCTTGAGATACGATGAGAATACTGAAATTGGTGTTGCGCCATATAAGAAGTGATATGGACATCATATCGTGGGCAAGTGTTTTGCTGTCTAGGCATGTGTGCTCTGTGTCTCGTGCGTTCATGTTCACTACCCAAACCGTTCCTCATGCCACCTCACCTCTCTTCCTCTAGCCACAAAACGCCCAACTTCTCTTCTCAAATCCCGAGAAATACCAACTGGTCCACACGATAGAACTGCAACCCGTTCTATTTCAGAACCATACCGGAAGAAGTCGTCGACAATGGCTCTCAGATCTGGTCTGCCTAAACGAGTCTGCGGGGAGAGTTGCCCGCCGGTTCCCCCTCGAGGTTCTAGCGAAACCGAGTCTTCTTCGCTGTCCAGCAAGGCGCTCAAGTCTTCATCATCCTCCTTTTGGTTCCTTCTGTTCGACCCGGTGACAAAGATGGTGGTGACATCGCCCAATGTAGGACGTTTTGTGTCGCTCTTCTGGGTTTCGAGAAGGCCAGGTACCCATGAAGTGTCATCATGCGAGCGAACCACCCAGACCACCTGCACACGTCTCCGGGCAGAGTATAGGTCGTGATCTCCCAGCTTCAAAAGGATTGTTTCGGCCACTGCCAGGGCGTACGTGGCTCCAATTCCCCCGGCTACAAGCAACACCCGATCCGTATCTGAACACAAAGCTTCGGAGAATATTCCAGTACCGTAAGGACCCTCAACGGCCAGTGGAGCCTTCTCAGGAAGACCCCGAAGTGCGTTCGTTCGAGCTCCGCGGTTCTTGATGTGGAATTCTAGTCGTCCTGCTCGGGGATTCACGGCAACTGTGAACGGGTTGGAAAAGAACCGAGCCCACAGATTCGCCCGAAGAGTCTTGTGTTTCGGTGAGAGATACGCGTAGGTTCCTGATGAGTAAGATGATACCAGGCCGGCCTTGTTCAAGACCGAGATGCTAGTAACCGTTGGATGTGCATCAGGGATGATCTCCGCCTCCACAATGTTCGTCGCTCGACCCCGGGACACCATGTTGATGACATATACCAGCGCACTCTCCAAGACGTAGAGTCGAGTCGAAGCCACATGGAAGAACAACAAAATCAGAAGAGAGAGGACCAAGACATGGTGCATACCAACAAAGAATTGATAGCTTCGCCGGCGAGCTTTTGCCGAGCTCAAGACGCCTACGTGGATCAGGGTCAGGCCCGCAAAGAGGCCCAGCACGACTTCGAAATCCTGGATCCTCCTCGCCATGCGTTGAGTTTTCGCCAGGAAGGCCACGTACATGACGGAGTGCAGTGCCCCAAGGAAGACGATGACCCGACCAAGAACACGATGAAAAGGATCCAGTTCTTGATGAGAGACTCTCAGCAGCTGTTGGAACGGCGACCAATGCGTTTTGACCGCAAGCAAAGTACAGGTGGGAAGCTGTGAAACAGCGACCAGACCGACGTGGCGGGTGAATTGGATGAAATCTTGCCTGGTGTTAACAAATTGACACGTGAACAGGGCGTAGGGGTCTGGGGTCAAGCGCATACTTCCTCCAGTGCCAGCAAGTGCAAGCATGATCAAAAATAGTGTCCAGCCGATACCAAAAATCCACTCAATATTGGTGCCCCAGCTGTAGGCCACTTCATCCTGGAGCCGCCATGCCAGACGATCCAAAGCTTTAGACCATTTGGATCGAGATGCTACATCTTCGTCTCGCCGTCGAAGAAGAGGGAGGAGTTGGAGTACAACGAGCGGGGGGATGGTGCTCAGTTGCGCCCAAGCCGCGACATTCCACATGGCTTCTGTCTGAGGACTTGTTGTGGATTGTTCTCTTTCCAAAGACAAATGATGGATGAGTTCAAATGTCAAAAATTATCAAAACGTCGCTGTATCTGATATTTACAATTCTTCTCCCATTGGCTCGAAGCTGCCCACATGCAGGTGAGCTGGCATGATCGGAGACCGGATAGCAATGGTCTTGGCAGAGGAGTGCGTGCAGGAAAATATCCGAGCAGCATGGATTTCGGTAATTCAAGCAGGATTACTTAGTGTGAACGGCCCCAAACCCCGCCACCGGCTATCAACCACCATGAAGTACTCTGCCAGGACCGCCTCAATGCCTCAGTAATTTGGTCGAGGCCCATTCATATATCTGGTCAAAATCGCGGCAAGTGTGAGTGTCGTCAAAGCTTGGGAATGGACCTTTGATACGCTCGTCCCAGTAGTAGGAAAAGGGAGTCAAGTCAGACTGGCATTGGACAATTTGACGCAGGAAGTCAAGGCAGTGGTCTGTTTCCGATTCGCATTAGAATCTGTCGGCTTGTGCCATCTCAAATGACTGAGAATTGTTTCGTGTACTTACCTAAATGGTCTTTTCCGGGCGGTTTCTTGTAATAGTCACCGGCCAGGCCTTTGCGGATAACGTTCTGCGGAGTATCATCAGTAATTGCAATATGAACCTCTTTGGTCCCTGTCTTTTCACTCACCACACAATGTAGGCCATGAAACACGGTCAGTCTGAAGCAATGATGTTGGAAAGTTGTTACTTGACGGTTGACAGCAGCAGTGGATGGACTCACGACATCATGGACTGGCCGTTCTTGTCCACTGTTCTGATTAGATTCCCATCCGCAGTCTTGGCATCTTGGTGATCAAATAACAGCGCATCGTAACCTTTCAATCTCTGCGGTTAGCAAATTTGGGACTGAGTCGTTTGTCTCCCATCACATAATCATGCATCCCATACCGATTGTAACGTTTGCCCATGCCTCATCCAATGCTGGACTTGGGGCTCCAAAGTACTGCGTATGGTCGGGATCAATGGAGCGAAAAGACGTCCCATCTGCACCAATCCTTACGGCACCAGTAAATTGCTGCTGCTTGATGCGGATGTGTGGCACTGCGGAGTCTAGTGAGGACGTTAGCAATTGCATTTGTGGCATTGCATGTCTATGCTTATTACCGTGCTCTGTCATAAAACCAGTCTCGTAACTTCTTCGTATCATGGAGGTGAGTTGGTTCCATCCCATTATGGCAGAAAGTGATGCGAAAAGAATCGTTGTTGCGATCCAGAGCCGAGAGTCGTGTGAGCGGCGAGCCACATCCCGTAACACCGTCTTGTGTGCGTCCACGACATCGGGGCTCCCATAAGCCTCCTCATCGGAACTGCTGCTGAGCAATGCGAACTTGGGCTCTGACCGTCCAAACATTTCGACAGGGAGTGGTGATGGGACTTTGGATACTGGAATATGTGCAGATGTTCAATGTATGAAAACTCGCAAGTTGTACCAGAATGGATTTAAAACGATGCGAAGCAGCCGTCGTCTGTCTTGATACCTATTTCGGAAAACCGATCGGATACCGGTTCCGGAGCTGTGGACCCCGGACACTGCTTATTTCTTCGACTAGGTCAACTGGCCCCCGAATTCACATCATCACTGTATCTGGTATTTGGAATTACAATCCCAGACATTGCTCGAAACCCGTTCCCTTGCTGTCGCCAAAATGGGTGTCTCTGCCGTGGTCACTGCTGTAGCGCTAGGACTCGTGAGTTTTCTTGGATGATTTCCCATGCCTACTGAACTATGAAGTAACTTGCGATACACAGGCAATAGTGTCCTACATTATCGGAAATGTCGTTTACAATATTTTCTTCCATCCCTTGTCAGGATACCCAGGACCCAAGCTCTGGGCCGCGACGAGAATCCCACACTCCTACTATTGGGTCAAGGGCACGCTCTTTATCAAAGTGGGCGAAATGCATCGGCAATACGGGAAAGGTACGTGAAACATTTTGAGAGAAAAACGTGGTAGTTGACTAAATTGGTGTGCCATGGGAAAGTCGTGCGCACCGCACCGAACGAGCTATCATTTGTTCACGAGGAGGCCTGGAGAGACATATACGGCCTTGCTCCCGGAAAGGTACCCTTGCAAAAAGATACATCCTACGCCATTCCAAACCAGGAGTCGGTGGGAATCGTCGCGTGCCAGAATCGCGAGGACCATCAGCGCATTCGTCGAAATTTCTCCCATGTAAGTGCATCGCCTACATGTGATATACATTGGCAGGAGAGTAACATGGGCGAATGCAGGCCTTCAGTGCCAAAGCATTGTACGAGCAAGAGTCCATCATGGGCCGTCATTTCGACAAATTGATGACGAAACTCCATGGGGTAGCAGATTCGGGGGCTCAGGACCTTTACAGATGGTACAGCTACACCAGTCTCGACATTATCAGCGCGCTGACGTTCGGCCAATCTTACAATTGCCTGGACTCTCTGTCGTACCCCGAAGTATTTGGCAAACTAGGTAAATTTGTCATGAACCGCGTACTCCTCGGCGCTGCCACCCATTATCACCCATTGATTCTTTGGGGGCTCTTACGCTGGGCGCCAGTCGAAGTCCGGAATGGGAAGATGGAATGGCATCGCCACATCAGAAATCTGCTAGATGCTCGGCTCGCTACTAAAGAGGCAGGGCATGATTTGTAAGGTACATGAAGTCTTTATGAACATCCTGGATAGCTGACTGTTTTGCGCAGCACTTCCTATGTCCTTCGCCACTTCGATAGACCCACTGGTCTGAAAATGGCCGAAGTACAGGCCACCTACGCATCGTTCATTCTTGGCGGTTCTGATACAGTGGCCATAACCCTGGCCACTGCCACGCACTACTTGCTCGCGAATCCTGTCGTTCTGGACAAGCTCAAACTGGAAGTCCGCAGCGCGTTCACTTCTGAGGCCGACATAACCATTGCGCAGGTAACCAATCTGAAATATCTCTTGGCAGTCATTGACGAAGCCATGCGGATCAACCCAGCATGTAAGCCAGAAAGAACCCCGCTCCTTCATTGCCTTGAGCCTACATTCTGACGACAAGGAAAACAGTGGCAGATGGGCAAACTCGTGTGACTGGTCCCGAGGGGCTCATAGTCGCTGGGAAGCACATCCCTGCATACACCTCGATTTCTGTCAGCCCCTGGTCTGCGATGAGATCCCCGTTACATTTCCGCCATCCTGAGGCCTTCGTGCCAGAGAGGTGGCTGTCAAGCAAGGAACCTATCTACCACGACGACAACAAAAGCATGCTCCAGCCATTTGGCATGGGTGCGCGGCATTGCCCTGGTTCAAAGTACTGACCCATGTTCTCTGCAAATATTGTTGTTGTTGTTGTTGCCACCGGCTAACTATGGTGGATAGTATCGCTTACGCTGAAACGAGGGTGATCCTGGCCAGGCTGGTATGGAACTTTGACATGACTGTAGCCGACGGAGGCGTGGACTATATGGAGGGTAGAGAAAGATTTGGCCGCGGGAACCGGACTCCACTGCTGGTACATCTCAAACCCCGAATATCGACTGCTAGCCTGTTATAGATTTCCAGCGGATTTGTGGCTTTGGGGCTAGAAATCGAATATCGACTTATCTAATTTCAAAAGCCAGACCCTGCATGTATAGACTATTTCTATTCTTCGAGTTCCTCTATTAAGCTAGAACACTAATAAGTGTCCTAGAAGGAGAAGGCATAAAGTTAATCTTTTCAGATAAACGCGGTAAGTCTCCCTATACAAGGCTTTTCACAGTAACTTTTTAATCTTCCGCAAACCAGTGTTCTGTCAGAAGCCATCATTACACGCTACTAGTCGTAGCGTGGGACCGTGCCTAGTCCATTCGCGCCGATAGCGTCAAGGTTGAAGCCATCGCGGGCCGGACCCTGCATACATAACAAGATTTTCACTACAGCCCATAATAATTAATCCGTTGATGAAATTTCATGATCAATCCAAATGCGGGACTGGTCGCCGGATTAGACTTTACTTGAGCCGCAGTTGGTGATAACCTTAATTACGACTTGAACAGCCCCACCACCCTAAACAGTCGGGCTCGCCACAGCGGGTCTCCGGACATCTGGAGCCCCCTCAAGCGGGGGCGACGGACGGAACGGTACGGCCCGGGGCCCTCAAGATTACTTAAGTAGACTGCCGGAGGTGGCCTTGTGGACTCTGCAGCTAGTTTAGCGGTCCAACTAGTGTACTCAATCAAGCCACCGATCCGGTAACGTCGGCAAAGACAGAAATCCGGCAAAGACTGAGATCCGGCACGGTAAACACGCGGGGTAAATGTCCACAGTAGCTTTGCGATGTCCCCCGCAGCGGCCCCCCCCCCCAATTTTCTAGGCAGGATTCACTGTGGCCACGGCGCACTTCAGGCTGGGTTGGATCTTGCTCTGCCAGATTCCAACTCGATCACTAAATTAACCTCCGTACGGGTAGCCAAAAATGGGACGCTGTCTAGATCCATGGTAGCACTCTTGTGAATAGCCTCAAATACCAAGATCCACTGGCATAGAATTCAGATATCAGGATGACAGGAAACTCTCTATGTAAACAAAACTCCCAAGCCAAAGACTTCCATCAATAAAGCCTGCTAGAGTCTTGTCTGAGAAAAGGAGGCCGTCCAGCTTAGATATCCCTACAAGGCCATCAAAATGTTCGTAGTGTTTGTGACAAACCCAAGAACTGCGAGGCGATTGGTTAGATACTGAAAAATCACCCCAAGCTATTGGAAACATTTTTTTAAACTCACTATTTGTGTTCTGGATGACAGTGTGAGATGAACTACATCATTTCTCAGTAAGAAATTGCGCAACTCAAGGAACCTGGGCGCTCACGCAATGGGACTGGAAGTGGCAATCAAGTCTTCTAGCAGGATGACATCGAATCCCTGTTGATTTTTCTGGTCAGCATTCGTAGAAGAATAACGGATGCTGGATCCCAATGATGTTATATCTCATCCAACCTACCAGAAAAGAACCCTCGAGCATTGAAGCCCACTGCAGGAAAAGTCAGCCTGTCTCATGTTGAAGGGTGAGCGGAATTAGCAATACGCACAACACAAACGTCGGTGTTGACGCCAGCAAATAACAGCGTGGTCACGTTTTGATGATGCAAGTAGGTGAGTAGGCTGGTGTCTCTTTGTCGAAAAGCACTCAAGCGGTCTAACAATTAGTTGTTGCGAGAGCACCCAGCAATGGTGATGGCTTACTCTTTTGAAATCGTGCATCTGTACCCTGCTCTATACCCTCTGCGCGCAGAGATTCCAGCCTGCCGTAGAGCTCAGCGTTCCAGGACCCGCTGATGAGCTTCCTGCCCATGTCAAGACCGTTGTAGAAGCCCATAGACGTTCCGAGTGTACCTAAAACAAGACATCGATAAGTCAAATGGTGCTCGTCCTGGGAGAGTGGCGCCAAAACATCAGGTGGACTGACTGGAGGCGGGTTGATGATGTGTGAAGACGGAGGGAGGCATGGACTCCAGGTCCATATCATCTAGTTCATACTGCTCATGAATACAGAGGGGTCAGAACTCCACGAAACATGACCAATGCCGCAGTGCACACGAACGTTGGACCAAAGGATTTTGACTCCCGACTTCCGCAGCGTCGAGACGAAGTCGATCGCCGTCGGGACAATGGCACGTCCGGCATCAAAACTTTTCGCAATGTGTTCGTGCAGGTAGACATCTTCATCGGCGAGCGTCAGTTGAGAATCATGTGTGAACTCTTCTCTTCTACTGGGTAAGGACGAACTTTGCATATCGATCACCATGAGTGCAGTTTTGCTCAAGTCAAGAACCGCCATACTCTTCTGACCCGTCATCCGTACAAGGACAGGAGAGACCGCTGTCGCCTCAGCAGATCGAGTCAGGTCCCAAGCATCATCGTAGGATTGAACCCATCTCCAAACATCATCAGCGTTCAAGCAAATCGGAAGGGAGGGGAGTGAGCCCACCTGTTTACAGGATCAACACCATAGATTTGTGGCTCCCGACGCAGGGCCGAGCACAGGGCCCCTAGACCAGTAAGCAAACGAGCCAGGAGTGGCATTTTCATGTTTGGTGTGGTGACAACCGTGGCGAGGCTTGGGGTCTCTTCGAGCCCGTCAACGACCAGTATGGAATTTCAGGATGGGGCACTGGCCAAGCTCGTGGTGTCGGGTACTTTGAGCTCCGGAAAGGTTCAACCACCCTCTGCTGACCGGAACTGTAACTAGCACCGGACCGACGGTAGGACGGGAAAGAAGAGGACACATCACAGACAACAATGCGTGTCCATTTTATTTAATTGCCAGATGAGATACAAGAATCCTTTTTCTAGTGGATGACCAAACACGTTTCGACATTTCTGGTTGATACGCCTCATACTTCAATTTCAGGCCCGCACTCGCAACGCGCGAGCACCGACGCACAAACTTGACCATGACCACCACACTCTCTCAGGAAGCAGGCAAGAAACTGCTGCTCGACTTCTACAAGGCCTGCGACGCATTTGACTTCCCTGCCATCCAGGACTATCTCACTGAAGATTGCAAAGCGGACATCGGGAATGCTGTCGTCTGCGGAAATCCGGATGAGGTGGTAGCGGTGAGTGAATTCCCCGGAGACGTGCGAGGAAGAAGGTATCCCCCTTTTCATTCGCGTACTCTGGCTCACGACTACTCCTCGGCTTCTTGTAGCACTTCCAAAGGGTTTTCACGCCTCTAGAGTCGTTCACACACCAGATCGACCACGTAGGTGAGTTTGAAAGCCCTGCACAGGCTAAGTATCCGGAAGGGTTTTCTAACACAGACATGTAAAGATGTCGTAGGCGATCGGATCTACTGCCTGCAGACGGCGTTGGTAGTGGTCAAGGATGAGCCACGAGAAGGCAAAGATCGTGTCATCTCGTTTCAAGGCATGGTGATGTTCCGCGTGAGTCTGGAAAGCGACCAAATTTGGAGAATCCAATACATCAAAGGCGTTGCGGACGGGTCAACCGTGTTCAAGAGAATTACCGAGCTCAAAAGCCAGCAAGACGGAAAGTAGTCAAGTGGGGCACGCCGGGTAGGTAGATGCCAGAGAGGTTTAGCTTTTTATTATTCTTCTCTTCAAAAGGGACGTGCCCGATGTCAATAGAACTCGTTTCTGCTCATCCGCCTCACAACGCCGGGCCTCTCGGGCTTATCTGCCTTTTCAGAGACCACGGACCGGGCGTGCCTGCTGAGCTCGAGCACCTGCTCCAGCGGAACATCAAGCTCTAGAGATAACTTGCCCAAGATGCCGCAGGCCAGACCCAGGTACGAGAGGTCCTTCCGTTCGGCCTCGGCGGACCGCATGACCGCCCTGAAGATGGTACAGACGGCGATGAGAGGGAGGTGTAGCAGGTGGCTTCGGCGTCACGACTGTCAGCCCTCCTACTCTGGCGCACGTGGTGTACATGTCATTGGGTGTCTCGACTTACCGATCGATCAAGGTGGCGGCTAGGCTGAGGTGGCTACCTACGAGCAACACGACTCTCGCCGATGCCAGACAGGTGTGTTCGCAGCGGGAGATGCACTGTTGGAACATTTCCAGTCCCGTGCAGTCAACAGGCAGTCGGGAGATGGGCCCGTGCATGGCGAAAAGCGCCTGGTGGTACTGGTAGAGCATGTAGAGCTGGAGGGAGTGCTCCGTGGGCTCCACGAGTGCCCCCTGATGCCCATCCGAGTCAATGAATTTCCTGTACGCAGGTGGCAGCGCCCCCTTCCATGCCTCCAGCTGGCCGCGCAGGTTGGAGATGGTGCGGTCAAAGTGCTCCACCGAGCGCAGGGGCGACTTGGTGTGATAGAGCTCCTTGGCGATCGCGGACGAGACTCGGGCGTACAGGACCAGGATATGCAGCCAGTCGAAGTCGTGTGGCCCCCCGTGGCGCTTGGTGGGGGATGGCGGTGGGTATTGGATGTTGCCATCATCAATGATGGAAAAGGTACCTTGAGTGAGACAGAAAGTCTTCTCCATCGAATATAGGTACCAAAAAGCGCGCTTTGCGCGGCTTTCCAGTTCGGGTGTCGGGTTTAACTGCGTCTTGATTGCCCGCTCGCTGTTCAACCGAAGCGACTGGGCACATTGTGTAGCCTGGGCGAGCAGCCCAGCCGTCAATTGGTAGTTCATTCTCTGGGAGAAAGACACCTATGGAAACAAGTCAGTTCAAGGGAGCATTCATCGTGCGACGACGAGGGAGTTGAGAATAACATCTAGTGTACCATGGTCAAGAGGGCCTTGTAAAACCCAGTTGTCAGCATCTTTCTTGACACGTACGTGTAGGAGACCGTGGAGGTTGACCCACTTGGAATTTGAGCAACGAGTCCTCCACATACATCAGCCCATCTCGGAGGCTCGAAGCAGTTGAAAAATAGGCTTGGCCGTTGGAGGTATGGCTTGAAAAGCTGTCTCTGGGCGTCCTCGCGGACAAGATGTGTGCACCAAGCGCCAGCACAGCATTGATCAGACAGGCGGCGACCTTTTGCTCCCCTAACCTTCCTTTGGCTTGCCGCGCTTGCTGAATAACGTCGTTGACGTATTGCTTGGTGAGGAAGGTTCCGACCCTAGATCAGTGATTAGACCCATTCGCACTCAGCACGCGGAAAGATTCGTTGCTTACCCGATTGGCTCTTCACAACAAGCTTTGTAGACTGCATTAGCTTCCTCCGGCAACCAACCTGGCGAGAATATGAGACGTACCGGTAATATACTCGCCAATAGCATCCGAGTCGGGGAACATGGCCCGAGCCTCGAGGATGTCCGGTGTACCAGGTTGCTGGTAAATGGTCTGCCTTGGGGCCAAGGTCTTCATGGTGTCGACGAGCTCGCTTTGCGTTCTGCGGTCCAGGGGACAGTCCCCAAAGTCCATGAGGAATGCTGAGCATGTCGAGTAGTCAAGGACAGAAAGCGGATCTACTTCCAGTAAGCCTTTACCGCATGGGTTCGCCGCAGAACACGCGGTGTCATCTCACTGTCAGGTCCATGATCTGAAGGCTACAGAGATGCGCGTCAGCAAAGTGCGCAAAATTTCCATGGCAGTGAAGTATGAACCGGGCACCTACAATAAGTTCGAGTCGATCTGTACCGCGGTCAAATTGTATCAGACCTAGGTGGTCAAAGTCCAGGTGGTTGGGAAGTAAGTGGACAGGGCTGTTGAGCGTAGTAGTGATTTCACCAGTGGCAGTGGTTGGCCTAACCTGGTCCGGTTCGTCCAGAGGAACAACCGTCTGGACCGGTGTTGTCACGGCGAACTGCGACAGGTCGAATGACTCTTCCGAGAACATCGAATTCCAGTCCTGGTTATTGATGTCCTGGTGGAAAAGCGAGGGTGTTTGTTGCCCATGGTATGCGCTTGAGTTCGGTATGGCAGAGGCCCTTGGTGTGAGGGATCCCTGGCTTGGCGAGTGTGTCGACACGCCGTCGGAGACCCGTAGGGGGGTTGAGGAAGATGGTGTAATGAGGGAGATTGCTGCGGGTAGGGGATCACCATCCTTGTGGTGGGCGGTCTCTGGCACCACGCTTGGCGAGCCCGGCCTGGCAGGACCCCAAACAATAGTCTCTTCGTTTGAGTTCTCGGAGCTGCGGCTCCAGGACCTGGCGTGTTTCCACCGCTTCATGGTGGAAACATATCGACACTCATCCCCGGATTTCTGTGTTTGTTAGCCCAGACCCCGGGGTGGGAGTGAGCCACAAACGCCTCTTACCTTGCACGCGGAACAAGGCCTCCCGCCATCGCCTGGATACCAGACATGTTTGTCAGCGTGGTTGGTATCAAAAGCAACCATCGAAAGATAGACTGACAGCGTACTTTCTTGGGTCTACAGCCCTCGCATGCACCTCTCCGCCGCTTCAGGGGCTTTCTCGCCTGCTGGGCATGCTCCTGAGAATCCGCGTGGACGTCATGTCGGTCACTGCTGCTGTCGATCTCCATTCTGACCCGGCTGGCTCAGGAGCCGGAAGGCCACGAAACAATTTCCCCGGATAGGGCCCTCGGGAATATAATATACACTCAAAAGATCCTTTGCTATGAACCAACACGGCCCCCAACACGGCTCCCCACACGCATCGCATCATAGATCCCACACGGTTCGAAGCGAGGGAACTGGCGGCGCCTTCTCAGCTAGCTGCCGCTCCCCAGGTACGCTACTGCAGTGAGAATCCATCGTGGTCACAGTCTCGCGGCTCGAGTGTGTAACTGGCCGAGGAGGTAAAAGACGCCATCAGGTGGATATCCATCTGACATCAGCGGGAGATGGGGGTATGCAAAGAACCACTAATAAATGCAGTCTTTTATCAGAGCGGGTCCGCGAGGCCCTGTTGTCGCGAATCCTCCGGGGATGAACGGAAAATTATTGCTGGATAGAGCCGGGGCCTAGTGCGATCGATCCCGCCCCGCCTGTTTGGTTTCCGGGGCCCGGAAATCCGAATAATACCGGGCGAGGCCCGCCAAGCGGGGGGTTCGATAAGACGTGCCACCTTCCTGTTCGAGCGTAGAAAGACGCCATCTCAAGTTATCCGTGGACCGCTCTAGGGGGGGATGCTGGCGGAACATCCGGACTAAGCGAGATCTATAGATGTTCGTTAGACTCGGCAGCAAGTGGGTTTGCGTTACAGTAGGACTCTTTTACGTGTCCGCACATATGCGGGCAACTAGTAGTATTTTGCTTCCGGTTGGCGGGCAAGTCGGAAGCAGAATAGTTGGCACCGCACACACAACCACAAGAAGTGCCCCCTTTTTATTCAACTTCTTTATCGACTTTTTGTGATTCTTACTGCACTTGCTAGTTAGTTATTCTTCCGTGTGTTGTTTCAGTCACATCCTTTCTTCCTACGTCAACACGTTGTTCAGATAGAAGGTGGGAGAGTTTATAGGTAAAGTAGAGAGTGAGTCTGTTTTGGGCGGTGTGCGGTGGCAACTATTTTGCTTCCGGTTGTTGGCTACGGCGCAGCATAAGACATGATGATCCAGAACCTGATCCAGATACAGAGTGTCACAGATCTAGGTACCGTGAGACGGGCTAACGCTTGTTGGGCATAAAAATCTAGAGTTGCAGGAGCAGGCCAGCATGTCATGAAAGTCCCACCCAATAAGCCTGTGGCAAATCGGTACCCCGCCGACCAACAAGCGGGTTGGTGTTGTTTTCACGCCCTTTCGGACACAGCCCGACAAGCATGTCTGTCGACAAGCATCCCGACAAGCTCTGGTTGGCGCCAGCCCTGCCCGCCCTGCCGCAACGGGGCGGCCCACGGCTAACACCACAGGTACCCGACAAAACACCTGCCCGATCAGTGAATGGCTTACGAGAGCAAGGCCACCCCTGCCTTGTTGCTGCAGTCGACAACAAAACGAGGTGCATTCCAACGGCAGAACGGCTGGCTGGGCGTGCACAGAGGAAGCAGCCGTACCCCAAACACAACGCCCGCGCCTCTTCAAGTTGAGCAGTGAAGCAGAGACTTGGCGATGGATTCAGGTTCAGAGCGCGACGCCGACTTTGAGGTGCAATGGGACGGGGACGATGATAAACGAAACCCCCAGAACTGGGCGGCGTGGTACAAGGGCATGACCTTCGGCACCATGTCGTTTGCCATGCTCGTCGTGATCCTGAACTCGACCTCGTACCCCAACAGCCTCCCCAGCATCATGGCTGAGTTCAAGGGCGAGACCCAGACCCGCGCGAACCTGGGCGTCATGACCTATTTCCTGGGCTTCGCCGTCGGGCCGCTGGTCCTGGCGCCGCTGAGCGAGATCTACGGACGACGACCCATCTACGCCATCTTCATGCTCCTGTTCGCCGTCACCGTCATCCCCAGTGCCCTTGCCCAAAGCCTGAACGACATCATCGGCGTCAGGTTCCTCAGGTTCGTCTTGACATCTATATCCACCTGCCCGTCCGCCTGACGCCTGCCTTTGCTAACTCTTCTATTCGTCTGCAGTGGCCTCGTGGGGTCCGTGATGCTGTCCTGCGCCCCAGGCACCATTGTCGATGTCGCCAGCGAAAAGTATCGCGCTCTTGCCTTCTCCATCT